GAGAGAGAGAGAGGGATCCGAAACATATCAAAGCGACTTTTAGGCTCACGATTGTATAACTGCTAGCTGAATCCAAGGGACTGACCAGCTATATATGCTTTCAAATTATATATATATATATATATATTCATTCATTCTGTTCCGATTCCGAAACATAATCATTCTCTTTCTCTAACACCACGTCGATAGGATAAAAACCAAACCTTGTTCAGGTTGAAACTGAACCAACTTGAACGGTATATAAGCTTTTTGGAATTTCTCGACCAGAATCGGAGCCAAACCTGAATTTGCTCTTACTCTGCTTATTTATTTATTTGAGCCAAACCTGAATTTTTCAACTCCTTAATGTAATTTTGTAATAATATTTGAAGAGGCATTGTATTCAATAAGTTACCAAATATGATGGTGCAAGCATAGTGCTATAGAGAGATTGATAGCTCTGGAATTGGTCGATCATGATAGAAGATTTAGAGAATGGATTTTTTAAAGAGGGTTAGGAAAGATTCATCGTTTCTTTCTTAACAAAATCTTGCAGCAATTTAGTATGAAAGTATAAAGAATCAGTTCTTTATTTCCCTCATTAAAGTCTTGTGTGTCCGTAAAGATAACTCCACAGAAATTACTACAATAAAGAAACTAAAGCACATTTATTTTACAGATATTTGCAGCTAATCTTGCACCAATTTACGGGCTTTACGTCGGGGAGACACTCTTCTGCGTTTAGCTCCCCAAGACACAATCAAACGGTTTGGTTCTTTCCTCTTTGTCCCCAGATAACCTTGACACTTTTCAGACCCACAATTACACTTAACTTCAGGCCCAAACTGCACAAATCTGCCATTAAACAAAGAGAAGCAATATATATCAAAATCTCAGATTACTTAAGCTAATTGGAAGAAGAAGAAGAAGAAGAAACAAATGGTCCGAAACTTGACCTGTAGTCATATGTAAGTGGCTCTCCTGCTTCTATCTGACGAGCTGCAAAGACACCTACACGGATCTCACCTTCAACTTGCCTGTTAAAATAACCACACATTTTACAATAATTAAAACGTAATGCATTCTCTCTTACTCAGCCTAATCGACATATTTATATGCTTTACCACTTTTCCAATACACAATTGGGGTTGCAGCTGTGGTTCAGAAACCGAGAGGTGTTCCCTTTGAAGGTGGCATCAATCGTGAAGTCTTTATGAATCTCACACATGTAAAACTCTTTAATGCCTTTGTTTTTCATATCCCAAAGCCTTTGCTCACATTGAGCATCACTAATCACTGTGGATAGAGTGAGATTAGTCACTAGATACTCTGCCCCTTTCCACCAAAACCATAAGGCTCAAAATACAACATCAAGATAGTTTACCTTCACCAATGTATTCGACAATAAAGTCCTCTTTGTTGATTGATTCTGCTGCCTCTACTCCCCAACCACAGTGTTCAGTCTGTAAAAACAATAACATGACATGTCAAGATAAAAACAATGCCTAATGCAAGAGTCATTAAATAGAGACTACTTTTACCTTAACAAGTTTCATCTTTTTCTCTTTGCGGAATGGTCTGTTTCCACAAGTTTCAGGACATCCACATCCTTTTGAACAGCTTACACATTGGAACCTGCGAGAATTTTTCCAAAAGCAGAAACTATTCAAACGACATTTCCTTTTCTGGTTAACAGATAAGATTTGTTTGTTGATCAGCAAGTATACCTGCAAACACAGCTTCTACAGCAAGTAGGGCCACAATTTGTGCACCCGACACCATCGTTAGCATCATCACGCTTCTTTTTCACGAAGTAAATATCTTAACTCAGTCAAGGAAAGACACAATAATGTAGAGCGAAATGAGAATCATGTACTCATATGGCAGTAACATTGAACCGAAAAAAGTTAGTTGTTTGGAAACTACGAAGGATACTCCGTCTAATGTGCACATAAGGAGGGGGATCATCTTTCACAACAGAATCCTTCCATGTGAAGTCAATCTTAAACTCCTCTTCAACATATGGCAAAGGCAACTGGCAAAAAACCTGCTAATATCAAAGTAGATAAACTTACTTGCTTAGCTCTTGAAGTTGTGTGAGAAAAAACAAAAAAAATATCCAGCTTTCCAATCTCTTCCCTCTTTTCATTTCGGAGCTACAAGTCTACGCAACTAGGCTACCTAATTACAGTCACTATGGTAAGCACGTGGCAGAGAAACACTGACCTCCATCTCACTCTGCGCAACTGCATGCTGTTCAACCAACAGATAACTTATCAGACTTGTGAGTGAGTCTGTATGAGAATACAGATTGTAAGAATCTTCTGATTGGATCTATTGAATGAGGGGAGCTGAGAAACTGACCTTTGTGTCTAGCCGCCAATCAGTTGGATGCCTCCAACAAAGTGCTCTTCCTGGTTGGTCTTTCAGGTGAAGTGTTTCTTTGGGCCAGGGAGAATGTTTATCATGAGCAGCCATTGGACACTTGACACACCGCCATTGTGTTTTTTTCTTGCAGACAAAGCACTCCTGCATACTCCATTCTATCAGATGAAACTGAGAGATACCGCACAAACAATCTAATCCATTTCCATTCCCTACCTAATCACTGTTACATATCCTATTTGATGGCCTATTTTTTCTATGAGCATTTCTACCAAAATAACAGCCAGGGAACTAACAAAAGGTTGAGATCCGTGGACAAGTATACGATATGCTTAGTTGGATATAAAGCAAACCAACAAACGTGAAGAAGTCTTCTTTAATTCTAATAAAGAATGAGGATCTTACATGTTGAGGGCACCTAAATTTGCTTGAATTTGAAAGACCAAGACTTCCTTTTGCACAGAGCAAGTGATAAGCGCCTTCACAGCCACGAACAGAACATAATAATTGTTCTCCCGGATACACAGGCTTATGGCAAACAAGACAATCAACCTGACATTGAATCCCATATAGTCAATAAATCTAAAAACTTCACAAATCACTAAACGACTTCAAAATTTGATGAACAATAACTCTAGAATAAAACAATATCTAAATGAACATGGAAAACATATGAAACCTTAAACGGATAGAACTAACGCCAAAAAGAGTAAATTCATAATCACACAGATCCAATACCAATCTATAACTTCACACGAACTTCAAAATTCAAGAGACAACGTATCCAACAAAAATTCCATTGCAGAACTCATAGTTTCACCACCAAAAAAAGGTGGAAATACAGACACACACACACACACACACACTCAAAACAATAGAAAACTAAATAAAGAGAAACACACAAAATACCGTTTTCTTGGCTCCAACAAGAAAAGGGAGGAAACATGTCGACTCCGAAACTCCAGAAGCCACTCTTCTGTTGACCCAATTTCTCACATGATCTTCCAGGATCAACCCTTTCTTGACTCGGTCAGACGGGGCCTGTTTCCTGATTAGAGCAGTGACTCCATTAGCAATCTTAACGTCTCTGACCACTTCTTCCGGAGGAATCACCGGTAATTGTTCCCCATCGCAGTCTCCGGCCAGGTTTCCCGGTGAATCGATAGATTTGGCTAATTCAGGTCCTGAAGCCGCCGGAAGAAAAGCAGGGCAACAAGTGAGAGCGACGGATGCAGACATAGACATGTTTCCCAGATCTAACATACCACACTCGCAAGGACAAGATGAAAGTGTAAGAAGAAGAAGAAGAAGACAGTTGCCTTTTGTCTGTGTGGGTAGGCGTATAGCGAAGAGACATGAACCAAAGATATGGAGGGAATCTAACGCGGGAGATTTGTCCTCCAAATATTTTATACAAAAGAGGTCTCGTATTTTCATACAATTTCGTAATTGCCCCAAACTTTTATTTGCTTGATTTCTTGTTTAATTCTCTCTACCCACCTTAAAAAACACAAAATTCATATCTACCAATAACAGTGCCACACGCAATACTCAATGTTGGTAAAACCGAACATATGAAACAAAATCGCTAAACATTTAAATCAAACTTATGAATTGGAAGTATATTTGATTGATCAGTGTTTGGTTTGTTAGTTATAAAACAAGATATTTGGTTCGTTTTTTTTGGATACTTAGCACCAAAAATAAAATAAAAAACTGGCGTGAATTGCTTTGTTAAACTATATTATTGCAACAAAATGTAGTAAAGTAATAGTTATATATGTGTCTAGATTTCAGCAGTTTATACCCACTCCCACGCAATACTCACCTTTTTTTTATACAATTTTACAAAGTTAATGACTAATGAGTAATCCTCGTAGCAAGAAATTATGGCGTCTAAGATATCGAGTTTAGATGAAAAACGGACCAACAAAGCAAACTATAAAGATTTGTTCACTTCACGACAACTATTGGTATTATAATTTACACAAAACAAACTATAATACAAAAAAGCAATATACATACAAATGGTGTGTGTGAATTGTAAAATATACAAATCTTTAATGGAAAAATATTACACGCTTTTTCTAAACGGAAACAAATTGTTTTCTATGTTATATTGAAGTATTCTTCTTTATATGAAATTGGATTTGATCAAACCGAGTCCACGTTATCTTGATCTGAAAATTCAAAATATATCTATCCAAGTCGAGAACTCTAAACTAATCTAGATTACAAAATAAATCTTTTGTTAAATAATCATAAGGTTACCAGCTTTTATTGCACTAACGGATCCTTTGTTAAATCCTTGGCACGTTGATCTGTGCTTTATTCAAAAATTCTTCTGCTGGTTTGATATTCTTTGGTTATTCAAATATGGTATCCTCGTTCAGTCCGATCCGATGATCCCTCACCGTTCATTGTGGTGTTACAATGTTGTAATAAAAATTTATAAATTTAATGATAATAACAATGTAGTAACATGCCAACATAAAATTCTGGGCCAACTATATTTTTTCTTTGGTAAGCGAACCATTCATTCAGTTATCAAACTTTTTTTTTATTTTTTAATCCAAATGTTTGACGCGTTTTAGATTAAACTAATGACATATTCATCATGTTCATATAATATTGATAAAAGTGTACGTGGTGTCTTGTCTTATGAATCAAAAATCGATCTCCTTAAAGAATCTTATGCCAGTAATACAACCCTACAATATAGAGTAATTTACCTGCTCTTCAACACAATTACGTCACTCTACTCTAGTTGTGTTATATGTATTATGTAACTTAAGAAATAAGAGAGAGAGAGAGAGAGACCACAAAATCTGCATTTCTCACCTTCCAACTGTAACTTTAATATTTTCTTTTGTTTCAAACTGACACGGCGGGTAAAAAACTAATCAGCTGTATCCTCCCACACTCTAAAGCGAAACTATTAAACCAATGAAAAAATAACACGTGTCGAGAAGGACCGGTCAAAGCCGCCACGTAAGTTTTTTAAAAATCACGAAGCTTGGCTTGCTGGTTTTTTAAAATTCAAAGAGCTTTCATCTCCGTATAAGTAGGCCGATGAAGCGTCCCACGAACATCGGCAAACAACAAAAGAAAAGCAAAACAATCTCAGATTCTGTATTTTGAAAGAAATAAAGAATATCAAACGGAGAGAGAGAGAGAAATCGACGGTTGTTGATTCTCCGGAGTTGGATATCGTCACTCGATTTCTCCTCCTTTTCCCCGGCGAGCTGCGAGAGGGAGGGGAATCAATCATGCAGAAACGGAGGGCGGTGAGGGAATCTCAGAAGGTAACGGAGAGAAATGGGAAAAGTATGGATTCAGGAGAAAAGAAGAGATCTGAGAAGAGATTGAAGAAGTTTGAGGAGTTACCTAGGTATTTGAAAGACAACGAGTTCATACACAATCATTACCGATGCGAGTGGTCCATCAAAGACACTTTCTTCAGCGCCTTCTCATGGCACAATGAGACTCTCAATATCTGGACGTATGTTTCCTTTTTCCTTTTTTTCTTATGTTTTTTCTTTTTTTGGGGGGTTTTTAAAAATTCGAGATTTTGAAATTTTGGCAGGCATTTATGTGGGTTTGTGATATTTGCTTGGATGATGGTTGTGAGTTCCATGGAGACGACGGAGCTTGGCCTCGCCGGCTTCGTTAGCATTCTCTCCGGGTAAGCAAATCCTCGAGGTCACAACCGTCATTTGGTTTTTAAGAGTAAAAAATTCAACTTTTTGAGCTGTGTGTTTTGTTGTGGGTCCTAATGACAGAGCAACAATTCGCTGGCCATGGCCGTCAATGGCGATTTCAAAAGATGTTTACTTCTCCACCGATCAAACTCTGCATCACGTAAAGATTCTTCCTTTCCTATTCTCTCTGTTTCATTGTTTATTCTAATTTTTAAAAGCATGTAATGCAAGTGCAAATGCTTTCTAACATATAAAATGCTTTCTAACATATAAAATGCTTTGCAACCATGTGATTGATGTTTTCTTTGGATTTTTCTATCTTTATGTGTTAATGGATACTTCAGTTTCTATAGACTTGATTTATCTCCCCACCTACTTTTGAACTCACGTGATTTTCCACGGGAATTAAGGAAACTTGTAATTCCTTGTCGTTAGATTTGTATTTTTTTGGGCACAAATCATGTAAACGTTCTTGTAACCTGCTCCCACTATGTCTATGTTTCTGATCTTTTCTTGGATTTTCTCTCACTTCAATTTCTGTAAGACTTTCTCTGTGCTCACCTAACTCTCCAACTAACATGAGTTTTCAACGGGTTTAAGAAAGAAAAAAAGGCTGGTGTCTTTGCCAACTGAAAAGCTTATGATTTGGTAATGTCTCTATTGGCAGGATTTGAACGTGACACACACTAGCTCCCTCCTAAATTCTCGAGGAGATATTCACTACGAGACCGTTCCGAAATGGCCGTGGCTCGTGTTCTTATCCGGAGCAATGGGCTGTTTGATCTGCAGTTCCATGTCACACCTCTTTGCCTGTCACTCCAGAAGATTCAACCTCTTCTTCTGGCGCCTAGACTACGCTGGAATCTCCCTCATGATCGTCTGTTCCTTCTTCGCACCTATCTACTATGCATTCTCCTGCCATACTTACTGGCGTCTCTTCTACCTCTCCTCCATCTCAATCCTTGGTCTCCTCGCCATCATCGCACTCCTCTCTCCATCTCTCTCAGCTCCACGTTTCAGATCTTTCAGAGCAGCTCTTTTCTTAACAATGGGATTCTCTGGCGTCATACCGGCCTCACATGTGCTTTACCTTCACAAGGATCATCCCAATGTGCTAATTGCTCTCGTATATGAACTTGCGATGGCTGTGTTGTATGCAACAGGAGCTGCGTTTTACGTTACCCGCATCCCTGAAAGATGGAAGCCTGGAGCTTTCGATATCGCAGGACATAGCCATCAGATTTTCCATGTGTTTGTAGTCTTAGGAGCTCTTGCTCATAGTGTTGCCAGTCTTCTTATCATGGATTTTCGACGGGCTTCACCTTCCTGTGCCTTTTAACTCGAAAACACATTGTACAACATTTAGTGATACTTCATTCAATGTATCAATGTATGTTTGTCCCCATAGAAGACACAATGTGCTATCCAAGATATCCAAAAGTAAAGTCACTTTCGCTTACAAGTACTGTTCAAGCTTCTAGATTCCATAAGCAGATCTAATCTAGTTGAATATTGCGATGAACTAAGCAGAGCTTTTATACTTGCTGAGTGTATATATTATAGAAGGAGTCATGGAACCATTAATCAGTTGTATCATCGGAAAATGAAAGTGTAAGAAAGATACAGAGAGGAACAACAAGAAAAGCAGCAATCTTCAACAGTTCCTCTGTTTCTTTGGAGACCACGCCTATTCTTGACCAATCACCACTATACCTGAATTTTAAGAATACTATGATAAGCACTACATATATACTCTTTAGTTTTCGCGCTTTGTGAGTGTGAAAATATCTTACCCAGCATCAATGAATCCCAAACCCAGAACGGCGATCGCAGATCGAGCAAGAATTGTGTTCGGGACTTTGATTCGCAAGACGGTTCGTTTCTCGTTTGATTTCTCTGCAAATTCTCTTTTTTTCGAGACTATCGTGAATCCATTAGCAAAACCTCGGAGGTTGTCGTTAGGAGAGAATGAGATGAAGCTAGTGTGTTGTAAGGTCAGCATTTTCACTTTCCCGGAATGAGATTCTCAGACATGGTGATAAGGGCGATGTTGTTTTTGTGATAACAGCAAAGGTTTGAGGGTAAATTAGGTAATTTATCTTAAACAATTCTGAACCTTCTTCATTTTTCCCACCATAGTTCTTGTTTGCTCCAAAAACCCTAGAAAGTAGAAACCTTTGGAGCTATGGAGATGCAGGATTCGTTCCAGGTCCATAGGATACCACAATCGAAGTTTGTAGACGGAGTTAGATGGCTTCCACAAGCTTCCGCTTTGAATCGTTTCTTCGCTTCAGCGTTCTATGACCCGGATTGTGATGCTTCATCAATTGAGATCCAATCGCTTGACCCAAACCCCAGAGGGAATCAGAACTCGAACCCTTTAATCGAGTCTTTATCTTCGTGGACTTCACCTTCTCGCGTTTCTTCACTGGAAATCGCTGGAAACGGCGGTGGTGGCGGTTCATTCAAACCTATGGTTTCAGCAGCTACGTCTTCTGGTTCCCTTCATGTTCTGATGGTTGATTTGGTGGAAGGAGCTGCGATTGAGGAGGTATACGTGGCAGAAGGTGAGATGTTCCATGTGGGACGCGTGGAAGGTGTGGATTGGAGGGAGGGAGGAGAATGTGTGACTGTTGGTGAAGATGGGAGAGTGAATGTAGTGAAGATTGTGAATGGTGAAGGTTTAAGACACAGAAAGGTCTTTGATGGGAATGGCCTTGTGGCTTATAGAGCTGTGAAATGGGCGTCGCCTACTGAGTTTGTCACTGGAGGATATGGTTTTGGTTTGCAATTGTGGGATCAGAGGAAGTCTGGTGAAGCTGTTTCGCAGCTCAAAGGGAACTGGTGAGTACTCAGCTCTTTTCAAAGAGTTTTATTAATGGTTGAATTCATGCTAGTGCAATCTGGTTTGAATTCTTGGCATGATTGCTTTTCAATGATATGGAACTTGAAAGTTGTTCGATTGGGTTAGTATATTACTCTCTGTCATTTTATTCTGTGAGTTGTTTAGCAAGTTAAAGTTGGGAATGGGAAAGTTGAATCCTCTGATTTAGTAGTTTATTTAAAGAAACATGCAGTCTTGTGTTTCATCTGATGATAACATTGCAGGTTTGAAGGCAAAATTTCTGCAGTTGTCCATTCCATTGACATTCATCCATCTCGAAAGCACACTTGCATTGTAAGTACTTCCTTCTGTGTGAGGCGTGTGTTAGTGAAATTTGGTGTTATCTATTCGAAGTTTTTAACAACCATATTCACTAATCACTATACAGTATACACTGATAAATATGAGACTTTTTATTGTGATCCTCTGATAATTTTTAGTGTGATCCTCAATCTTATTCTTTGCCAAATTTACGGTGTATGGCCTCGGAAAAGTAATCTTACATTTCTTCCTTGTGAAATTTTAAAAGGACTGCCTATGTTAGAATATTAAACCACCTTGAGGCTGGAGGATATCTTCTTTATACCTTATAATCAGTCAGTCCTTCACTAGTTTCAAGAACATTTTCTTATCTTGCTCACATACTAATAAATGTTCAGTGTATTTGGTTGGTGTATCATGTTTAAAACTGAAACGACTCATTGAGTTTATTGGATAATGTATTAATATCGCCGCAAGTTAGAAGCATGATCTAATAGCTTTATCTTGATGCGATGTGTTTAGGCGGGAGGTTCTGCAGGTTCTGTTTTTGCTTGGGATCTTCGGTGGCCACAGCAACCCATAGTTCTTTCTGGTGTTGGAGCAAGTGAGAATATAAACAATCCTCTGTCTGAAAGTGAGGTATGGGAAGTTAAGTATGACTCCTACACAAAATCCAACATCTCATCCTCAAGAATTCTTCCTGTAATGACATGCTCGGAAGATGGAATCCTTGGTGTCATTGAGCAAGGTACTAAGACTTTGTCTACCACATTATTTGTTTGATCTTATATATCTTACCGAAACTGATGTTTCTTTTTACCCCCTGCTTATTATTTTTGATTCAGGGGAAGAACCGATTGAGCTTCTGGCTGAGCCTTGTGCCATTAACAGTTTCGACATCGACAGACAAAACCCACAGGTGAAAACACCATCTAACTCTGTTTCAACCTACTAGTTTACTTTGACCAAGTGTGGCTTCTAAAGCTAGTTACATTGGATTCTACAGGATGTGATATGTAGCTTAGAGTGGGAATCAATTGCAGTCTTCTCAAGGCCTTAGTAGATAAAAATATTAATCCCCGGGATATGGAATCGTGTATGGTATGATATGTTTTTTTTAGTTTGCTTCTGTGAGCCAAAAGAAAGTAGTTGAAGAAGGTGGTGATAGATGGTGAGGATGATGGAATCAAAAATTTGACTGTGTTCATAAGTTTCATTATAAAAAGATCTTGATACAATCTGCACAAACATGAGTTTTTGTATTCATCTTAAAAGTTAGTGATCTTCAAGATTGGCAGTACTTGCTTTATAACATCTGAATCTCTGTCGCTGTACGAGTGTGTGTGTATACCGACACACCAAAGTTAAACCTCAAAGTCGACAATGACACACGTGGCAGAAAAGAAGTCGGCCGCTGTAGGTCCCACCGGAGCTAATACTTGGCCCTGTAATGAGCCGTTGAAACTCTTGAAACCTCTCTTTTTGTATTCTTTTTCAATTCTTTAAAAAGAGTTAGAAGAATTTGGTAACAAGAACTTTTCAAACCACGAAACAAGAGAGAAAGACATGCCCCACGCAAAATTTTAAAGGCCTCACTAAATAAGCTTTAATCATTCGAAGATTATTTCACCAAATACTGTTCCAGCTCTTTTCTTAAGATATTCCAGAATATCTTCATTATTTTACATGATTTTCTACTCTTCTTTTTTCATACAGACCCTTTCCCTTTTGTTAATGAGAATTTCTCATTCCAACTGCGATATTGATTCTTTCTTTTACTGAGAAAAAAGTTTGAAGAACTTTGTCCTGTTTATGATCTGAGATATCTTTGTAGTTTTGTTTGCTTTCATATTGTATTCATAATGATCTTTGGTCTGGCGTGTCTTTTGTGATTGATTATATTCTCTTTTTGGATCATTTCCCCTTTAATTATATTTTTATCTACATGCTTGTGTGGAAATTCACCAAAAATCTTGAAACCTCCTCTATCTGAAGCATAGAGATTAATATAGTCATCAATCATCACTCGCATCCCAAAATCTGCAAATTTCACCAATCATTCTTCTGCAACTGTCCTGGTACAATGAGTTTCTTTCTATTCTTATTAAGATTCTGCTTCATCTCTTGGAGATACAATACTTTATTGTTTTACGATTTGTTTATATATGAAGTAACAATTACAGAACATTAAATCTATTCTCTATGTGTCAATTTTGTAGAAGAAACATGGTTGAACGAAGCCGCAGCTTTAGAATACCTGGAGCTGAGAAAAATGATCTAAGAATCGCTCTTTATGAGCGCAAAGAAGTTGTTGAGAGGCTCCAAGATGAGTTGAATGCAGAGAGAGAAGCATCTGCAACGTCAGCTAGCGAGGCCATGTCAATGATTCTTAGGCTGCAAGGAGAGAAAGCGGAGCTGGCCATGGAAGCTGGTCAGTACAAGAGAATGGTCGAAGAGCAAATGTCTCACGCTGAGATGTCGTTTGCACTCTTGGAGGATGTGATTTACCAGAAAGAGATTGAAGTCACTGCTCTTGCGTATCAAGTTGAAGTTTATAGAAGCCAGCTTCTGAGCTTGGGGTTTAGTGATTTGAGTAGCTTAGATGCTAAGCTTCAAGAGAATGATGATCTAGATGAAAATATGTTGAAGATGAATGATTTGTTTTTGAGTGATAGATCTCAAACACCCTCTCCAGAATTGGTTACCGATTTTTCGATTCCCGAGGAGAAGGAAGTTATTGAGCAAAGCTTGGAATCACAGAAGAGTTCCTTAGATGTGTACTGGGAGCAGATCAAGAAACTTAATGAGCAAGTGAAAGAGCTTACAGGTTTTAGAGATTCTATGAGAGATCAGCACAGGACTTCAGTGTCTCAATCTGGACTAAACAAGGGAGAAGAAGATTTTGCAAGCTCGTCAAACTTTCAAGAAGATACACAAGAAAGAAAAGAGGAAGCAAAAAATTTGTGTAAAACTGATGACACCATGGTGATAAAGGTTGCAAAGCAGAAAAAGATTGAAAAGAAATCATCAAAACAGACGAGAGACAGAAGTGGTAAGAGAAACCGTGCAGAGTATCAAGCTGAGTTGCTGCAGTTGAGACAGAGAGTAGAACGACTTGAGAGAGGAAAAACAAACACAGAGCCTGAAACCAGTGGAGTGATTAAGCAAGAAGAGATAAGTCTACTTAAGGAAGTGAAGGAGGAGCAAAGTAGTTCTGTGCAGTCATCTGAAGTAAAGAAAAGCTTGAATACAATGGCAAATTTACAACCTTGGATCGACCCAGCCATTATATCTGTTCAAGAGGTATATGCATACAAAAACTTTGACTATATGCATACAAAAATTTTGACTGGTAAAACTGTGATCAGTTTTTTTTATTACAACTAACAAATATATTTGGCATGTTTATTGAACAGGCAATGCTATACTTCTGGCTATGAGACAAAGAAAAAAAAAAAGGCACTAGCAGATTTTTGGTTTGTTTTGAGTGTATGTCATTGTGTTCTGTGTTTGTTTGCCTAAAGTCGAAATCTGTAAATGTTTGTATAAAGCTCACAAATTTTCTTTGTAGATTGTCTTTTGAGAGACACTTTGCAAAAACACCATCTTGTGGATACCTAGTCGCTTTTTGTATATAAATATATATTGAGGAGATATGCAAAAGACAAGTCTGTTTTCTTGGTCCACGATTTATCTGTAACCAATCTTGGAACTTGGAACCATCATACAAACTGAATGTCTTGTAATCAAGAATCAGCTTAATGAATCTGAATATAACCACTTTAAACCTGGACTTGGAACTTTTCTTTGAAGAACCAATAAGATCAAGGAACTCTACTTTCTACAGACATAATCTGACAACTTTCAGCCGATCTACTCTTTTTGAAAGACTGAGACTTGCTACATTAACTCTGATCAGAATGTACACGCATGCCTCATTTGGGGTTTTATTAAGAAGAAGCAGCCATTATAGACAAAAACACAGATAAAGAATCAACTATTTTATATACCCATTTGCTTCATCCACAAAGACCATTTGATAGCCTCAAGAAACTCATCGTTCCTGCGCAAAGCTGTGACTAAATTGGTGTAAGTTACTTTATCAGGTATTATCTTTTTTCCTCTCATCTCCTTCACCAACCCAACAGCTTCTTCAACCATACCACCTATACCATAAGCCTTTATCAGTGTGTTATAGCTACACAAGTCAGGACCAAGTCCAGATTCTTTCAATTCTGTCAGCACTTCCGTGACTTCATCGATCCATCCTTGCTCTCCATATATATTGATCATGATGTTATATGTATAATGATCTGATCCACAAGTAGACTTCATCCTCTTCAAGATGCTTCTGAATTTCTCCATCTGTTTATCTTTCCCATATGCATCCAGCATAGAGTTATAAGCTTCAAGTGACACAGAAAACCCGTCGAATTGCATGTTCTTAATCGCTGACGACATGTTTTTGAAGTCCTTGTTCTGTCCATAGGCGGCTATAATGGTGTTGTAAGATATTACATCCACAACTCCGTGTCTTTTCGCCAACAAGAAAAGCCCGTTAACCTTTTCAAAGAGCTTGGCTTTCCCATAAACATCAAGGAGGACATTGAATGTGACTGTATTAGGAGTAAATCCATTTCGAATCATCTCCTCAAAAGTACTTGAGAGCTCATCAAGCGGAAGAGCACGTGCACAACAGTTTATAACACAATTGTACATCTCCTGATCCCAATGGATCCCGCTCTTTCGAATCCTGTAGTATAAAAGCTGGAGTTTATCCTGAAGACCACATTTCTGATATAACCGAAGCATATCCCGAAATAAGTACACATCCGGAACAATGTCTTTTTGCTCATCCATGGTTTCTAGGACAGAACAGGCTTCTTCCAAGGATCCAGCTTTCACATACATCCGTACCACAATGCTGAATCCAATCCTGTCCAAAACAACTCCAGATGATTTCAACTTTAAATAAAGCTTTTCCGCTTCACCAAATTCGCCCATCACTGTGTAAATGTCAATCATTGTGGATATAATGTGCAGATTTATTTCTTCATCAGATTCCAATGTATGATTGTATATTTTCACAGCATCCGTAAGTTGACCAGATTCTTTGCAAGAGCAAATCAACAGATGATACAAGTGGGACTCAAATGCTGAGTCTCTCCACTTCTTTTCTCGCAACAATGCCAAGCAATCATCAACCATACCATGTTTGATATAAGCCATCACTAAGATCGAGAAAGAAGTCTGGTTTATAAGGATATGGTTATGAAAAGAACCTTCGAGAACATAAGGCACTACATCAAGCTTTCCAACCTTCTCATAAGCCTGCAAAATGATGCCAAGGATTGAGGAGTACTGGCATCCAATATTAACCATATCTTTGATTGTCTTAATGGCACCATCTTTGTCTCCATATTTAGCCTGCAAATTGATTAAAGTAAAAAGATTGGATGAATTGGGTTTATATCCCAACTGCTTCAGCTCTTGATAGTAATGCTTTGCTTCATCATAATTGTCAGCGCGGCCCCAACCTTCAATCATTGATCTGTAACTTGTTTCATCTGGTTCAATCCCAATATCGTAGAAGCGGTGGAATAAACTCTGTGCAGCCTCCATTTTAGAAACCTTACCATAGCCAGTTATTAGAGTATTGTATGCAATTATATTCTGAGAAAACCCTGCGGCTTCCATAGAGGTCAATACAGATTCTGCTTGTTCCATCTTGCCTTGCTGACTATAAGCATTAAGCATCACTAACCAATTTTCAAGCTTCAACCTCACTCTATCTTTTTTCATCAAGTCAATAACTTCCTCTGCTTTAACGTATAATCTCAAACGTGTGTAAATCGTTATCATCGCGGAGTAAGCAGATTCACACACAATCCCGAATTTCCTCATTTGAGAAAATGCGAACTCCGCTTCATCAACATTCCAATTCTTCTGATAGAGACCCATGAGCATACCTATTGTAGCCACATTTGGTCGAACACCGAGCTCCAACATCAACTGAAACCATTTTGAACCTAACTTCACATTCCCCTTTTTAGCACACGCATATATAACCGTGTTGAAGACCTGAAAACTCTGCTGGAAGCCCTGAAACCCACACAACTCTTTGATCAGATCCTCGGCTCGGTCCCAATCTTGTCTCCTTCCTAAAACTCTAAGAATCAAACTGTAAGCACTAAAGTTACCTTGCAATTTTCCGTTACAACTCATCCAATCAAAGAACTTGACCGCATTAGAGTCACTGCAACTCTCAAGACGTTTCAGTATACCATTGCAATGCTCCAAACTCAAAGTGGGCTTAATAGCGGAGTAGTTAACATCCATTTCCCCATTGTTCACAAGCAACTCCTCAAGCTCAAGGTTAATGCTTTCTCTTCGGAAACTGAACTTTTTAACTACATCTTTCTTTGTCCCTCTCTTATTACCACTACTGACGGTCTTTCCACTTTTCAATTTAGAACTCGAGCTTCTCTCCACCTTAGCTGCACTCGCCGAATCAATAGCATTCTCGGTCTCCTCTGCTTCAACATCGAGACGAGATACTCGAATTTTCTCAGCCCTGACGAGAGAACCAATTCTAGTGGCGGGAACATAGCTACTAGTAACTGAAAAAATTGGGAATTGATCAGGAAACTGAAATGGGTTCGCAGAAAAATGAAATCTTTTTGAGTCGAACGGGTCCAGTGGAATGGAAAACCTTAACGAACCCATTACCGCTAGCTACAAAAACATTGCCGGATCAAATCAAAACTAAAAGTTAAAAGTTCTGTTTCACAAGAGAGAGAGAGAGATAGAGATAATGAGAGGATAGTAGAAGAGCTTACTCGCCCGCCCCAGCAAGATAGCTTCTTTCTTCCTGTGGTGGGATTGCTTGACTATTTTCAGTAAACCGGAAATCAAATCGGCCTCATTGTTCAATTTGGTCGGACCAGACCAACATATAATATATAGTACAGTATATAATATATTAAAAAACAAAATGGAATTAAAAATTTAATTTTGGCTATTTTCTTGATGTTTATCATTGAGTCTGGTCAACTATACATACAACCCAACACAAAGTAACAAAAATGATCTGAGACAACCATGGAAACTCTAATTACTTCCATTCTCAAAGCTAAACAACCAACAAAGACCTCCTCGTCACTCTCTTAAAGATAAAACTAAAATCTCTCCATGAATCAAACCCAAATGCTTGCAAATGCTTCTTCCAAAGCCCTCCTCTTGCTTATCTCTATAGAAAATCCTCCAGCTCTCTCTGCTTCACCTTCCATTGAGTAAAGTTGATGCTTTGCTCCTCCTTTTATAGGCACTGGTTGTGGACCCATTCCCGTTGGTCGTGGAGCCTGACCGTATGCAGTTCCAGCAGTAACCCCATGGTTTGACGACTACAAATACATAAACAAGCAAAAAAGTTTTTTAGCTTCGTCAGAAATCTTCAGCTTTTTGCCGATATGAAGATCAAAACTCTATTTACCGTATCAGCATCAGTTTGTGGGGGTTTGGCCTTGCAAGCTGCCAAGGCTGCAGTTAATTCTTCAGCCTGTTAGAGCAAATTGCAGAGTTAGACTAAGATTGTCGAATAGAGAATGAAACAAGACTATTTCCATTTTGCACAGTTTTTCTTGAGGTCTGACATGTTTATAATGGCAAAAAGCTTAAATCCGAAAATCAGGATGATAAAAAGTGAAATATAACCAGACATGCTTTCCAATCTTCATTTAACCAAGGTAAGAAATAGTAAAGGCAATTGTAGGCATTACCTTGCGAGCTCGATTAATCATTATCTGTTCAGCATTCTCTTTAGAGTATTTCTTAATCTTCTCCTCAATCGCCTCAACATTTATTCCATCTATTAAGTCAAATACTGGTGGAATAGAATAATGTATATGTATTGGTCTTGTCTGGCATGAATACAGAAAACAAGGAAGGAGCACAAGTGTAACTAACCCATGCACTCCACTTCTTCCAAGTAGTCATTGTACTCTTTAAGTGATGAAAAATCTTCTTCCCGTCTATTGAATCTGTATCAGCAAGAAGAATTTGATAATCGAGAGGCTGAACATACTCAGCTTCTAAAGAATTACAACGATGATACCTAATGATAAATCTATTTCTCATATGTTCATTCATGTGACTAAAAATCTCCATTTTATACTGAGAAATAGTGGGAAACAATCCAGATACATATCCATGGAGCCTGTCACTTGTGCCTTTACTTCATTAATTTTATAAATAAGATGATCAGATGTGAAGCTTAGTACTAAACATGCTAACACTTCATACTGATCGATGCGTAATAGATTCATCAGGGGGTTTTATATTAGACGATATGCACAGGCAAGCAACATAAGCAACAAATGAAAAAGATAGGGATGAAGAATACATCTCAGAGATTCTCCTTCTGACATGTATTTCCTTGTTGTGATGGGTAGAATTAGATACCAACACCATAATTGCTGCTGCGTGAGCCTCTTGTCCTGTCCTCTACCTACAGGACAATGAGATCAAATGTGTCCAAAATCATGTACTAGCGAAGTACTGCTGTAGAGTTTGGTTTGGTTTCTCGTTAACTTAAACACAAACGGCTCCATCAGGAGACATAATCTTGTGTCTGCTTCCCCATAAGACAAACATTATTATTACGATGCAACTAGCTAATATCAAAACCACAAACACAAAGTACTGGTTTGGTTTCTCGTTAAATTAAACACAAACAAAGCTAGCATTGATGGACGTTCTCAAACCAGATCAATCACTACCTTAACTTAAACGAAACAAACTTAACTAAATCAAAGCAAAGGGTTATGAAACGAGCCAAAGTTTTATACGAAACAAACTTAACTAAATCAAACACAGACACGAACACAAACTTGCAGTTTATGAAGCAAAGCAAACAGCGATTATGAAGCAAAGCAAACACAGACACGAACACAAACAGCGATTATGAACACAAACAGCAATCTTTTATAAACATCAAAATCCCAAACACAGACACGAACACAAACAGCGATTATGAAGCAAAGCAAACACAAACACGAACCAACACTTAGAAAGTTAGAATCGATCTTTACCTGAGATGTGTAGCAGCAATTACGAAATACCAAAGCAGAATCGAGTGTCTGTCTTCACAATCTAAAACCCATGATGTCAAGCTCGATCCTTGAACAACAATGGCGGAATTGAGACAAAGAACTTTGGCTTCACAACAAAGAGAAAACGCTTGAATCAAAGAGCAAGTGACGGAAACGAATTGAATCAAAGAACCCACTTTGAAATCAAACAGCAATCGAGTGTCTTGACTTCATTATCGATGTTGGAATCACTAAGAACTCACTGATCTGATGTCGACGGGAAGAAGAAAGGAGAAGACTAGGTTTAGTGTTTTGATTCTTTTGAAGCAACGACGTCGTTTAATTGATGAGTCTGTATTAATTTGGGTACCCGCCCGTTTTTAACCCGTTTTGTTTAATGAATGAAAAACGGGTTCCAGTACCCTATCAAAAAACGGGTTTTGGGTAACCGATGGGGTTTTTACCCATTATTAACCATAGAAGTAGATTTTTTGAAAGAAGATCTTCCTCAACTTTTTTCGTATACCTTAAGTTTTCAACATTTTAAGCGTACTCATATAGATGGTAACAAGTATTCAAAGCTTGTTGAGTCAGAAATGAATGATCAATTATGAGTGATATAATGTTACAGGATGAGTAGTACACTATAACAAGTCACTACCAATAGTCTCCGCATGAGCAGACACCATCTTTGAAGTGATGGAAGCGGTTGGCATCTCTTACAACAATCACTCTCTCTGTGATCTTTGAGATGAGTTTGGTTGCGGTGTGACAGTCTAAACAGACGCGAAGATTTTTCATGATCCGGATTTCTGTTCCTGGCTCAGTGGCTATGAGTCCAAAGGCAATGGCTAGCCTCTCGCTGTGAACCTTCACCATGAGCTCCCTTTCTTCCTCCTCCACATCGTGCAGGGCCAACTCAGTCTCTGGTTGATACCCAGCTTCCCTCATCTTCCCTTCGAGCTTCTCCAGCCTCTCATAGATTGCTTTTACTTGTGGATGTGACTGATCACCTGAGGTAAAGACATGTGGCATCTCACCTATCTCTATTAAGGTATATCCAGGAGCTTTGGCTAGTTTCCTCTTCTTGGCGGTTTGTCTAACAGTAGCAGCCTGTGGATAGTTTCTATCAGCTGAGTGAATATTTGAAAGCAAAACATGGTATCCTACATTGTCTGGATCTAGCTCAAACAGCTTCTCAGAGACCGTTCGGGCGAGGTTTGTATCTTTATGAATCCTACAAGCTCCTAGCAGCGTTTCCCACACAGAAGGACCAGGCTCAATCGGCATTGCCTCTATAAACTGCAATGCTCTCTGTAAGTGTCCTGCTCGGCCAAGAATATCAACCACACAGGCGTAATGCTTGACTGATGGTTCAAAACCATACCGGTGGATCATGGAATTGAATATCTCATCACCTTCTTTGACGAGGCCGGCATGACTACAAGCGTAAAGCACACAGAGGAAAGTGACTGGTGTTGGTAGAATGCCGGAATTCAACATCTCAGAGAAGATATTCAGAGCTTCTTGTCCATGTCCATGAAGCCCATAACCAGAAATCATTGTGTTCCATGTAACTTCATTTTTCCTCGGCATCAAGTCAAACAACCGACGTGCTTCTGCAATGCTTCCACACTTCGCATACATACCAATCAAAGCTGTTGACACATATATGCTAGACTCAAAATCTGTGCTCCTAACTAAATCATGCACCCATTTTCCCAAACTCAACACTCCTAGTTGCGCACAAGCCGACAGAATACAAGTTATAGTGGTCGGGTTTGGGCTGAATTCAGACTTCTGCATTCTTCTGAAGAGAGATATCGCGTCCTCTGTCAACCCGTTTTGGGTGTAACCCGATATCATTGCATTCCAAGATGGCAAGCTTTTTTCCGGAGACTCATCAAAAAGCTTCCGGGCTGATTCTATCTCATTCAATTTACTGTAAACCGTAGTTAACGAGGTTGAGACAGATGTATGAGACAGGAAATTTGATTTCAGGCTGTAACCATGAATGGCATATATAAGCATAAGATGACCAGAGACAGGGATCAGACTCATTAGCGTGCTTGAGTTCAACCTTTGTCCTGATAACACCAGCTCTTTAAACAGGCTTAAGGAGAGATTGGTCTCCCCATTGGATGTGTATCCATGGATCATTGCGTTGTAAGCTACTACATCTGGTTTATGAAACTCACGAAACAGAGTAGTTGCCATTTTAATCTTTCCACACTTGGAGTATAGTGAGATAAATCCGGTAAGAACATAATTGTGGGAGTAGCATCCAGTTTTTGTCGCAAGACTATGGATTTGCATCCCGAGTGTCAGCCCCTGCAACTCTGCAACAGCGGGAAGAATATCAAGCAGAGTTGTTGTGTCCAAACGTATACAACTGTCACTGATCAAATCCCTGAAAACCTGAATAGCTTCCTCATACATTTCATTCTTCCGGTACCCAGAGATCATCGTGTTCCACAAAACTGTGTCTTTCTCAGGCATTCTATCGAACACCTTCCTAGCATTTCCGGCTCGCAAAAACTTGAAGTACATTTTAACAATGTTCGACCCAAGCAGCAACTCTGAGTCACACCCATCAACGACCGCTTGACCATGAATAACACAGCCAGGTCTCTCGTCACGAAGCCCAGAAGCAGCCGAGATAGCGAAGGCGTAGGTTGAGCTGTTGGGCTTGAGTTCAGTGGATTTCCTCAGATGGGCGAACACAGAGAGCGAAGAGTGAGGTGATTCGTTAACTGAGAAGCCGCGCATGAGGACGTTGAAAAGGAAAACGTCAGGTCTTCTAACGGAGAGGAAAAGGTCGCGTGCGTAGTAAATGGCGCCGAGGTCGGAGAGTCGTTGGGTAAGCTTGGTGAGCAATGAGATATCGTATCGGAAGCCATGGACAATGACCTGAGCATGGGTTTGTGCAAGGTGAGCTACAGAAGTTGATCTTTTAAAGAGATCGAGAAAGTTGTTCTTGCTTGCGACGGTTGTCTCGGCGGTGGCGGCCGATACGGTCCGTAGTAGCATTTGGCGTGTTTTGCCTTTCAGAGAACACGAAACAACATATCAAATTTAAATCATTTTTTACCTTTTAGTTTCTTTCAAATTATAACAGTTTCTTTCTTGTTAATGTAATTTTGGTCGTGTCAGTTTCAACTTCTCTCTATTCGGTGAAGAGATACGATTATGTTTTGTAAGTGATCAAATTTTCAAAAAATTAAGCCGAAAAGAATGGGAATCCTAAATTTTTTTTTTTTTTTGTTATGATTCCTAAACTCTATAATAAAACATAAGACCTTATACATGTGAACAATTAAATTTCCTTTTTCTTTATCCTAAGACTTTCGGACTGTGATCTACTGATCTTTCACTTCCTTTTTTTTTCCTACGCTACTGTTTCATACCAAAAAAAAGAAGAAGAGAACATCAACAAGCAAAGATCAAAAAGGGATCTCGACAAGAGAATATTGGCATCAAAGAGCAATTTACAGGTGATCAGTGTTGAGCGTGTGGTATCTGTAAGCTTTGTTATTTATGGCCATGGAAACTTGCTTAATGGCAACATTGGAGGAGTCTCCTCTGCATCTTCTCCTTCTTCTCGCCTAGTTTGTATAAGATGAGTCCTCAGGCTACACTCTTCTATCTGTTTCATGCGACCATATCTCGGTTTCAACTTATTTTACTACAATCATTTTTCATTGATTTCTTGGATCGATTTTGTTACCTGCATGATTGCGGTTGCTGCCAGAAGATCTTCACATTTTTCTTGCATAGAACTCTCTTTTGCAACTACAACAGCAAGTTCTGTGACCATTTTGTTCATCTCCTCCACCTGCGAATACATATCACAAAGAACAGTGCACCCGCTTGAGAATTATGTCAAGAGGATAGACTTGAAAAACAGATTTCTTTAAAAGGTCTCACCTTTGAGAGTAGAGACCAAATGGAAGATCCCATAGCCTGCATCACATCAAGGGCAGAGGACATAGCTGCTTTCAAAGATTCGACATCCGCCTGTAGTAAGAGAGGTGTTCATAACTGATATTTATATTCTTGATCTTGTAATATTAAGTTTCCATGAGTATTCGCAAAAGTAAGAATATCTACCTTTGTTCCTCCAGTCGCTGGAAGGCGGAGAGTATTTGCTTCTAGATCTGCAATGGCTCCAACTAAAGAACTAACATGGTCTCTTTCAAGTGTGGCCCAATCTTCAAGGCTCACCATCTGTGCGCGTATTTATGCATAAACATGGCATGATCTGATAAATACAAAGCCAATATATAAGAGAAAGAGAGTGAACCTACCTGATTGTTCAATAGTGAGTTGAGTTTGATCTCTAGATTTAGCTGTTGTAAGCCAATCCTCTGCCTGGTCACATGATCCTGTAGTTCTGATATCGCATGCCACACACTGAATAGGGTTTCCTGAAGTCAAAACTTGAATTTTCAGACGTCTTTAGATCAATCAGTTAAAACAACGGTCATGTTAGAGCTGACGGAAGTGTTATATACCTCGGAAGTTAATCTTTGAATATACATTACAGATTCAGCTCGTGCAATTGCAAACCGCCACTGTAAGTATCTATTGTGGAGCAGGCGCAGTTGATGAACATCTTCGATGTAGCTTGCTTTTTTGCCTTTCTTGACATCTGTGATGAAGCTGAGAACCGAAGTTGTGGTACTGGATTGTGTTGAAGTGCTCGTTTGTCTTATCCGTGATGGACTTACCCCTCTGGAAGGTGGAGTTGAAGGTCGAGCAAAACAGGAGGTATTTGTGCCACGTGAAGGACTTAACCCTCTTGAAGGACTTAAACCTCTAGTAGGACTCAATCCTCTTGAAGGGCTTAGTCCTCTTGCTGGACTAACTCCCCTCGAAGTGCTCATGCCTCTAGAAATAGATGATGAAGACGAAAAAGATGTTCTACTTGGTGAAGCAGGGCGAGATCCAGGAGCAGACGATGGATGCAACCTAGCAACAGCCGTTGCTAAGGTTTCTCTATCTAACGAATCTGCAGACAAAAGTCTTTGAGCCCCAGATGCTCGAGCTATGTTATTATCTTCCGACTTTGTTGGAGACACTAATCCACCATTACTAGATGTGTTACTAGAAGTTTTATGCAAAGGTCTCGAACCGCTGGACAAAGGTAGTGACATTCTCCTAAGAGACGCCCCCATTCCAGGCCCTGAAGTTGGTAGACCCCTTGATGCCTTGTCGCCAAGATCCAAGCTTCTATGTAAGGAATTCGAAGTGATCATTCCACCGATTCTACTAGGCCACCGATGCTGTTCTATTAACCGACTATGAGGACCATCTGAAGGTTTCGAATTCTCTGAAAGATCAGACACGTTATTCTTCCCTTTCAATGGACTTCTTTTCCTCTCTGGCGTAGGTTTCCTTGATACAGGGGTCGTTTCAGCCTTCTGCTTTTGAGCTATATTCGAAGAAGGTCTCAGTGTTCGATCAACAGAAGAACTACTAACTGGTTTTTCCTTTTTACTAACCGGGACTGAGACCGAATCAGACTGAAACGAAACGCTGAGGCTTCTCATAGTGGAAGGCCATAAGCTTTCAGGCAAACGACCTGTAGATAGCCTCCTCGATGAAGCTGGTAAGTCTATAGACAAGTCACGTATTGGTGTGGAGGGACTCATGGGGGATGGCGGTGTTGAAGGTCGCTTCCTCTCTGCTGAAACTGCTCTTTTCACAGCCACGGATTGAGACCTTGAAGACACTGTTGGCCTTGTGACGCTTGGGGAAGGGCATCTCCCGGTTTTGGTTGGCGTCGGTGATCTGTATCTTGAACTGACCTCTGTTGTTCGAGGACGGCGACTGACAGCAACTGCATTGTTCTTCTCTGATGAAACAAGACGCCGCTTTGTAGTATCTGTAGCTACGTCCATTCAAGCTCACAAACCAAACTTGCATTGATTAGATTTAGCCGTTCATGCCTCTCCTTAAATTCTGTAAAATGAAGACCCTTTATTCTGCAAGAAAACCAAAACCCAGGAGAAAAGATAAGATACCTCACACTCACAGATAGGCCATGCGAAGAAAAGAGTAAAGAGCAAAGAATATTGAACAGGCCAAATAAAGAAAATTAAAGAAAAGATTCTACCTTTACAACAGAAACCCATATCAAGACTTCCACAAGGATTATCCACAAACTAATGACGGTTTCGTTATATATTATATGAAGAAAAAAACAAAAGCAAATGCAAACTAGAAAATCAAGACAGAGATGAGAACTAACAACAGTGGAAGGGATAAGAAAGTTGTAAAAAAAAATAAAAACAGTGGTCAAACAAGAGAGAAAGGTGAGTCAAGTGCTAACTAGTTAGTTGCAGATTCACACAATATCAGGGAATATTTTTTTAAATAAAAAAAGTATCGGAGGAAGAATCTTTAGCAGTGTCTTTGTCACGGCAGTGCCATGGTCAGATGTGCTGGAAAAATTTAATGGAGATTACGTTTCAATCTAGAAACAAAACTTCTTCTTCTATCCATCAACATCACAACACCTCAAAAGAAAATTCATTTATCACCTTGCAAACAGTAAACTTACTAAATTAAGCAGCTCGAGTAAGTAGTAATTAGTTTCAGAATGTATGATATATGTAGCAGCAGGAACTTATTTTATAACAAATTAGCAAAAGTGGATATTTTGACAGATATGTTTTGTTGGTTTGTCCAAATATGGGACCACCGTGAATTGAAGAATCAAGAACCAGTGACCACTCTCCGATAGAAAACCACCGGGGTGTCATTGAGAAATGATGGAAATGCAGTAACAGTGATGATTGTGATCTGATCCTTTTTGAGTTATGAGAGAAAAAAACACTTCAAGTTATGTCGAGAAAGGGAAGGATGAAAGGAGAGAATCAATAGAAAGGATTGAAAAGAAACTTTGTTTTGTTTTTCTCTGTTTCTGAGTGAAATGAATAAGATGGTTCTGACGAAGAATCCAAAAAAGTTAAATTTGTCAGTTACTGACATAGACTTGTGTCTCTCATGACACAGACTCCTTTTTTTTTGTATCCATCAAAATTTAGTAATTTTTTTTTTATTCTAAAGAACAATCGAAACAACAACATTAAACATATCCAACAAATATTTTCAAACAATGATCAAAATTTTATTATAACAAATCAATCTCAGATCGCAGCTATGAAAATTCAATACCCAGAAACTCTAGGGTTCGTTCTTCCGATTTTTGAAAAGAAACAAAAATTGGGATCGATACACCCAAATGTAGAAGCTAGAACTTAGAGATCCGATGAATCTGAGGTCGGAAAATTGAAAATCTTACCAGGAAAATGAACCCAAAAGAATCCGAGAAAAGTAAGCAAGTCCCGTGAGAGGCTCCGAGATCGAAATTGGGAATTACGAACGCGATCGAGAGTTGTTGATTAACCCAAGCTGGAAACCGTGAAAAAATGTTTCGCCGGCGATGAAGAATGCTCGTGTGGATTTAGAAATATTGTTTTTTTTAAAACGCCGGAGAAAGAATTGATCGGGCGATTTAAGAGGATTTGGTTGAGAGAGAGAGAGAGATCAAAGAGAGAGAGAGAAAGAGATCAAGAGAGAGAGAGAGAGGGCGTTATTTTCGCGCCACCTAATTTTGATATTAAAGAGTCTTTATTTATTTTTTATAGCCTTTGTTCGTAGAGGTCATTACTACTACAACTATAAAAATTTATTTTTTTTTATTTTTATTTTAGGACATAAACAAAACCGATTTTGAGTAAACCGTTATCGGAATTGAACCGGAAACCTTAAAACCATTTATAATCTCCGTTACTAAAGTCTAAATAACCATATATGATCATGAGATTCTAGTTTTTTTTTTCTGTTGGCACTATTGATCTACTTAAGTACCAATCGAAATTGTTGATATGGGGTTAGTTTAATCATTAGAAAAAAATATTTTGCAATGGATCGAGACAAAACGTGACAAGCTTATGGAACTGATGATTACTTCTTGGGTTTTAAAATAATGATACAAATTGGCATTTTACTCCGAAAGCTCTTATTTTTACACATTACATTACATAATATAGTTACGTAAGGTTACTTTTCCCCACCCAACCCAACCTTACCTACATATCCATAAAGAGTTATGAGGAAGAAGCTCTATTTTACATGAAATTTTAGGAGAAAATGGAAATTATGATGGTTACCCATGATTTGTGTTTGGTCATTCATTCTCTTCTTTCTCTTTTTCATTTTTTTTTGTCTTTTCTTCTACTTATGAGAATAACATATATACCAAACACATACGATGGCTAATCCCCAACTAAGTTTCTTTTTCTCATAATTTTCTTGTTGACTTCTTTTATTTTTATTATTAAAAATACTTTTGAATTTTATTCGTGTTATTAATAGTGGTTTAGTACAATACATAAAACCCAATAAATGAATATATAAAACCCAATAAATGAATATATAAAACCCATTTTTTAAAAAAAGAATGGAAAGAAAGGTTTGCTCCCCACATGAGATGATTTGGACATATCATATGATATTAAGCTTTCTATAGACCTTTGTCTCTCTTTCTTTTGTGTGTCCCCTTACCTCGTGGAGTCTTCTTGCTCCTACTTTACTTCCACTTGGGACTTCTATCTATCTTTGTATTTTTGATATTACAAAATTACATACTCATCTTTCCTTCTCACTTTGATATATTTTTGTTTTATCTTCTTTTATGTATTGGCTACACATGTACGTACTGCCAACACATTTTAGAATCATTGAACCTGGCACACATTTACGTGTAATACTACTACTATATCATGACATATATCTCTCTATCTACTCGTCTAGTCCTCCCGTGGTCCGTTCAAGGATTCTTCAATGTGGCTAGAAACCCTAAGATTACCGTTTCCTACTTTTATTGAACTATTCTATTGATCGCCAAACTTTTACCTCTTCTTCAAACGGGTAAAAGAAGATAGTTCAATCTGTAAGTGATGTCAGTCTACTGTTATGGAGTTTAAACTTGTTAATAGGGAGATTAAACTTGTTAATAGCTAGGGAGATTAAGTTTCCGGACAAAAAGAAAACTATTGACTAACAAATAGAAACAAAAGTAATCTAATCTAACGTGTTCAATTATTTAGTTTACCGACATATATTTCAGAACTATTAGTATATGTGTACAAATATGAATATGCTAGTTACAAATTATATCTATCAAACCTCTTTTGTACAAGTGTGTACTCGAGATAGAAAGAAAACAAAGGAAGTCTATTATACCTTTTGTATAAGTACTGTACTAATAGCACTTATACATTATTATTGTTAGGAAGCTACTATTATAATATGCGTATGAAGAAATGTTGGAAAATAAATCTTTGCGTCTTGGTGTGTGACTAATTATAATAAGCAAGAGGTCTCAAATGATGAATATTCACGTGCTTAGCACAATTATATTGACCACACTAGAAACTAGAGTTATTATATATTCGTCATCATGTCTTCGCAATGTGTTTTAAACTTGTCTAAAGCTTGTCGTTTTCTTGTTTTCCACTCGTATCTATTAGGCTGCGGTGTAGTTTCCTCGATCATGTTGTCTTTCTTACCGTTTTCTTTTTTCTTCCTCGATCAAGTTGTCTTTTGTTACTATTTGTGAGAATCATTTGTTTCTTATGAACAAGATTCACTGCCTAATTAGCCCTTAGATATATAATGGTTGTTTGAGTAAAACTAACTCAATTTTGTCTCTTTTGGTTGAAAATGTGATTGATAGTATATAGTCTAATTATGGTGGACCCTTTTTTTATATGATTTCAGGCTTCGTGATGCTCGGAACCTCAAAAAACGACGGACACATGACTTGGCCTAGAAGCCATTTATAGTTCCATAAATAATTATGAAGTAAATATATCATAATACTGTACTACTGATCAAAAGATATCATAAGAGTAAACAAACAGTCACTGACATTTTACACTAGTTTGCTTATTTAACTAAAACTACGGCAAAATTTCTTCTAGCTGCTGATGATTCTCACTTCTGATCTGAGCATGTATTTTTGTATCAATTCTTAAGCTTTGGTACAACAAAAACCGATTCAAGGACGAAGCAGCCCCCATTGATGTTCTTTTACCTCGACAAGGGCAGAAAAATAACATAGGGATGAAGGAAGTTTTTGACAGTCTTCTTCACCATCCTCATCCTCATCATCCTCATCATCATCATCATCATCAGTACTTTACAAGTCCAGCACCTTGAGCCTTTCCAATAACTGACTCTATAGTTCCATCAAAGAGATCAAAGCTTTTGGCAACAGCAAAACCTGAAAACATACCATCCACTGCAGCACTTACAATGCCACCCGCATAACCAGCTCCTTCACCAACTGGATATAGACCTTTCAAACTCGTGCTCTCGTAGGTCTCATTGCTTCGAGGTATCCGAACGGGGGAGCTTGTTCTTGTCTGGTTGAACAAAGTTGAAACATTGTTGTTATCTCTGCCCTGACGAGTAGATTGATTCAGGACAAGGAAGATATAAAATATACCTCTACGCCGTGGAGGAGTGCTTCCTCTGAGATGAATCCCGGTAACTGAAAGTTCAAAAGTTTAGAGGAAAAACAAAAGCTATGGGTTCGTTTACAATATGTAGCGATAAGGAAATATCTAACCAACCTCTTTTTCAAACATAGAGATAGACTGTCTCAGCGCCTCTGTGATATGAGCAGGAAACAGTTCATGTAGATTTGCAGACTTCACTCCTAATCTATAGCTTGATGGAGGTAAAGGTGTTTCTGTTTTACACCACAAGAACATCCAAAAATCATCAAAATCGAACAGTTAGAACAAAAAGATACGAACTGAGCAGTAAACAAATGTTTTTTATCTACCAGATAACTTGTTTTGCAGAAAATCAGTAACCCTTTGTACAGGAACTGTGAAATCACCACCACCCATTATAGCCGCTCTTCTTTCAAACTCTTTCTAGAGAAAGAAATAAAACAAAATATTAGATATATCAAATATGAATCGAGAGTAGTAAAGTAATTCACTTTCAGATTGATACCTGAAACTCAATTCCAGCTAAGGGTCCGCTAAGATTGAGAAGATCAAAGTCTTTTGCTGAGACTGTGACGACGAGTGCAGCATTGGCCCATTTGGATGAACGGCGGGAAAATGACATGCCATTGATGCAGAGTTCGGCTGGATTTGTGCTGGTGAGAACAACCTGAATATACACGGAAACAGGCTTCATGATAAATCGAAAAGAAGAAAAAAACAGCAACACATTCTTTGTGGACACTGTACCTGACCACCAGGACACATGCAGAAGGAGTAACAACTACGTTTTGATGAAGACTGCGAGAGATCCTCATCCTTATCATTCACATACTGAACAACCTTGTAATCCGCCACTGGTACTTTACCTCGTCCTTTAAGAACTTCATTAGCCATATCCGAGTACTGGAAAGAAAGACCATCACAAGAACGTATGTGTTTATATACAAGTCAAGACTTGAATAACGATAAGGTACAATAAACTCATGGGATCTGATTACTGAAGATATATGGTGTTAAGATAATCCAACCGACCTGTATATGGTTTATTAGCTCCTGAGGATGCTCAACGCGCAAACCAACCTGGTCCACACAAACCGATAGAAATCAAATGATAGATAATACAGCCAAGGGAGATAAGGTATCCAGATACATTGATTCAGAATGGAAAGTTTTAAAAAACAACACACTCAACAACATATATACAAGGAACTTACAGCAAAATCTTTTGGGGTCAGTTCAACATTACGAGAATGAAGCATCTCATATGTGTCACGTGCTGAGTGACCAACTGCAAGAACAACTGCATCAAACTTTAAATTTTGGGAGGTACTCTGCAATTGGTTTGCTGAATCCGAAACCCTGACTCCAACAACACGAGAATCCTCTACCAGAAGATCATCTACCCGAGTTCCAAACTTGATGGTCACCTAATTAAGCATATGGAATTAAGAAGGATGCTCAGCGGACAAAAAAATATCCCAAAAGCATAAAAAAGTAATAAGGAGACTTAGATCAATCTCTCATTTTGAACTTACTCCCGCACTTTGAAGATAATGTCTGAAATTCCGGAGTAACGGAACTAGCTTATCTGTTCCTAGATGAGGCTTTCCATTGACCAATATATTATCAGGAGCCCCAAAGCGAACCAACGTTTTCAACACCTGTAACAATTGAAGTAATGGTCGCAATTTCTTCATTTGTAGTCAAACATGAGTTACTTTTATTTAACAATTGGTAGTCTCAAAATACTAACCGCTAAGACGGTGGCACTGTTCTTTCCTATTCGAGTAACAAGCTTTCCATCACTCCAAGTACCTGCACCACCCTGCGATACATAAGTGCTGAAAATGACTATGACAACAAGATTCATAAACAGAAAACTAGCAAAAGACTAAAGTAGTTATGATAAGTTAGTTAAAGAGAAGGCTTTTAAACCTCGCCAAAGCAGAAATTACTCTCCATATCCAAAATCTTACGAACTACCAAAGCGCCTATATCACGTCCTCTTTCTTCCACTGCTTGCCCTCTTTCAATCAATGTCACATCTGCACCGAACTCTGCAAGAACAAGAGCTGCAAACAAACCAGATGGACCACCACCAACAACTGCGATTTTCGGTTTGCTTCTTCCTCCCCCATTTTGGTGTATATTTCCAGAGCCATTGATAATCTGAGGTTCATATTCTCCGGATGATGTCTCACTATTGCTCTTTTTACAGTCATTCACTACACTGATTAAGTCACCCGAAACAATCTTCTCGGTAGGCACATGTTCAATAAGCCCAATCTTAGGCTCTAACCGGAAAATGAAATCATGAGCACGAGGCTCTAACTCAAGAAGCGTCTTCACATCCAAATCCACAGTATACACAAACTTGGCTTCTTTCAGAATCTAAACAAAAGATGAAAGCTTCAGTCACTTGAAACTATAATACATAGTAATATGTGGAATCAAATTGAAACCTACCTTCCTAGCATCAAAAGATTTCCTAATCACTGAAAATGCTTCTTCAGGCAGCATTGAAGCAACCTGGAAACACCAGTTTATCAAAATCACATATAAACATCAACCCAATTCCACAAAATCCAATTTCATTATACCAATTAGATAAAGTTTCGAACTTTTCACCGGGAAACTCACCGGAAACTCAATAACTTTAGCGATAGCTTGAAGCAAACCTTCTGAAATTCCGAGAAAATCCTTTCCAGGGTCATCTCCGACAGGAACACCGAGCTTAGAGAGACGCCAAACTCCTTCGAGCTTGTTCTTAACCTTAGCCACAGCTTCCTTCTGCTCTGTCTTCAGCTTCTTCCTCTCAGAAGGGTATCTCCGCCTCCCGGTTCGCTTCGCAGCACAGAGAATCCGGTGTGTTTGGATACGAGGATAAGAGAGTACCGACCTCGAACAAGGAACTCGCAGGTCATGGCTCGATGAGGGAAATGAAGAATTGAGGAAACTCAAATTCGTCTGAGAAAGAGACATAGTGAGCTTATACTAAAAAGCTCGCCTCTGTCCCAAAGAGTTATCCTATCATTTCAAATTGAATCGACTTGAGTCCGGTTTTACCACCGATGTCAAAATCGGTTCGGTTCGGTGTTGATTTGGTTTTACTTAATTTTTGTATATAAGAACCGAGTTAGAAATACATTGTTATGCAAATAATTAGTTTTCTAATCGATTCAGTGTTAAAATTCATGGACCTGTATAAACGTTATGGCTCAAATTAAGTGTAATTGTAGTTTCATTGGTGCGGCGAATTCTAAACTTTTTTTCTTTTAAGATTCCTTCGAACATAAATCAAACAGGCTAGGGAACTATCTCTTGCATGTTATATTTTCTATTTTGCAATGAGATCTGATCAAAATGCACATGATTTAATACAGCAATGTATTCGAGAATCGAGATAAACCTGATCTAAAATATAAAAGAACCAACTTTGTGTTCACTTGGCTTGTTTGTCAAGTTAAGGAACCTCCAAGTCGTTAGCCCTAAAATTGAATGCTTCACAGCATAAAAATAGATTACCAAACTAGTTATTGATATATACAAAAGTTACATAAATTTCACGAACCTTAAATGTTGATCTACCCTATACAATCTGCATTATGAAAGTACGTACCACGCTATAAACATCTCAAACTATACCCCTTTTGTAACACTCATTATCTCTTGAGTTTAAAACATAAACCGAAAAATCATGTCAACCTTTTGGGGGGTTTGGGTTTGAGGAAAACCTTTGGTAAGGTGTTGTTTTTGTTGAATCTACAAATCTATCTGTATAAGATACAAAATAAAAACAGCAAAAATGTCCCATTGTTTCAGGAGGCTAGGAATCTGATCATCAGCATCTCCGTCCTGATGCTATCTATGGCAAGATCCATGCATTTACGTGTCAAAAACTTATATTTGATCATCATGAGCCCATAGAAATGGCTAGTGGCATCTCACTTTCATGTGAATTGATAGTAGAATTGCTGGAGGTTGACATCCGTTTTTTCGATTGATTCCCTTCCATAGACACTAGAACTTGGCCTTGTGGGTGAGCTATTGTCTCTGGCTCATCATCATCAGGGGACTCTAAAGATTGCTCAGGAGGGTCAATATCGCGTGGCATGGCTTCTCCATTCGCGTTGTTGTTGTTATTATTATTACCACCGCCGGATCCAATGACCATCCTAAATCCAAAAGTGCGTGAAATAATGCGGTATGCAAAGGTAAGGATCCAAAAGGACCAAGGGAGGCAAACAAAGAAAATGCCAAGGTAGGAGAGCCAAACTGGAGGGTAAGGAAGGACTGTGTACGCAATGAGACAACCTCCTCCGACCGCGATCGATAGAAAAAGAAATAAGGTAATGAGACAGATGAACGCCTGCCCCGCCCGTGGATCTGGCACAGGCATATTTTGATTCTTATTAGGAAAGATCGATCTCAAAGATGAAGAAGGATCTCACGGGACGCTTAAAAGTACTACTATATCATCCTCCATTTACAAATTGCTCTTTCTTCTTATTCTCCCTCCCAAGTTTTGTTTTTGTTTTTGTTATAATGATGTTGATAGGCTGATGAGGGATCAGATTGAAATAAGAATAAATCCCACACACGAAAAAGAAAAAGAAAAAGAAAGAAAAAACAAAGAGCGATGAGGAAAAAGAAAACACAAGAAGGTATTTTTGTTTTGTTTAAAAAAATGTTTTGTTTGTGTGTGTGACTTATAATTTGACAAGAATAGCCAATAGTCATTTATTTTCCTCCATTTGCCATTCCATAGGAGAGGGACGTCCGTAGATACAGGACTAATTACATTGAATATCGTTAGAGATCAAAATCTTCAACCTTATACCAAAACTTTTGTGCATGGATATCAAACTTATTCCAAAATAATAGAACATCTGAAAAACCTTATATATGCTTTAAGTTATTATTGTCAAAGAAGTTGTACCAATACAAAGAATTATATATGATGCATTTAAATAAAAATCGCGAAGATAATAGCCAACTATGATTGGAGCCAGTTTGATGGTATAGACGTAATCATTTTATGTACCCTAATGTAGGCGTGTATGCTAAGAAAAAAAACATGCATACTTAGGAGTATTTCACATGTAACGATTTTTTGAATCGAAATTACAAGTAAAACAACATTTGGGACATAGAAATTATAATATTAATACCCTACCATATACGAGAATTCTTAAGACGAGATTATTTCATTTACGTGTTCACAAAAATGGACAATTAAGAAAAAAAATTGTATATAGTTCTGAAGATTTGTTTTCTGTATCACTAGAGTATTAACGTGGCAAATACTTTAATTCTTGCAAATAAAACCATTGTGAATATGTTTCAAAATTAAGAGTAAAATATGCTCCAAGTTAACAATTTTGTAATATCTTGATTTTAAATTATCATTGACTTACTAGTAATATATATATAGTAATAAGTCATCATTAAATTTGAAAACATGTGGAATTCAAAAAGAATCTCATTCCAGTTCTGTTTGGTTTTGTAAAGGAAACACGTTTGTTGTTGTTCTAAGTTCAAACCACAATTAATATGAAAATCCAAAATCGCATTAACGAAGACTATTGTTCTCATTCAACAGTTATAGTAATAAATAATAGAAATGCAAGCATATACGTATATGTGTTTCCTTTTATATCTTGTTCAACTTAGTGACAAATTTGGTTTACAAAAAAGGTTAGATTTCATTTATGTAGGATTAAAGATAAGGTTGAATGAATATTTGATTACCATAAGTGGATTAATGAAACATTAGTTGACTAATGACTACACTAAAAAGGAAGGCCAGTTAGTAACACGTGGCAAATTCTCTATCTATAGCCGTCACTAGAGAGAAAAAAAAAAAAAAAAGTAAAAAAGGAACCATTGGCTGTGCGCCAGCGAATTAACTAAATATTTAAAAGAAGCAGGTAAATGACAAGATTAGTCCTCTTTCAATAGGTATAACGTGGTGGCTAATCTGGTAATTTCGGGAGCACTCGGAGTCAAAACTACGATGGCGCGTGTCTTCAAAGTCGCGGTATACGCGCGTCGATAGCCGCCAGGAGAATCCTCTTTTACACCAAATCAAACTTATATAGAGATAGAGAGAGAGAGAGAGACAGAGAGATCCCGTAAATGTTTATACTCTGATTTCTAGGGTTTGCTTTTGATTCTCTTTGGCGTTCCAGATTATAAAAATTTCAGACTTGTTTATAATTTTCAATTTCGTGATTTTCGTCGGTGAGTTTATCTGGAAATCTCTGAATTTTGGGGTTATTCGTGGAGGGAAAAGGTTTCGTTGTTGGGATGGTGGAAATGAGAAAATCTGGAAGTTTAAGACCGGAGTCTGAATTGGCGGCGAAGTGTCGAGATGAGCTGCCGGTGAAATTGGAGATAGCTGAGGATGATTTAGAAGAAGAGCATGCTCCTCTCAACAAACGATCTAAGGTTTTTTCTTTTTTTCTCTTTTTTTTTTTTTTCAAATTAGCTGATCTGTTTTGTTTCTTCGATATTTTTTTTCCAATTCCAGAGTTTTCAAGCTGTTTGATACATTTTTTTTTAATAAATGAATTGGCTTTAGCGAATTTAATTTTGACGATTTTATTATATTTATGACGATTTCTCGATTTGCTTGTTAAACGATGTTGCTCTTGTGCTTTGCGGGTTGTGTCTTTTTTTTTTTTTGGGTGGTGTATTGTAATTTATTTATTTAATTCATGCATTGAATTAGTTGTGGAGCTCTGGGGCAAGCTCGTCGCCAATGGCACCAGCTAAGTATAACCCGCTTGATGAGCCGAGTCCTCTTGGATTGAGCCTTAGGAAGAGTCCATCTCTGTTGGAGCTGATTCAGATGCGGTTAACGCATTGTGGTGACCCGAAAGCTGAAATGATTCAAGCTGGTGCAGCTGGTTCTGGTGTTAAGAAAGAAAACAAAGGTATCGCTGCTGCATCAGCTGGAGCCACTTTGGCGCCAGGAAGTATTGAGAAGCTGAAAGCTTCCAACTTTCCTGCTTCGCTTTTGAAGATCGGGCAGTGGGAGGTGAGTCCTAGGAAATGTTTTCTTTTGATATATTTTTCATGATGCTTTTATTATCTGACTTGACATGGTTTCTTTTCTTTTGCTAGTATAAATCGAGGTATGAAGGTGATTTGGTGGCCAAGTGTTACTTTGCAAAACACAAACTCGTTTGGGAAGTGTTGGAACAAGGTCTTAAGAGTAAAATCGAGATCCAGTGGTCCGATATTATGGCTTTGAAGGCAAACTGTCCTGAAGATGGACCTGGAACATTGACTCTCGTGGTATAGTATTCAATCATATTATTTTCTTTTGCCCATCCTATTGCTCTTGTTCAACTTTCTCACTTGTCTCTTTATGTTTCAGCTTGCTAGACAGCCCTTATTTTTCCGGGAAACAAACCCACAGCCTCGAAAACATACTTTGTGGCAGGCAACATCAGATTTTACTGATGGTCAAGCCAGCATGAACAGGTACAGGCATTTCTTTGTCCTCTGCTCTTAGGAGGAAAAAAATGTTATGTAGCTTTTTCAGAATAAATTGTTCATGTCCTACTTCAGCTAACAATAGTCTCCCTGTGATCTGTTAGGCAGCATTTTCTGCAATGTGCTCAAGGGATAATGAACAAACATTTCGAGAAGCTTGTTCAATGTGATCATCGTCTATTCCATCTAAGCCGACAGCCAGAGATAGCTATTGACTCTCCCTACTTTGATGCACGTCAATCAATTTTTGAGGATCCAAGTGAGTCAAAAGGCCATCCGTTTGGCAATTTGAATCTTAGCACAGGTCCTTCGATCTCTGGGACTCAGAACTTAGCATCTCCTGTTGGGGCTCAGTCATCATCTGAGCATATGTATCTGTCTCATGAAGCACCATCACCCAGCTCAGGTATTGTGATAACTGTTCGTTCTGGTTGCTCTCATAGCTCCTTATTTGGATTTTTTTTTTTCATTCTCACTTTTACTGAACCAGGTTAAGATTGTTGATTTATTTTTCTGTTTCTTTGCTTCATTCATCTCTAGTGATAGATGCTCGGGCAAATGAAGGAATAGGGGGTTCGGAAGCAGTTAATTCAAGAAACAGAACGGATTGTGGTCAGATCGAAGCACCTGGACTACACCAATCTATGTCACTGAGTGATTTCCTTGCAGTTCTCTGTGATTCAAAAAACACAGCTGATTCGAGTCTGGGTGAAGAAGTAGCTGGAGTACACCAATCTATGTCAGTTAGTGATTTCGTTGCATTTTTATCTGATTCAAGAAACATCTCTGATTCAGATCAGATAAAAGTACCTGGAATACACCAATCGATGTCAGTGAGCGATTTTGTTGGACTTCTCTCTGATTCTGCTGGTGGAAGTCTTCCAGAACATATGGAGAAATTTGAGATCATGAAACAGCAATTGCTAAGTGATAACATCCAGTTCGAGGCACCAGATGAGAGGTCTCTCATGCCAAGGGTTAACTCTTTATTCAACCTCTTGTACAAAGATCCCAACGTCCCTGCTAACTCACAGCTCAATACTGAAATCTCGGTTGGATTGAAGTCTGAACCCAATGATCTGAAGGGAATTGTTTCTGACAACAACAACAACAACAGAGTTCTTGATCCAGCTTCTAGCAGCAAACCACAGGGTATGTTAAGGAAAGACTCATTCAGCGATTTGCTATTACACCTCCCCCGGATCACATCCTTGCCAAAGTTCTTGTCCAACATTTCAGAAGAAGATGGTGATGCATATAATAGATAATTTATAGATTTCGCCTTTCTTTTATGGATTTGGCAAATATAGGAACCTGGACTAGTAGCTTTTCTGTTTTTTTTTTTTTTTTTTTTCTTGTACATCAAAATTATATCTTCGGTACCTACACCCCCCACAAGGATTTGAAGAAAACGTATTTTGGTAATTAATTTATGTATATTACTCTCAGTATAAACAAGTTTGCAGAGGCATAAGCTTATCCTAAGCTTTCCATTATTTATTGTAGTAAACCTTTACCATTTATCTTGTTCTTTTATTACAGCATTTAAAGCAAAGCAGAGTATATACAAGGAGATAGAAGATTAAACTAAGATCAGTGATCATCAGCTGTACATAAAGAAGAAAGATATGAAATAAAAGAAATTAGAGAAAAGGGGGACAAATGGAACCCAACACCCACAAATCATATAAGGGGCTGTCTGGTTGTAGATTCTGTCATTTGAATTCAAAGTATTTACATTTTTTTTTTCCTTTTTGGGGGGAGCGATTTCTTCCATCACATCTATCTGCCTTAAGAACAAGCAAAAGGATCAGGAAGCTTGTTGATGAATAGCAGTGTCAGGAAGCATTGCTATTGTCACTATGAAGTATTCACATCCTGAAGGGAGACCATAAGGGTTTGAAGTTGTTGCTGAAGATGATGTTGAGATTACACTTGATGCCAGAGTTCTCGAGCCCAGGTCTGAGCTGAGATGACGTGTCTTACCTGCCTCGGTTGATGCAGAAGCTGAAAGTGCTGATGGCAGTTTCACTAATTGGCGCTCGATGTGGACAATCTGTCCAACAATGTATGTAGGCCGGTTTGGGAGGTGATCTGTGAACAATGCCTCGGATTCAGAGGACAAGTAGTAATTTGGGCAGTTCCTGTTGATTGCCTCGTAATGCCCTGCCTGGTTTAGCACAAATGCTGCTATCTCATGAACTTCAAGACGACCAAATGATATCTTTTCCTTATTTGCCTGTCACCACAAGAAGTTCACCAATTTTCTCATTCAATACCAATGACACTCTAATTTATAGCAAATAGAGAAAGAAAGTTTGCTGCAAGAACCATGACTGATAGTAGAGAGAACGGGAGTCTACCTGCTTCCCAAGTTGGTGCTTAGTGTACAATGTTTTCACCAGCTCTTTCTTTTCCTCCAAGTCCTTTCTTGTCTGTTCACTTGTAGCTTCAAGATTTTGGCACTTTTCCAGTAATTCCTCCCGGTGTTTGGAGAGGAAGCTAACTTTGTCTGCCAGGACTCGGATGCATTTCCGGAACTCAGCAGTACCATCATCTTCATTTTCATTAACGGAGCTGTGAAATTCCCAAGTAGGAAAAATGCGAATCCAGAGAAACATTATTAGAACATGAGCTTGAAAAGTAAATAAGTACTGCCATATACACAGGAAAGAAAGGACTAAGGTTATCATTATGGGAAGCAGGACAGACGGGAACTTACTTGGCCAAAGCTTGAGCCAAAGTTCGCAAGGAGTCAGCAAAATCAGCAATCCCATTACCAGCACAAACAGAGCTCCGGAATCTTTCAAAAAGACCTCGCATCTTTACGGCTGATGCACGAAGAGCATTATACTGCGAAGCTCTACTATCAGCAGCACAGAGATGGGTCTGGGCTTCTTCTCTTGCTTCATGTAAGCAGTTCTCCAAATGCGCACAGTTCATCTACAGCCAAAAAAGCAATATTGACCACATCAAAGGGGAAAACTTAGGGGGGAAAAGGTTTCTATAATGTGCAACAAGCTATCTGGTGAAATCACAGAATCATGCTTATCGTATCCCCAGATTTTTAGATGAAATGTCTGTCCAATCACAAACATAAAAACTGTTCAAAAATGTATCGCTAGAGTGTCACAAAATGATTGAAACGAGAGAACTCCCAAAATTTCAATGATTGGTGAACCAGGCATAAACCAAGATCTCAGGAAAGCACCGATCTAAAACTCCTGGAACTAGTTGGCAACAACTGGTTTGGGCATTACGCAAAATCATATTGAACCTTCCTAGTCCAGATGGTTGAAATCAATAATAAACATTTAAGTTCACAGGAAATAGACCTGATTATAGCACCTTGGATACTAAGAATTAGACATCAAGGACAAAGCTAATAACAGCAATCAAAAGAGTGACAGATAATGGTGTAAAGATAACATACCAAAAAGTAAAGACTAGCTTTAGACTAACAATGCAATGAATGATATCAGAGGAAAGATAAAAGAAACAACCAAATATGAAATCCGACGAACCTGGGATTCTTCAAGAAGCTTCTGATTCGTTTCCAATTCTCTGCTCAAATTGGATACCTCTTCCATAGCACCATTTAGCTTGGACTCTATTTCACTCAGTTTATTGGACTTTTCCATCAGCTCATTTCTAAGTTCCAAGATAATATCATCACTATGTTTGGCATCTAAACCTCTGTCAGTTGCCGCATTATCATCGAAAGATTTTGGTGGGCTCTCGGCTGTTGAACTATTACTTAGGAATACCCCCATTTCCAACAACACATTATCCTTTCCACCTTTCTCGTTGTTTTGCTGGCTTTCCAGCATAGATGAGTCAAGCGGACGACTGAGCACCTGAGAGGAATCAACCATATTCTCATCCATACCTTCCCGGGTTTTACATGGCTGCTTGCTAGTAGGATTTGAAACACATGAGACCTCATCCATGGGTTCAGAACCAGATACATGAGTTTTATTTCCTTCCACGTCACCTGAAGCTTCTACTTTGTATTCACTAACTTTTGCATCCATAAGGTTCAAGCTAGATGCATCTTTGTTATTATGTCTCTGTCCCTGCAGATACTCATCGGAAAGACGTTGTTCTAGTTCACGGATGCGCTTCTCATATGAATCACAGTGCATTTGTTTTTCCTTCAGCATAATTAGAAGATGTTTCTCATACTCATCTTTGGCCTGCAATGCCTCTGCTGTCTTCTCTGCGGCATTTTTCAACACATTTTCTACTTCACTTTCATCCAGCAACTCATATTCAAATTGTGGGCCTAATGAACAGATCCGAGATATTGCAGAAGCAAGGTCAGCTTTTAGTTTTGCATTCTCAACTTCCATCTTGCTGGTCCCTGCTATCTCTATCAATTCAGAGGCTGCTAGGATATCATCAAAATTTTCTTTGTCGAATGTGTCTAAACCTATCTCTTCAGGCTCAACAGAAATCGAGCTATCACTAGACATGGTCAGTGAACTCCTTGAGGATGCAACCTTTGAATGTAACCCAACAAGATACTCAGGAGCATATCGATCAACATCCGTGATCTCAATATTGAGTAAACTAGTATCAAAAGGAGCGACATTGACATCACACTGAGTGGGAGTATCAAATAAACCCATTGAAGCCAATACATCACGAGGTACAAAAGAACCATGTGTTTTAAGAAACTCCTCACGTCTTCTGACCTCTGTTTCCCGCTTCATAGCAAGCTTCTCTGCCAATTGCCCAGCCATACCCATGTAAAGCTTCATAGAGGCTTTTCTTCTTACCACCTCTGCGAGACAGGCCCTATAAGCGGGGCCAACACCACGGACTAACTTCAAGTCTGCAAATAAGTCATCCTGGCGCACCATTGCCTCTCTAAAAACAGGAAACTGCAACTTAGCATCTTTGATGATATATGTGACATACGTTATCTTTTGCATGTAACTGTGTACAAAGTTGTTCATCTCATTCTTCTTATTCTTGCAGAAATTCAGCAATTCTGAAATCGAGTTATAGCAAGATTGCATTTTGGGAAGATGATTCTTGTCATGCACTTCGTACATAGGACCCAGGGCTGAAACAGCATCGTGGGGACGGAGAGATGAGGAAAGTTGGCTAGACATGCAATCATCCACAAGTTTCTTAACCGTATTGACATCTTTGCTGTTTCAAGAATTATAAATAAAAGAGTCAGATAACAGCAATTTTCAATGTGAAAAAATGAAAAGGTGTTCTCAGCTAACCAAAAGAACAAACCTGAGAGACTGCATTATGCTCTTTTCCTCATCAATGAACCGTACGTGATCCTTAACAGTCACTTCTAAGTTCTTCATTGATAAGGAAGCCCTGCAAGCAAACAACTCCTCCACCTTGCGCTTGACTTCTACAAACATTTGCTGGAACTGTGCAATCTTATTCTCAAATTGCCTGTGAGAGCTAGCACAATTCTCTACAGCCTTTTTGAGGTTATCTTCCTTGACAAAGTCCAATAAGCATTTCCTTGTATCAGTTTGAAGATAAGGGTGAATCTTAGCTGACCTTAGTTTCTCAATATCCCTTCCAAAATTCATAAGCAAATCAGAGTGGAGGCGGTGTTGATGCTTATAACGCTTCATAAATTCAAGAAAGTTCTGATAGATCACCTTGTAATACTGTTCCAAATTCCGCGTAGCGACTTCAACAGCCCGTTGTTGTACCTTTTGCTCTCTTGTTAACCTTTCGCAGTTCTCATGCTTCACAACAGTGCAACTGTAGATGGTGCGGCCTTTATGGAAATGGTACCGAAATTGCCTTTCATATAAAGGTAAAGCCTTCAAAGCTGGATCTGATGCATCATCCAAGGGATGATGTTCATGTAATGAAGCCGGAGGTAAAGCGTCAGCAACTTCCTGTAAATCTACATCTTCAGGTGGTGGCGGATGAGAGTTACTTTGCAGCATAGCCTTGTTAAAAATAAAGACTTCCCTGTCATTTGCAGGAAGTCCAAAAGCAGAAAGCAGCTTTTGTGGCTCAAGTTTCATATCCAGCGAGAGAAGAAGCTGATCAGAGAAGCCGATACCAGAAACAGATTCAACAAAACGCATCACAGATTCAACTGTAGTGGTCTCGCTGCATTCAAATTCAAACGAGTGGCCATTCTCAGCCACGCAGAGAAGAAGCTTGCCATCGCCGGCGAAACTCTCAGTGAAGCTTCCGCTCATCGTAACGACCAAAGGACCCCAAAAATCCTCAACCGCAGAATCCCCCTAGCCCACAGCCAAATTAAGACAGGTGACTCACCTAATCGAATTAGGAACAGGAAATAGGCAAAGCAGCGCCAAATCAAAAGCCCTCCACAACACAAATCCCCAACCACGAATCTGTAAAAGAACAAGGCTTTCTCTATATCTTCTTCGATCCTTGACCAAAATCCAAATTCATCAAAAACCCTTGTCGAATCTCAGCGTTTTCGTATATGTATCACAAAAGACCTTTAAAACCCAGGAGACACACAAAATCAGAATCCAGCGTCAGCTCAAATTCGATAATAATATTTTTGCACAAGTACCCACCACGAAAAATCCTCAAATTCTTCGAAATTTAAGCCAAATTCCACCAAAATCAAATATTCAACCAAATCAATATCCCCCTTCTTTCGCCTTGGTACATACCCAGAAGAAATTGTTTTTTTTGTTTTTTCTAAAATATAAAAAGGAACAAAAAGAGATAAGCAAACCCTAGAAGACGCAAAAGCAGACGTGATACGAGAAACGAAGGCGATTGCGTGAAGAGACGAGTGTCAAAGTCGAAGAATTATCCAAAACCAAAAGGATCAAACTTGTCTTCTCCACGAAAACCTCTTTCCGCCACTAAACTTATAAACTAATAATATTCTCAATCTTCTTCTCCTCCTCCTCCTTCTTCTTCCTCTACCACCACTTCTCTCTTCTACAACGAATTTTCTTAGTTTTTTCTCCCAGTAAATTTTTGACCTTTTTTTAATTAACGGAAAGTTACGCAGAAGCTTCTGATGTAAGTTTACTCTCTTACGCAAGACCAGAGTCGAAGAACCCTTTCGTCCTTGTCCCTCTGTACAAGAAAGACAAGATAAAGCCCAAATTTTTATAAAGCTACTTATTTTCTCGGGGAGGCGCAGTAACTTTATAATTATTTCAATTTCACCTCGATAGTTTGTACATTATTTTGTAAACCCTACATACATACAAACATCATCAAGTCGTCATATTTGGGATTTACCAGATTTACCAGTTATAATGAGTTCGATTAATCTACTTCGATTCTATTTTAGTCAACGTTCGCTTTGGTTTTTTTTTTTTTTTTGAAGCTTTAACATACTAAAAACCGGATCGATTTGGTTTGGTTTAAACCAACAAACAAATTCGATTTCTTTAGATACCAATAACCAAATCAGCATAAGTTAACTATTTTATACTCATTCAATGTTGGTCATACCTATATCTGGTTTCACAGTGTATGTAACGTATGATAATTTGATATTGTAAGTGAATAAAGTAAAATTGGCATTTCCTATCATATGATAAGCTTGATTGGCATGTGATGTGAATTGGACCACACACAAATCACACACAAAATGCCTATATCGTCCATAGGCGGTCCATCATTACTGGAAAGAAATAAAAAATGATTAAGTATGCAAAACAACTTGACGACTTTGAAAATGATATTTCAATGTTTTTTATACACAATTTTGTCCGTAACTGGTTTACGTTATTTGAGAAAATTATTTTAGTGAAACAATGGATTGCATTTTTATTTGCTACTTAGCCAAAATACATTCATCTCTAAATTACGCGGTTAATTTGCTTAGTTTGAAATTTACGAGATTCAAAATCATCTGATGCACTTAATAGATGTGTTAATTACGAGATATCCACACCAGTATACGATGTAAAAAACACCACCTTAATTAATTATAATTATATGACGATATGTGGACAAAAAAAGGTAAACATGCACTTCATATAATGCCAAAGGCTACTACGTACGTAACATCAGATTGGTTGAGCCTTCCACATGGGAATTCTGTATATGCCAAATTTGTATAATCTTAGATATAGAAAAAATGGTCTTCTATATGTTCGGGTTACAATATAATACTCGTAAATGGTCCTTACTAGCTCGAAACCCACATCTCCTAAAACAAACGTTTATCTTCTTCGTATTTTAGTTTTTCTAAGAAAATCAAGTTGAAAGATTTATATAAACAGTAGATTTTGATTTTGATGCATGCATATAGTTCTGACCTCTGTGAGCAATCGGAAACAAGATGTGCTGCCACCTGAAACAAACATTAATAATATATGATTAAGTACTCGACGTGACTTAAAGAGAATCTCATGAGATTCGTTTTTTTGGACAACTCTTATATTCAGCTTTGGATCCGAAATCAAACATAGCCCTCGTAACCCCACACAAATGATAATAGGATAACATGGATTCCACAAACTTTTTTTTTTTTTTTTTTTTGTCATCTGGTAATATTAATAAAACAAGGTGAGATACAACGAAAGCCGGCGGAAGACAAAAATTTCCCCGGAGTCTAAAAACCCAAACAAGGGAAACAAAAGTCGGCGGATAACTAGAAATCCCCGAAGACAAAGCGAATTCAAGAGAAAAGGAAACAAGCATAGGAAATAAACCCGAGAGAAGACGAACCCTTAAACTGAAGACAAAAGCAACAAGGCTAAAACCATACAAACAAACTAGTCACCATAGGCTAAAAAAACTCTTCTTCTGAACCACCTGCAGAAGAAATTTACCAAGGATGCCCACGGCCAATCCGATGATAACATCAACCACCTCTTATCAAGATGAGAGCCGATCTCTCGAAACCGTAACCAAAGACTTCATAACCCGGCAAGCAAGACTCGAATACGCTTCCGGATGCGACGACGACGACTGCAGCGTCCCATAACGTCTAGATAGAAGTTTTCAAAGCGCAATCAGATCTAAACAAATCTGCAAAGCAAAGACAAGGAGCGTAGCCTAACCTCTCGAACAAATCGAACTCAACCAAGCACGATAATTGATCAAGAATGCCATCAACCACAGCGAACCACACAACTGAGAAGTCTTGTTGCTTATAATATGTTTTGTGCTTATAATAATATCACTCTTTTTCTATATATGTTTTGTGCTTATAATAATATCCAGTGATATTGTAGATTCTTTTAAAAAAGAAAAATTGGTGACGAGTTGAACGGAAGGAACACATAAACGCAGGCTCATCAACCAAAATTCCTTCTTTCAAGAGACAAAAGAAACATAAAATTAACCATGTGCCACTACTTAGATATACGAATAACGTTAACGTTGATTATTAGTTATGCATAAAATACGCAACTAGGCAAATTGACGCAAACAAAATAACCACATTTGCTTAACTTGCCTCTAGACTATCCGATGACATAGGATGATTTAACTTTTGACTTGGTATCCGATTTCAACTTATCAGACCATATATTTTAAAACCTATTGTACGTTACGTATGCTATAGATACGTGAATGAATAATTCTTGCTAAAATTTGAGTGTATGTGACTTTGTTAGCGGGAACGGATCTTGTAATCTCATTTTCATAGAAATAGTGTCAAGAAACGTCATTTTACACTGTGGATTACTTCTGTTTTTCCATCTCACTTGATAGTGAAATGAAATCCATCTTTTTAATTTCCTCTCAATTATTAATGGTTTTCCAAAAATTATATATCCTTTTCACGTTATCTAACTATGAGAGTACTGTCCTTGTGTTTGCGAATAAGTGGTTGAATATGGTAAAGTGAAGAAGCTCCCATCATGTTGGACCTACTAGCTTTAGCTATTAAAATGTCCTGTCATCACATAAGGTACACTGATCAATTCTGAATTTGTTATACGTGCCCATCAATAATTCGACTTTTATAATATTTTACAAATCCCTTAATTGTATAATCACACTAAATTCCAAATCATCTTTATAGAATTTAATTAGAAAACCAATCAAATTAAATCAAAGCATATCGGTGCTAAATAGTAGTACACATGCATTCACAACTATATCACAGATATACAAACCGTCCTTATCCGATGACGAACCACACAAAACAAAACAAAACAAAAAGATTCATAAAGAGCTTAGCCAAGGCGACCGAACAGATGGAACTAAGCTTCAATTCGATCTAAGATACCAAAACGAATAAACATGTACTGTGGTTCTCTCTAGCTAATATGTGTTGTTATACAAACTATTATGTTTTGTCTATGGTTACAATGTTTGTCATAATGCTTCTATCTTTCTTTATCTTTTTTTTTTTTAAATGAGCAAAAACACTATTCTTGTCTATGAGACTGATACGTTGAGCCTTTATAGACAAGAAATCCACTAAAGTTGATCATATCCTCTGATATAATTTCAAAGCTAGCTACAATTAAAGTCAAGAGAATTAACTAAAGTCTTTTTCTTGTCACGTACAGACAGATAAAAACTGAATGGTCAGCTAGAATTGCTCAACGTGGATGAGCTTGAGACCATGGCCACAACAACTGATCACTTCATTGGCCACGTCAACTGAGTGGGTTTAGGTAACTCTCTAATCCCTATTCACCAGTCCATCGGCCATCTCTTTGTTAGCTTCTAACTACCATCTTGATCCAGTTCGGTCTGAAACAAAAATGGTTTATATTTACAATATAACTTGGTTCTGTTTTCTGTTACTGTTTCGGTTTAATTCACATCGGTTAAATATTATATTTTATATTATTTAAAAGCTCTCTAATTTAATTAAAAGGCCCAAACAACAAGGATTGGTTTGGTTTACACAGCCCACATATATAACTTAACGAGGGCCATGTCGAGTAATTAGGGTTTTTGGTTTTCGTCAGGAGATTTACGGTTAAGGTTCCTCTACACTTCAACCAACAATGGCGGAGCAGGTTTCGATCTCTATTGTCTTTAGTATCATATTACAATTGAGGATTGGCAATCACCTTTGTTAGATTTTGATTTCTGGGTACTTTAATGTGGGGTTGGTGTGTTGCAGACGGAGAAGGCGTTTCTGAAGCAACCAAAAGTTTTCTTAAGGTAATGTCACAACTCACAACAAACCCACAAATTATATTTTTATGTGGTCTCTAATGCTAATGTATCCAATCAGCTCGAAGAAATCTGGTAAGGGAAAGAGGCCTGGCAAAGGAGGTAATCGTTTCTGGAAGAACATTGGTCTCGGTTTCAAGACTCCCAGAGAGGCTATTGAAGGTACAATTTTCATTTCTCACCTGTGACTTTTGCTATTTGCCTTGTCTGAAAGATTCATTATTATGATCATGTTCAAAAAGAAAAGATGGATTCTTTTATAACTTATTTATGTCAGAAGCTCTGAGGGTTTTCGTTTAGTGTCTCTAATTTGCTTCTTGAGACATGTTCTGAGTAATGCCGCTTTGTTAGTAGTTTACATCAATCTAAGAGAGTTGAGCTAGCACTGTGGATAGATGGATAGTATTTGCCAAAGTATATTGGATTTGGGGAAATTGCTTGACATATCTATGTCTCTCTTGATTTTATTTGCAGGAGCTTACATTGACAAAAAATGTCCCTTTACTGGCACGGTTTCAATCAGAGGCCGCATTTTGGCAGGTACTTGTCACAGTGCAAAGATGCAGAGGACAATTATTGTTCGTAGGAACTATCTTCACTTTGTGAAGAAATATCAAAGGTAAAAAAGATGGATTTATTGCTGTGTTCAAATTCTCTCTGCTTATTTGAAACCCTCCAGCTAATTGTTTAAAACCCTTATGGACTGTCCCCAGATATGAGAAACGGCACTCAAACATTCCTGCTCATGTTTCGCCCTGCTTCCGTGTCAAAGAAGGAGATCATGTTATCATTGGGCAATGCAGGTTAGGGACAGTAATAACTAATACTTGGTTTTGTTCAAATTCATATGGCATTTATGCTATTGGATAGTAATGCCTGAACTTCATCGCACAACCCTCTAAACTTATCAAGTTAATGATTTAGGCCACTGTCAAAGACGGTGAGATTCAATGTGCTCAAGGTCATTCCAGCTGGAAGCTCTGCTATTGGGAAGAAAGCATTCGCTGGAATGTAAAGAGGCTGATAAGGTGCAATCGTTTCAGAAAGAGTAGTATTTTCCTAAGCGGTTTTGACTTGGTTTATTGGATTCGTTCAATTCCTATGTTGTATCATGAAGAGATACCAGGATATTTTCTGTATTTTTTAGCTGCAAGAGTGTGTCTCAAAGCCTAATCTCTCTTTCTATCTTAGGAATAGTCTTTTGTGATGGAATGAAGCTTTGTGTTTAGGGATAAGTCATGTATACTCCAGTGTTCCCCAATTTTAGTTCTAATAATGATATTCAAAAGAAAATAACATGGAAATTGCATAACTATGGGGAAATGCAACGAACGTTCACCCTCTCATGCTTTATATCGTCGCAATCTTCCTCATTTCACGTCATACTTTTACTTATAAGATCCGGTCATGTTGGAACCCTCTCATGCTTTATACCGTCACAATTAGACAACAAAATTACTCAAATTAAAATGACACACAAGATTCCTCATTTATAGACTCTTTTGTACAGGAAAACATTTCACATGGCACATATTTGTACATTACTTTACCTAACGTAAAGTATAGTTTTTGTTGGTAAGAAAAAAATAACATTATCGTTGAGAAATGTGATGTTGCTTGGAAATACAGTTCAATTGCCGAAAACACGTGAAATTTGGCACTCGCTTCTATTACACATTTGCATTCAGTTTCTTCCCACTCACACCGTCACACGCAACTATTTCCAAACGCAGAGCCGCGTTTATCTGCGTTTGCGTTACCAAGAAGACGATTGACAAACAAAGTAACAAACAAACACACACTCCAATGAAAGTTTTAGATAAGGTCTTCGTAGCCACTGAGAAACTGACTGAAGAGTAAACAGAAATCGAACCAAACACGGCCTAAGCGTCAAACACATTGAACCCAACATTATCGGGAAGAGGCAAGGAGGGAGTTAGGTTGTTTGTTAGTTGAGGACCACGCACGCACGATGAGTGATACGAAACAAAAGTCGGAATCTTTTGGGTTCGTTGATTAGCTTGTGACGTCATCATCCACATGCTAATTTCTAATCTTCAGTACTTTTATAAGCCTTAAAGAATCTTCATTGTACTGTGAAGTTTAGTTTTGGGGTCAACATACCAAACAATGGCTAAAACTAGAGGGTCTTGTCTCGTCAACGCTCTCATCGCGATCGCTTTGTTAGCGACTACTGCCCATTTGTGTGAAGCTGGCTTGTCTCGGAAAGAACAGGACAAGGTCTCGAAATTGCCTGGTCAGAATTTCAATGTTAGCTTTGCTCACTACTCTGGGTTCATTACTACTAATGAGAAATTGGGAAGAGCTCTCTTTTACTGGTTCTTTGAAGCCGTCGAAGATGCTAAGTCCAAGCCTCTTGTTCTCTGGCTCAATGGAGGTTTGTTGCAGTTTAAAGTAATCTCATTTACAGATTCAATTCATTACTGTTGTTTCCATCACTCTGCGCTACTGTAATATGGATCTTGATTTTATTTTATTTTTTACTTTTGAGGATTGTCTTGTAGCTACTTTGGTTTGTATTTGATTAGTTGTTGCTTCTTTCTGGTTTTGTTGTTGCTTTAAACATGATAAAGGTGATTCCGTGTTATGGCACTATGTTGAATGATTCCTAAAATAGAATTTTAACTGGAATTCTTATTTCTAGGATTTATACAATCCTCTGATTTGGTAAAGCATTTTACTTTATTCTTTAAAGAATGATTGGATCTTCGTAGCAATCTGGTAACGAGTAGTCTGTGTCTGCAATGAAGTTATTTCTTTCTCTCTCTATAGGACCAGGATGTTCCTCTGTTGCATTTGGTGAAGCAGAAGAGATAGGACCCTTTCACATTAAGTCAGATGGCAAGACTCTTTACCTTAATCAATATTCTTGGAACCAAGGTATTGATGAGCTGAGATGTGCTAAGAGTATGTTGCCTAGAGAGCTATGATTCAAAAATGCTTAAAGCTTTCGTGTTACTTTTTTTTTTTTTGTGCAGCTGCGAATATTTTGTTCCTTGATGCACCTGTTGGAGTTGGTTATTCGTACTCAAACACCTCGTCTGATTTGCAGACCAATGGTGATAAGAGAACTGGTAATGATTTAGCTGCTGAAGCTCATTTTCTTTTAGACCCTCTTCTTGGTAGGTGGTTTATAGTTGCAGTGTTATTATAATTTACAGCCCAAGACTCACTGAAATTTCTGCTGAAATGGGTTGAGCGGTTTCCGGAGTACAAAGGAAGAGACTTTTATATAGTTGGGGAGAGCTATGCAGGTAAAAATGACCAAAGCTCATCTCATTTTCTAATCCATTCATCTGACCTTAAATGCTCATGTTTTCTTTTTTGGTTTGTTTATAGGGCATTACATTCCTCAGCTGAGTGAAGCCATTGTAAGACATAATCAAGGTTCTGACAAGAACAGTATTAATCTGAAGGGTTACATGGTGATCCTGACCTCTTATCATTCCCCATCTGATCCATTTTCTAAATGGTTATAAAACTCTGATAAACAATTTCGATGAATTTGTGGTTGCAGGTAGGAAATGGGTTGATGGACGATTTCCATGACAGGCTTGGTCTTTACCAATATATTTGGTCGTTGGGTTTTATCTCAGACCAAACATACAGCTTACTGAAACTTCAATGTGGTTATGCGTCATTTATCCACCCCTCCAAAGCGTGTAATAAGATTGAGGAGATTGCGGAGAAAGAAATTGGTAACATAGACCAATACAGTGTCTTCACCCCGGCCTGTCTTTCAAATGCTTCCCAGTCAAACATGTTGCTAAAGAAAAGAACCGTAAGTGATCTTGAATTCTCTCATTTTTTGACTTACAGTTGATAGCGGGTTTCAAAGTAATGTCATATTTCGTTTTGCTTAGATGACTAGCCGCGTGAGGGAACAGTATGATCCTTGCACAGAGAAACACACTAAAGTGTATTTCAATCTTCCAGAGGTTCAAAGAGCCCTCCATGTCCCACCAGGACTTGCACCATCCAAATGGGATACTTGCAGGTACACTTCACCTTATGCTATCTTAGGACTCAATTTTGGAGGAGATGAGCCTGTTAAAGCTTAAAAATCGTAGCAATTCTGACTCGGGCAGCTTTGGTTTTGCAGTGATGTCGTGAATGAACACTGGAACGACTCTTCTTCCTCGGTTCTAAACATTTACCATGAGCTTATAGCTGCCGGGCTTCGTATCTGGGTTTTCAGGTCTCTTTCTCTCTATATATCAGTAGTTCAGTACACTCACACAAACACTTAACGCTCTTCTTCAAGTTTTTTCTTTGGTGGTAACGAAGTTTTGTTATTTGGCAACAGTGGGGATGCAGATGCCGTTGTACCAGTCACATCAACCCGGTACAGTATCGATGCACTAAATCTTCGGCCTTTGAGTGCGTATGGTCCTTGGTACTCAGATGGACAGGTAAAAAACAAACTCAACTGAGAAAGTGAAACTTTTTCTTGCTTATTTTATGATATAACATTGTCTTAACGGTCATGATTTGAATGAAACAGGTAGGAGGCTGGAGTCAACAGTATGCAGGTCTGAACTTTGTGACTGTAAGAGGTGCAGGCCATGAAGTTCCCCTGCACAGACCGAAGCAGGCTCTTGAGCTCTTCAAGGCTTTTATATCTGGAGCTCCATTGTCCACACATGAAAACATCATCAGACACGACATGTCTGAACTAGTTAGTGACTCATAATGAGTTCTGATTTGATGAAATGTGTAATTTGGAATCTCAGTTAGTAACTTTCCAGATGTCATTGTAAGAAGGAGAAGAAGAGAGGAGAGATTAAATCAGTGTTCTAAGTGAATCGCTCGTTGCTTCTTCTTCTGGTTGTTTGTTTGTTTGGAAAACTTGATGTTTGGAATCCAATAAAATAAGTTCCTACGAGAAAATGAATATGTGATGTGTAGCCATCTATCCTTCCTTATTCCACAATATTATACACGGGAATGCAAGCAGCATAGTAGGATAAGAACTATACAGAAATTTATCGAACTCCCATTCACCAGATATCATATCTTCAGACAATTATGCTCCAATCCTTGGTGATTACTCATCACATATCTTGCGTTGCACTTATACCTATGGCTTTCATCCGATGGCTTTTCTTCTGTTTTCGCACCAAGACAGTGAATTGGCTCAGACAAAGCTCCTTCAAGTCCATGCGAGTAGCTGACATAAGAACAAAGCTTCCCTTACACAATCCATTCAGTTCCCCCCAACAATTTCTCTTGTTTTTTGTTTTCTGATATGATAACAAAGAATACTGGTTCACTTTTTTATGTAGGAATCAATGTCATTTGAGAGCAATGTTTCTCAAAAATAGGAGAATCTTTGTTTGAATCTTGGAGAGACTGTTTTTTTACATTTTAGGTAAGTTATATCACATGCGTGTTGGCATCTAATCCTGCAAGATGGTCCCAGAGGTAATAATTGTTTACAAATTCTAGCCATTGCTAGTGACCTGTTTTTGGCCTCAACACAAGTCATACTGTATTTATCCTGTGACATTATATCACTCATAATTGATAATTCTTTTCTGAGAACTTTAGGTATACGAAAAAGTTGAGGAAGATCTTCATTCATATAATCTATTTCTATGGTTACAGATACATGGCTAATACAAGCAGCATAGTAGAAAAAGAACTATACAGAAATTTACCAAACTCCCTGAACATTTAACAGATATCATATCTCAGACATTTATTATGTCTAGCTCTCCAATCCTTGGTGATTAATTTGATATCAGACAATTGTGCATCATATATCTTGCGTTGTGGTTATACCTGCCGCTGAAACTTCATCATCCGCTGGCCTTTTCTTCTTTTTTGGGGGTGGTTCTTGCACTTTCCGAATAAGTTCCTTGTTTGGCACCAAGGTGATAAACAAATTTCTGTCCCGGAAGTTTTTGCTCTCCTCAGTTGCAAGCTGCAGGATGTTGACAAACACGATCCATAAGGTGTGAAATTCAATACCAAACTTCTATAAGAAAAGATTGTAGTGGACAATACAGACCTCTCCTATTTCAGTCTGAAATCGTCTAAGGAGCTCAATAGCAATATTTCTAAACTCGTTTTCCCGGCCTTTCATGTTCACAATCACTTTAACCTGAATGTTTTACAAGTCACAGCAGTAAAATGTAATCAGAATTGACAGAAATCGCCCATATATGTTCGGGTAGTAACACTGAAAAAGTAAATAGGAACAACCTTGTCACCATCTTGCAAGAATTTTCGAGCTGCTCTCATGCGTACAGAATAGTCATGCTGATCGATGTTATATCTACCGGAGAAACAAAAATCAGAAACCTTTTGAGAAGAAACAGGTCTAAACAAGTAATCACAACGACACAAACCAAAGAGAGACTCATCTTACCCCATTTTAAGCTCCTTCAAGTCCATGCGAGTAGCTGACATAAGAACAAGCTTCGGTTACAATCCATTCATGTAAATACCACACAGTAAGTAAGCTTATAGTTTTAACATTATCTCCAGTTAAGCAGAGAAGGGTGATCAATACTTTTTTTTTGCTGTTCCTTTTTCCTCTTTTGCTGTTCGTATCTGTATTTACTGATAATGAAACAAAAGGAAAAGAATCATTCTCCTTGAAAATTTCCTATACACAATCCATGAAAATGATACAGATAATCATTCTAAAGACAATTTACCTGTAATCCATCATTTTGACAACCGGAGGATCTGCATCCGGCGAAAGAATCACCTGAAAACCCAAATTCAGACAACGAGATACTCAGTAATAAAGCTCAAACAGATAAAGAAATATATAAGGTTTGAAAATATCAAAGGAAACACAAACCAGATCAAGCTCAGCTTCTTCAGCTCTTCGAACCGCTTCATCTTTTGAAACTACACCAATCTACATCATAACAAAGAAACATTTTTTTTCATTGATTCTGTTTTTGCTGAAATCAAAAGCTAACACTAAGAGGCACTTCAATTCAATTACCATGTTCTGCTGATCATCAATAAGCCTTACAGTGGCTGACCTACTCAATTGAGAATTATCAAACTCCATCAAAAACAATCACAACTTCAAACTCCATCAATCAAAGTTTCCAAAGTTACCTGATAGCTGAGATATCAAGCGCATCATCATCCTCTGATTGTTTTTGCCTACCTCTCCTATCTCCCGGAAATCTAGCACCTCCGCTGCCGCCACCACCGCCTCCGTAACGGCAGGTGATGACGGGGCAACGACGATGATAAGGGGAGTGAGAAACAATTGACAGTTCGGCTAGATAGAGTCTGACACCAAAGAGCTTAGACTTAACAGAGGACGGCCGATGATGCGTAGCCGTTTTGGTGACTCCGGCGAGAATGGCGTTGAGTCCGACGGTGCTGGTGATCCCAGTCATGGCGGCGCTTTCAGAGTCAGAGCCTCTCTACCAATCGGAGAGATCAGATTTAAAAAAGAAAAGAACAGAAGGAAAATAAATAAATAAATCATCTTATCCAGAATAACACCCCAGACTGTGAATTAGTTTATTGTTGATGGAGATTACCAAAAAAAAAAAGCTTATTGTTGATAGAGACATATGGACATGGTTCTGCTTCGGGTAAGCATAAAAATTAAAGTTTTTCGAGAATGTGAATGATAGTATTAGCAAAAACATAGTTTTATGCAAGTGAAAGTGCTACTAATAAAAGATGCACTAACCAAAGTTACATTACAACAACTTAATAATACAATTGTAATCAGTATTTTAATTAAAGAACAAAGGTTTAATGTTATTAAATCATGTTTTCCAAAATGGTTTAGCTTTATGGCCCAAACCCTAAAAAAATGGTTGGGGCATGCTAAAAAGAACAATAAAACAGCTTCAAAGCCTCTGCGCCGCGCTCTCTCTCTTTTCTCTCTTTCTCTCAAACTCTCTCAGGTAAGACTTCTTCTTCAATTTCCCTCCCAGATCAATACTTCTTCGCATTTCTTGACGTCATTGTTCTTTCTTTGTCCAGAGCTCTGTTTGCGTATTTGTTGCAACTTTACCATTTAGATTAGTTGTTATTCAATCTGTAATACTTGTTGCGTCGAGTTGATTGCTGTGACAGTGATTTAAGTAGGTCTTTTTGCTGTTTCAGAACCCACTCTGTTTCTATCCTTACTTATACCGTGAACGAAAGATTCGAGTGATGCAGCAAGGTGACTCGGTGTTGAGCTTGAGGCCTGGAGGTGGTCGTGGAGGAAACAGACTCTTTGCCCCACGCTCCACTTTATCTTCTTCCTCTGATCTTACCAATGGCGGAGACGCTCCTTCTTTTGCCGTTAAGGTATCAAAATCCTCTGTTTTTCTTTTGCTGTTGTTGTGTGTGTTGGTTTTTATTCTGTTATCACGTACTTATGAGTTAGCTGAGCTTGTAAATTTTGAGGGTCGGATTCGTTCTTGTGGTATTGAATTGGCTTTTCGATAAAGTTTGGATCTTTTAGTTGATTCTTATAGGTTAGAGTTGATATTTTTATGTCTAACATTATGCACTGTGTCCTAATTCTTGGTGGGGCGCTTAAGCAATGTGACCTTGCTGTAAATATGGACAAAAATCAATACTTGTAGGATTTTAGGTGGGCATTCTATTAGTTCTTGATGCTCACAAAGGACCTACATACATAAATGATACGTTTTACTGATTTGAGCTCACGCCTATAAAATCTCAACTTGTTTTTCAGCTGTCTCTTTGAATTTTGAGGTTGAAGTTTAATGACTTGTACTGTGTTTTGTAGAGAGGAGACTCGCGATTTGAGGGTCGTGAGCTTTTGAGGTTCACCCGAGAACAGCTGCTTCAGCTAAGAGAGGTAATTAATTACCTTTTCTGCATAGACTAGTCATGTTACGTTGGTTTCTATATTTTTTCTCAATGATAATAATTATGTGGTATGCATTGAATAAAATGTCTCACACTGGTTAGCATCCTTGAGGTCCAAGATGATATCTGATGTAGGTCAATGGTTATATACCCTTGAACTTAGTCATTTATCATGTTTATTGTGCAGGCGATCCAAGTCTCTGATGAAATCCTGAAACTCAGTCAGGAGATTTCATCTGATCTTTTTGGCGAAGAGGAGAGCTGGAGCCGTTCAGAAAGTAAGGTGAGTGGTTTCCTCTCCCCCCCCTGTTCCTCTGCTTTGCATTTTATTGTCTACCTTTGCCGAGAAACCAAGGACACTTGACTAAGTTATCATGTTACTAGCATCAGATTTTTATACCCCCCTTCTTGTTTGTTGTTTTCAGCCTGCAAATCCACTCCAGAATCGTTTCACGGAGCCTGACAACCGCGATTGGCACAGTCGTGCACCAGTTGCTTCCCCAAGTAAAGAAAGGTCAAGGGATGACCAACGTGAACCTAGAGATGCACATATTGGATCAAGTCAAGGAGTGAGTGTTGACTATTTTGATACTTTATTGCGACAATACTTAGTTTGCGTTTGTGTTGTTACGGCTTGTAACTAACGTAATAACTTACTGAAACAGTCTGGCCCTCCTCCTGCCCTGGTGAAGGCAGAAGTCCCATGGTCAGCTAGAAGAGGAACCTTATCAGAGAAGGACCAAGTCCTCAAGACCGTGAAAGGGTATTGTATTCTTCATGACTAATGAATGTTTGTCTTTTTGTTTGGGGTTATTTGCTTTACATAGTTGACTGATTCTTCTAATTCTACTCCTCTCTAGTATTCTGAACAAGCTGACTCCTGAGAAGTACGATCTCCTCAAAGGTCAATTAATTGACTCTGGAATCACTTCGGCAGATATTCTGAAGGTATTCCAAGTTCCGTGGGTATTCACTTGTTTGTAACTCTCTTTTCAGGGCCTTATTTTATCTTTTCTCTAAACTCAGGGAGTGATACAACTGATTTTTGAGAAGGCTGTACTGGAGCCCACATTTTGTCAAATGTACGCTCTTTTGTGTTGCGATATCAATGGAAAGCTTCCTTCGTTTCCATCGGAGGAAGCCGGAGGGAAAGAAATAACATTCAAAAGAGTGCTTCTGAATAATTGCCAAGAAGCATTTGAAGGTGCTGACATATTGAAGGAAGAAGTCAGACTGATGACTGATCCAGAGCAAGAAATGGAACGAAGGGACAAGGAAAGAATGGCAAAGCTGCGAACATTAGGAAATATCCGTTTAATTGGTGAACTTCTGAAGCAAAAGATGGTGCCCGAGAAGATAGTTCATCACATCGTTCAAGTATTATGACTTGCTCTTTACTTTGGTACCTTTAGTTTATTGCATGTAATACTGTAGAGCTCATGGAAAATTTGTTCCTGGTTACAGGAGCTTTTAGGACAAGACAAAAAAGCTTGCCCAGGGGAGGAAGATGTAGAAGCTCTCTGTCAATTTTTCATCACCATCGGGAAACAACTAGATGAGAGTACAAAATCACGGGGTATAAATGACATGTACTTCTCTCGTTTGAAGGAATTAGCAATGCATCCGATGCTTGCACCACGCATGAGATTTATGGTCCGTAATGTTATTGATCTGCGAGCTAACGAATGGGTACCAAGGCGTGAGGAGGTAGGAAGTTATCGTACCTGTTCTTTGTAATTACTTACAGAGTTACTTATCTGTGCTTACGTTTTGTTCTTGCTGTGTAAAATGGCAGATGAAAGCCAAGAAAATCACTGAGATTCACTCCGAGGCGGAAAAGAATCTTGGGTTGCGCCCCGGTGCCATGGCGAATATGAGATATAATAACAATCGTGGTGGTGCCGATGCTGGTGGAGCTGACATTCTTGGTTCTGGAAACCTCCTTGGACGTTCAGGTACTGGAGGAATGATGCCCGGCATGCCAGGCGCTAGGAAGATGCCGGGGATGCCTGTAACAGATGATGATGGTTGGGAGATGGCACGGTCCCGTTCCATGCCCAGAGGCAATAGGCAGAACCCACATCCCGCTGGGCGTGTTAAGTCTCCTGTTATCATTGACAAGTCACTGTCGTTTAATTCAAAGCTGCTACCTCAAGGTATTGGAGGTCTTATGAACGGTAGACCAAGTGCCCTTTTGCAAGGTAATGGCGCTGAATCGCCTAAACCTGTTCCTTCCCCAACCAGACCAACTGTGGAGAAGCCACAACCACAGCCACAGCCACAGGAGGTGGTTCCTCCTACGGCTACTAGCTTGAACACAGGAGAGCTCAGTAGAAAGACCAACTCGCTTTTGGAGGAATATTTCAATGTCCGTCTATTGGATGAGGCACTACAATGCGTAGAGGAACTGAAAACCCCGTCTTACCATCCTGAGCTAGTCAAGGAAGCTATCTCCCTCGGCTTGGAAAAGAACCCGCCGTGCGTGGAACCAGTGGCGAAACTCTTGGAACATCTGGTCTCTAAGAGTGTTCTAACTCCTAAAGACATAGGGAACGGTTGTCTGCTTTATGGGTGTATGCTTGATGACATTGGGATCGATCTGCCAAAAGCGCCAAACAACTTTGGGGAGATCCTTGGTGGTTTGGTTAATGCCAAAGCATCAGATTTTGAGTTGGTGAAAGAGATTCTAATGAAAATGGAAGACGAGTTGTTCAAGAAAGCAGTCTTGGAAGCTGTGTTAAGGAGTGTTAGCGAGTCTCTGCTGGCTGCACAGGCGGCAAAGGTTGAGGCTTGCCGTAGTTTGGTGTAGTTTGTGTGGTTTCTTTCATCTCGATAGATCAGCTTAAGACCCACGCTCCCAGGGAAAAACAGAAAAAAGCTACAGGTGAGATCTTTCTTAAAATCATTTATTGAAAAATGTTTAAGTATATCATACTTGTAATCGAGATTAGTTTCAATCTTGTTACTCTGTTTTGTTTTTTATTTGTGTTTAAAATTTTGGTGCGTTAGTTCATTTTTGATTTGGAATAGTTGAAGATGAGGGAACAGAAGGGAATATGTCAAATTGTACTCATTATATTGGCAATGAAAAGTTTAATTATCAAAGTATTTGTACTCATTATATTGGCAATGAAAAGTTCCTATTTCTTTTGTTTATGTTGAAAATCGAACAAAAGACGTGAGTTTGTGAGTTATATGATCATGGATCGTGGCGAAATGTCACTTGTGATAGTTAGGAGATTTTCACAAAAAAAGGAAAAAGAAAAGCACTCGTGAGCTGTCATCATCTCATCAATGCCTAGTGGTTGGATGATCTCGTGTTTTTTGGTTGTGTGCACGAAGTAGAGAGTGTAACACACTTTCCCAATGATTCTACAAATACACACACATAAGTCCAAGTTCAAAACACAAAATAAGTATTTCTTTTTTTGTTTCAACTGAGGCAGAAGAAAGGGATGAGGACTTGTTCTCTTCTTGGTTGGTTCTTGATCATCTCCCTATTGTTACTCTCTCAATCCCTCATAATCTCATGCGAAACTCATGGAAGCAAGATCACTCCTTTGAGTCGGAAACTAGTTGGACATGGAGAGAACGCGGAAGAGTCTCACGGTCTTCGAGTTTTTGTGAGGAAAAGCAAAAGCAAGAAGAAGAAGAAGGACAAATCATCAGCCACTCGAACTCTTCTCTCTAACCCATTTACCTATGTTTCTACTGCTGTGAGTTCCTTTGTTTTGGTGCTCGCCGCATTCTAATCTATTTCCAAGAATAGCTTGCGACTTGTATTTATTTTTCTACGTCAAATCAAATGGCTTGCGTGTTTGTTTGATCGACTTTGTGTGTTTGTTTGATCGACTTTGTGTTTGCAACTGATCGTTTTAAACTATTTGTATTCTTTTCCGGCAAAGCTTGAGTTTGTAACTCTCTTGAATGGCCAGTTGTCTAATATTTTGGTTCTGCACTTGTCTTTTTTATTTGTTTAATGAATAGTAACTTACTATCTTCAAGAATCGTGATTAACTAGGAGAAAGACAGTAGCAATTGCCAATGTTAAAAAAAAAATGATAATCTTTCTTTAAATTTATAGTTTTCAGTATCTGTTAATCACAAGCTAATGAGAACGAACATTTGTTAAAATTATTTGACACAAATATCATTCCTTTTCGGTTCCACCTTGCGAGTTTGATGTTGTTGATGTCCTCCTTGGCCTTGTAATGTTTAAGTTGTGAGCATCAACTTAAAAATTGTGGAAGTTTTATAAACTAGGTGTGTTTTTCTTTTTTTTTAAATTAGATTAGATACTGATGCGAGATGAATAGAAAAAAAAAAAAACAATTTACTTTGATATGAAAGCTTTATTTTAATAGAAAGCTAAATTAACCTTGTGAGAGAATACTCTTAAGAAATTGACACAATGATAAATTGATAATGGTCTAAGACAATGTTATTCGTTTGGCACACAAATTACATGCATGAGAGATGTTCCATTAACATAAATTCAGGTTACAATTGATACTAACATTTGGGTATGTATTATGTTACGGCATTAGGCTTACATGATTCAAAGCCTTAGTATAATATAGAAAAATACCCCATTGTTTTATTAGATTTTGGACTCTCGGAAACTTTCCTTTGCTGCTGGCAAAAACAATTTAAAAAAAAAAAAAAACGAGATGAACTGTTCTTTGCTATTGAAGTATATATTATAGTTAAATACAATATATTAAAGACACGACTCAAAGAAGAAGTCACTCGTTTTGAAGCGATATAAAGTACTAATTCTTCTTTTGAACACATATATCTGATTTTATTTTTTTTCTCCAATTTGTTTGGATCAAATACATATAAATATATACACAAATGAGAACTTCAATGGCTTTTACTTCTTCATTCATTATATTGCTATTGTTACTCTCTCAGCCTTTGCTAATTTCATCTGAAAATCAAGAAAGCATACCCCAAGTACTGACCTCTTGGGGACGAAGGCTTGCACAACACGCTGACTCTATTCGAGTTTTCAATAGGAAAGTTCGTGTTGGTGGTGGTGGTCGTCGTACTCACCGTCGTGTCCCTAGTGGTGGTCATGGTGTCGGTGGATCGTCGTCGGATACTAGTCGACCTTCTCTCTCGATCGCATTGCGATTTGGTTCCACGGTCTTGAGCTCTATTCTGTTGATATTATTCGCCTCCTAGTTTCTACATTCTTCTATTGTGTCTTTCTATTCTTTAATGTGTATCTTGCGATTGCGAACCTCTTTTTTCTTGTGTGTATTAATTTGATCATATTGGTGTTGTTAATTCTAGTGATCGTGTGACATGATTTGAATGAGAACATATATTAATCTGTGTGAATAATGTAGATTTTGTTATTGTAATCGAATGCTAATAAATCATTTGAGATTTCTCCAATAAATTGTTGATAGCGTGATAATTTAAGAAAACCTTTGTTCATCACATGCATGATTTTGACATTGTAATCTTTAGGTATAGTTGGAATCAGCTTGTAAGCTAATTCTTCATATATTAAAAGTTTAGTATATTCTTTTACGGTGGTAATTATATATGCCACGGGAAGAAATAAATAAAATTTTAAAATCAAATTTTCAACCTATATATCACCAATTCACCACCATGTTATTGATTGTTATCTTACCAAAATAAAATAAAATCACATCATGTTATTTGTGATATAGAGAGGTATCAAATAAAGATGAGTCAAGCTTTTTACCCAAAAAAACTGATTAGGGATAAATATATATAGCTAGGGAACTAACTGCATATCTAGTTTGTGGGTCTAGGAGTAGCCCATTCGACACTAAGTATGAGATTATCATAACCATAACCATTCAATGTATTGATTGCTCTCTGGCATCTTCTCTGCTCACAAAGTTGACAAAACCAAAGCCTCTGCTTGTTCCAGTCTTCTTGTCCAAGGCCACATGGACTCGACTCACATCACCAAATGAACGGAACAAATCCATCAAATCAGGTTCACGAGTGTCTTCAGACAGGTTGTTCACACGTACAGAGTTCTCGTCGTTCCTTCTCCTCATGCTTGGTGGGACATAAGTAGCAACCGTGTCTGTGCCAGCTGGTGCGGCCCACTTAGATGCTTCTGCTTGATCTGTTGAGAAATGAGTGTTCCCAGGGCATCTCGCTGTCCAGTGCACACCTTTCTTGCCGCATCTCCTACAGATCATCAGCATCGCACCGGGTTTACCTATCTCTTGCGATGCCTTCGTTTCTTCAGGTCTGGTACCTAAAATATCAAACCAAAATAAATTAATGAGTATGTAAAACTTCAAAATAGAGAGGTTACTTACAAAAAAAAAAAAAAAAAAAAAAAACTAATCCATGATTTTGAACTAATTTTTGGTTTTTGGTTTTGCAAAAACTAGTTAGTTAACCATTCATGATTTTAATAAAAGTAGATTTACGTGGGATTTTTGTTAAAATCATTTTAAGCCCAAGCAAAAACTAAAAATTAAAATTATAAATACCTTAAAAACGTTTTTTTGATAAATAATTATATTTAAAATCCAAAAACTAAATAAACTACCATTCAAGATTTTGTAAAAACTAAAATCTATAACTAAAATTAAAAACTAAAAAAATCAAAAACCAAAAGCTAAAAATCAAAAACCAAAAACTAAAACCCATTTAGAAACTGCAAAATGGCCTTAATCATACAAATTCATTACAAGATCTAATTTTTAATTACACCATTTCAACATTTTTCTCTTTACGAGATTTTCTCTCCGTTCTCTTTTGTTTGTCTTAAACATAAGGCACAACTAATTCTGTCCTATAGTCCACGAGAAGCAAAAAGAATAACATGTAGACGAGATTTTACTTTTAACTTCTAAATTTCTAATGGAACACAAGTGAATGATTGAGTTTTCCAGAACAAATGAGATATAGTATATTGCTCAACGTACATGTTCCTCCCCTTTCGAAACCAAAACAGAATCAATTCTTTTCCATGCTTGGAGTGGAAGAAGAATCAAAGAAACATTTTGTTATTATCATCTCCATTGATTGGAGAAGATATGAAAAGTGAAAGAAACATGTCATGTGTGGGAATCAAATCTTACCCGACAATGGCTGTTTTTGCTACCTTTATTCCCATCAGGTTCTTCAATTTTTGTTCTGTTTCTGAGTTGTAATCTTCTACCTTGGTTCTTTCTCTCTGTCTTTTGTGCAATCCCGCACAAGCAAAAAAAAAAAAGCTCTTTCTGAGAGAGACAGTCCTATATATTCAGATACTCAGTGGCTAACTTACTGATCATTTCCATACAATATCGAAATAATCAATATTCTCCAGCATAAGCTTCCGTAATCATCTGCCATGAAGAGATACAATCGCGTATTGTTGCTCATTATTAGCATCTGCTTCATTACCTTTGCTTTTGCTGAAGAACTTCAATGCTGTTCAGACAAAACAGTCTACGCGGTCCAAAAAGGCAATTAGCTGGTTCAATGTTTGTTAAACAACTTGAAAAGCTATGCCATACATATAAACTCTTCTTTTGTTTTGGTTGCAGAGAGACCTGTCGTCAGAGTAACTGATACCAAGAGAGCTCAGGAAATTTCGCAGACAAGCAGGGCAAGAGGTGTTTATGGAGGTGATATGATCAGACCTAAAGGAAAGAAGAACAGTTCCGTGGCCTCCATGACCAAATCTACTTTACTTGCACTATTTCATGTTACAACTGCAACTCTGGTCCATCTTTTCTTGTACTAATATTTAACATCCTAAATGTAAGATCTGAATGTCTATTAGATATAAATGTTTTCGATTCCAAAATGCAGAGATTGGAACTTAAAGACAACTTGGATTTGTTCTATTCAAATCTAACTTCTAAGTAATAAAAGGTGAATAGTAGGAACAGAACATGTTTAGAGAGGAATCAGAAACAGCTCACTAAAATTACATTACCTAGTAAGTAGTAAAATTCCTTCTTGCTGAATCAGTCGGTAACTCGATTATAATTCCGCTGTCTGAAACCGATCTATTCATATAAAACCCTGTCATTTTAAAGGAAAGATAAGACCCGGGAGATTAAACTCTGGCATCTTGATCTCTTCCACAAACATAAACCTCAAGGTACAAAGCAAATTTCGATGTTTCATGAGGTAGAAGGATATTTTAGTATGATCGTTTTAGGAGACCTTGCAAAGTAATCCAAAGCTATAGTTTCTAACAAAACCCCAATCGACGATACTTTAAAGACAAACATACAAAAGTCACTTCGAGTATAAGACTAGAGAAGCAGAGAGGGACTCATTGAGTCAATGATTCTTAGAGATAACATATTGTATTATCAACACAGCTACAAGCATTCAACATTTCAAGTTAGGGTTACTATTTTCCTAACTTGATAACAGAAGCCAACAAGTATATATAATGTTTACCTTCAATCTTGCATTACCCCAAAAGGATCACCAATTTTTTTGTTATATAATATAACACAAGACAAAAGTTATAAAATCTTTCAATACATGAGTAAACTGCAAAAGCAACTTATTGGTACAACAACACTCAAAGCAACAGTTTCAAGAAACATCAAGCTCAAGCAGAGTAGAGAGGGCGTCTGTATTCATCAAAGTACTCTTCACGGTTCTGAAACACAATCACGTAAATCGCGTAAATTATCCCCGGGAGGTATCCTAAGATAGTCAGCACCAAGCAAATCAAGAACTCCACCTGCAACAAATCACACATTTTTAAAAACAAATCAAAATTTCTTCAATCCCTTAGCGTGTATATAAAATAACATTTTCAGTAAACCACCATATCAAATAGAAATTGATCCAATAATATTTTTCAGTAAACCACCATATCAAATAGAAATTGATCCAATCATTACTCAAGTTATAATCCAAGTTTATAGGAAAATCACCAAATTCTAACAAGATTCACTTATCACTAATTCACTATACAAATGGAGGAGTTAGAGAACTTACAGTGCAGCAGCCCTTCCTGAGGCAAACTCCGAGAGGCGGAAGAAGGACGGCGATTAAGATCTCGCACAGAATCTCACAGTTGCTCGGCATTTTTTTCAGAGATGAGAGAGAGATGAAGAAGAAGCTTTGAAGATGAGTTTCTGATTTTTGTAATGGAGAAGAAGAAGACTTAACACAAGAGACGAAACACTGAGACTTGCTGTCACATAGTACCAAGTGAGATAAAGCCACGTTTTTTTTTTTTTCTTACCGCTACGAAGTCAACTACGAAATCTGCACCGTTCACAAATTTTCGGTAATTAAATCGTACGGTCTCAAATTACATATCGTGAATCACTTTCTTCGAACACGCACGTTATGGTGCAACTCAACACACCAGATTATTTTTAGATATTTTTATTAGTCTCTGACTCGTCCATGTGACTAAATTGGGCCTAGTAAGGCCTGTCTATTCAATTAACGCGGGACCGTAAGCTTAATTATCAAACGATGCCGTATGTATATTATGTCACAACCACTTATTACCCAATTATTTTCTCCACCATAATATATATGTTAAAATCATCATACAAAATGAGACTAATAACTACAGTATATGAATTCAACCTAAGAATGAACACCTCAAAATGCTTCCTCATTTCAGAAAGTTAAAACTCCGGCAATACAACAAATCTTGGCAAAGAATCTGATACATTAGCACTTAGCTCACGAGCAGAGTTAGTAACCTGGTTATCAGAGAATAGATAGCCAAATGTGTCAACAAAACATAATATTCTCAAAGTCTTCCATACAGAAAATTGCAAAGCAACTTATTGGGGTACATGATAAGTAAAAAGTTACAACAACATATTGATACAAGTAATGAACCAAAAGAGATCAAGGTGAGTTGAGTGGAGCTCCGAGTTCATGATTGCCTTCACGGTTTTGAAACACGATTACGTAAATTGCATAAATGATCCCTGGGATGTATCCTAAGATAGTCAGCACCAAGCAAATCAAGAACTCCAACTGCAAAACAAAGAATCATAAGTCAAAACTGTTCAAAAGTAAAGTTCAAGATTCAAGATTCCAAGAAGTTAGATTGAGGATCTTGGAAGAGAACTTACAGTGCAACAGCCACGCTTGAGGCAAACACCAAGAGGTGGAAGAAGGACCGCTATTAAGATCTCGCAGAAAACTTCCATGTTGCTCGCCATTTTTTCGGAGAGATGAGAAGAAGAAGAAACTCGAATGTGATATTGAAATGAAGTAGTGGAGAAGAGCGAACACTACAAGTACTGTCGGTACAGAGATCCAATTAAGAGCAATCCACGGCTTTTATTTTTGGCGCTATGAAGTCAACTACGAGATCTTCACCGTTCATATATCGGTAATTAAATCGTACGGCTTACGTTACATGCCGACATCATGTATTAAAATTAATATTACTTTACCTTGCCCCCACTTCCTTAGATATTTTCTTCTCAACTTAACACACCAGATCACTTTTGGAGGACTCTTGACTCGCCCCCTATTAAGGTTAAAGGACCACTTGACTATACGTGGGCTTATGAAAGGCCTGTCTTCAGTTGAATCTGGGACCGGACTGGGTTTAGAACATCGTCGTACCAATATTAAGACACTGAAATTAGTCGGTGCTGGTGTTGCTTAGATGGCAAGCTATAAAGCTCCCGAATATGCAAACAGAAGTTAGTATTCTTCTGCGAATAAGTATATTTTGCTTCATGTGGCTTCAATTGACACTAAAATTCAGACTTTAGGCAAAGAGGAACATAAATGTTATGTAATACAAATGTAATTTAACACTGTACATAGAAAAGAGGAAGGGGTTTCACACTGTAGATAAATAAGAGGAAGGGGCTTCACACTGTTTTGATAATTCAAACATAGATAGATATGAACAAAGTGAATATGTCACAGAGGAAGTGGAGCTTTAGCTTTTTAAATGCGTGTCTGATAAACCCATCACCAATTCATTGATCTCTCGGATTTCCGGGTATTGACATGCGTAGAATAGCCATAGGGAAGTTGAAATGAGGCTTATTGATCTCCCTCAAACGAATCAAGCTCGAGGTGCACGCGGTTATCTGTTCGCTTCCCAAGGATATACACCCGTATAAGTCCATGTACTCTAGATCCTGGCAACTTTCACAAACCGAGGCAAGACCTTGAGCAGTCAACGTGGAGTATCGAATCTCCAGGTGCTTGAGCTGAGGCATGTGTCTCGCAATGATCTCCGCCTCCGCATTCCCGTATCTAGGAAATCTAGCCAGATAGTCGAGTGGCGCGATAACTGTAGGCATGTGGGGATTAAGCCTCGGATATTGATTCCGTTTAAGAGTCTTTAGATTCTGGCAGTTCCTCCCCAACATCGTCAGAGACTCGTGAGATATACCATACGAGTAGCTTATATCAAGTTCTTTAAGGTTTCGACAGTTGGAGGCTATATTCATCATTGATGCATCTGTAACATTTGGGCAGCTCTTTATCCAAAGCACCTCAAGTTTAGGGCATCTTCAAATGAAAAACCAATGATAAGTACAAGAATAATGAGCTAAGAGAACACTTTGATTGAGTAATAACATCATCATTTAAAACGTAATTTGACAAAAAAAAAAAAAATATATCTCAAATGTTAATTTTATTCTATAATCTATGACCTCCATTTCATTCATTCCATCAAACTCCTGGGATCAACTTCCAAGGAATCAAGCAAAGCAAGTTGATGCGTACCTCTCAGCGGCGTAGGATAGAGAGCGATCAGTACAGTGCCTGACCCGAATCTCTGTGAGACCACCTTCGCTCCGATCAACAACAGTTTGCAAAAAGGAATCAACTTTATCCTCGAATTCGGGAGTCCACCAGTTGATTGACTCAGGGTACGACAGAAACCGATCTTCGAGATCGAAGGTCGTGTTGAGTGACGGATCATAGCATGCGCTCATCCAGCTCTTGCTGACTAGCATCGGTCCGATCCATCTTTGTTCCTGGCTCAGCCGTGAGAAGATGTCGAGAAGACATTCCCGAGTCATCTCAGACCAGTCAGGGAAGAGTCCTGAACCCATCTCCACCTTTCCTTTCCTATCGTTGACTTCCATTTGATCGAAGAATGTTTCGTCGTTTGAGTGTGTGGAGTGAATAGACTTCAAAATATTTAGACTTTATGAGTCAATGGAAACAAAAATGTCGAGACTTTTTTTAACTCCTACAAAACAGAGCTTTTCTTTTTCTTTTATCAAAGAAAGAAAACAGAGATTTTCAATCTTAGCTTTTGTTTTCTTTAATCGTCATCAGTAACCTTTCCAGTTTTTGATATCCGATCGAATCAATGAGCTTTCAAGTTTATATGGCTCCGTCGGTTAGGTGTTTCAGCCGAATGTTTCCGCTCTCCTTTCTTCGATGAAAAGAAATAAGTATAAGCAGACAAAAAACACATGGGATTCTGTAATCATCAAACTGGGATTGAAGGATAATGTTGTCACTTATGACAAGAGTTATGCAAATGTTTTCCTCTGGAAGTAGTGACTTTCTAAGTCATCAAATCAAACCTTCTATCTATATATACTTGTAAAGCAGCATATGTGCATATTGGGTCATACCATTATCTCAAATCTCAATCCTACATACATACTAAGAACCTTAAACACTTAAAGCCACTGGATCTTGCCATGACACCTTCCTCTTCACACCTCTATTTAACTTTTTCTCCACATCTCCGCAGATCGGTAACTGTCTCTTGTCATGTAGATCACTGATTCTGTTACCAAGCATTGCATTCTTCATTGCTCCCGCAACCATATGTTGACCATTAGCTTCCGGCTCCTCTTCTTCTCTCTACAACCAAAATGCAAAGCCCACAAATAACACTCGTTAAGTTGTCAAGACTCTTAACAAACGAAAGACCCTAAAATAACAAGAGTTGTTTGGCCAATGGCTATACCGAGATCTGGTTTAGGTCGAAGCCTGGGACTTTGTTGGGCACAGAAGTGTTTCCCTCTCCGTTAAGGTCAGGAAGTGCAACGGAATTTGTCAAAATATCGTTGTCTCTGCTCCTTTTAAGCTTCTTTTCCAAGTCACAACTTGCATTATTACCAAATGCTTCCTTCTCATTGCAAATTAGACTGTTCTGTTTCACAGACGCTCTCACACCAGAGTGTTTCTTCTTTCTTTGGCCACTTGGTTTACTAGGGACCTCTGAACCCCCTGGTTCTGACAATCTCAAAACCTCCGAAGATGTTTCAAGAGTTTGGTCTGGCTTCAAGTGTTCATATCTACGTCTCAAGAACCTATAGTTTCATCAAAACATTCAATAAGCCAAAGAAGAAGCTTGAATCATGTTAATTATGCAGTAAAGACGTAAATTCACATGAAGATGAGAGAGATCATACCTAACTTCTGCTTTGAGAGTCGATCGTTTTTGTTTCAACATCTCCAATTTCCTTCTTTTAACTTCCAAGTCCTGAGAGAACAACAACAACAACCAGGAGAAGCAAATTTCAAAACTTTAAAATCAAACCAAACAATTCCCAAACGCAAATTCATGACAAAACATCAGATCACCCAAATCAGCAGACCAAAACATAAAATAAAACCCAGAAATTTTAATTTGAAAACCCTAGGGAAAAAATCAATTACCTTTTTCAATCTGATCATGGGATCGGAAGCAGAGGAGACGAAATTATCCTCTTTCATGGTGAAAATTTGAGAATCGCAGATTCAAAAGGTCACACCACGAGAAAGAGGAAAGAGAGAGAGAAGAGAAGAAGGAAGAGAAGAAGGCAAAGGGATTAGGTTTAATGGTGGGAGTCTTAAGTCCTTGTATGAAACTCTCTCTGACCAAAGACTTAAAAAACCCCAAAGAAGCCACCACATAATTGATTGATTTTGGGTAATGCCCATTACAACCAAATTGATGATATTGAAAAACCTTTTTAAATTTTGGATTTTCCTCTTTTCTTTTCTTTTCTTTTGGTGTAAGAAGTCTATGAGACAGACCAGACAAGCAACAGAAGAGTGGTGATCAAGATGGAAAAGAGAAGAAAGATATGAGGAAAAAAAATCATATTTTTATTTCTTCTTTTTTACTTTTCTTTCTATATGTGCCCCCCTTTTGGTAGTTGCAGAAGGGCAAATGAAATGCTGACCAAATTTAAACAAAATAAAGGTTCTTCCTTTTTTTTTTCTTATGTATTGTGTTTATGATTAGGTTCATGTCTTTTGTGAGGGTGGGTTTGATAATTGGTAGAGATTTGAATTAAAAAAAAGCCACAAATGGGTTACAGAAGAGATAAAAGAGTTAATAATATGGTTGGATATGTTTGTATGTGAAAATTTTATCTAAAGAGAAAGCAAATAAAAAGGAGTTGGGTTTTTAAAGACAACCAGTGAAACAGGAGAAGAAGAAAACTATGGAGATTTATATGAGAGATGATGATTGGTCTGGTGGTGTCTATAAAAAAATGTGTGTATATATATATATTTATTTTTTATATTATAATGTATATGTGTGTATTTTTGTGTGATGCAGATAGATTTTCACACGCTTGTCTCATCTCTATTTTTTGAATGACCATTATAGCCTTCTATTCAACTAAACTCAACCCTCTACACCAAACTAGGGCGTCTGAAAAAGCTAACCGATTTTGAAGAAATTTTTTAATCATATATATATATATATTTTTTAATTATGTTGTTCACTTTATTAAAAATGTATTTTCTGGTTTGATTCAAGCTTATCTTCAATTGAACTGATTCGATTTCGTTTGTAATTTTATACGTTTACTAGATAAAATTAAAACTTATTGATTAATTACAAGTTTTACATGTTTTATGAAAGTAGTACCAGTTGTTTGTTAAAATTATTTATTTGTGTACAATTATTTCCTTAAGCTTTTTCTAGTAACAAATCCTAAATTTTAAAAAGGGATTTATAAGTTTTAAACGATAGGAGTAACCTAAATTTAGTAGCAAATTTCCATATTTAATTTAACTGAATGATAAATAGGAAAATAAACTTGAATAATGGAAATTTAGGAAAGGGAACCTTAAAAAGTTACACGTCACCAACCTAACCGAATACAAGTTTAAAAGGGTTTGAAGCTCTGTTTCGCTCCAACTTCCCCCACAAATTCTAATCTTTGCTCATTGACAACGATCTTGATTCTAATCTTTGCACCGCAAAACCCTAAAGCTAAAAGAAAACCATTGGCGAGTACGTATCTCTGAGATGGAGGAGGAGAGACCCTCGATGTTGCCGTTTAGCACAAGTTTTGATCCCTCGAATCCATTAGAGAGTCTGGAGAAACTCGTTGAATTTATTGGGAAAAATAGTAATTTTCTGATCAAAAACAAGGCGGAGAAGGACATCACCACCGCTGTTACAGCCGCCATCGCCAAGGAGAGGCTGAGGAGAACAGAGAAGGAGAGTGTCATCATGACTTCGAAGTCAGAAACTCAGCCTGAGGAATCTAAAGAGAAGATCAGCAAGAAAGCAGCAAAGAAAGAAGCCGCCAAGCTAGAGAAGTTGCGCCGCCGGCAGGAAAAAGAAGAAGAAACCCGTAAGACAGCTTCAATGTCTGTCGAAGATGAAGATGACGAGTACTCCAGTAACTACGGCAACGTGAATCTTAGCGAGTTACCTGATCCGAAAGCCAGAAAGTGGAGAGAGGCTGTTGAAGGAAAGGAGTGGACTGATGTTAGTGATTTAGTGGGAGAGATGGTTGGATCAGAGGTTCTAATCAGAGGCCGAGTGCACACGAGTCGCTTATTCTTTGTGTACTTGAGGCAAAGTGGATCCACGGTGCAGTGCGTGGCCAAACAAAAAAACATGATTAGATTTCTCAAGCAGCTGAGTAATGAATCAATTGTTGATGTTATTGGTGTTGTCTCTCTCCCCAAGGATCCTGTGACCGTAGCCACACAGCAGGTTAATTGCTTTCTTTTTTCTTCTCCTCACAATTCCTGTGTCATAAAAAGACATTAACTAAGTGTTGTTGTTGTTGCAGGTTGAAATTCATGTGAGAAAAGTGTACTGCCTCAGCAGATCCTTGCCACAATTACCACTTATTGTGGAGGATGCTGCCAGAAGTGAAACGGATATGCATTACTTTAAAAAGGTAGAATCATGTTTTAAGATTTGTTGGAATATGTACTACAACATAGGGTATGCATTGCTAATGTTTCTATGGTCTGTTCATAAGAGTTACGTTGTTGTTTCCATGATTATTACAGGATGGCACACCAGCTGTACGTGCTCGTATCCTTCAAGACACACGTTTGAATAATAGGGTGCTTGACCTCCGAACACCAGCTAATCAAGCCATCTTCTCCTTAACGTGCCGATTCAAATATGTAAGCTCTTGATCACTGCTAAAGAATTTGCCATGTTACTAAGATATATATATATATACATCATACAAATCTCCTATGCTGCTTTGCTGAACAAACTAATAATTGTATTGTAGACGTTCGCGGAGCTCCTAGTATCCGAGGATTTTATAGATATCAACACACCGAGACTTATAGGTGGTACAAGTGAAGGAGGTTGTGCTGTATTTAGCTTTGATTACAAAGGCCAGCCTGCTTGTCTGGCTCAGTCTCCTCAGCTACATAAGCAGATGGCAGTATGTGGTGATTTTCAACGCGTCTTTGTGATAGGTCCTGTTTTCAGGGCAGAAGATTCGTTCAGTCATAGACACCTGTGTGAATTCACTGGTGTTGATGTAGAGATGGTGATTCGAAAAGACTATACTGAGGCAAGTTTGTGCTGTTACAAATATAATTTCCTCTCAAGTACCTTATATGCTAATATATATGTGTTTTCTTTGTTTATGCAGTTAATGGACCTGGTGGAGCGCTTATTTCTGCCTACATTCACTAAGATAAACGACATGTTCTCAAAGGAACTGGAAGCTATCAATAAGCAATATCCATTTGAACCTTTGAAGGTAACAATGCAGTATATGAGCAAAGGAAGAATATAAACTGAGTTTTGTTTTCATATCTTATTGATTCCTGATAATTGGCACTAAATTGCAGTTTCTACCGAAAACACTTTTGCTAACCTATGAAGAAGGGATTCAAATGCTTAAGGTATGACTCGACTTTATGATGCTTAAGGAGTTATTCGAATGGACTATCAATAAAATTTGGGACTCCTAATGTGTTGACAGGAAGCTGGTAAGGAGGTTGATCCTTTTGGAGATTTAAACGCAGACTCTGAGAGAAAACTTGGCCAGCTCATTCGGGAAAAGTAATCCACAACTTATTCATATATATATTCCCTAGTTCACAAGATGTGATGCTTAAAGTTGTAATTTGAAATTGCATGCAAACATTCAATATTGTCAAAACTGCAGATATAACACAGACTTTTACATACTGCACCGCTTTCCTCTAGCAGTTAGGCCATTCTACACCATGCCATGTGAAGACGATCCTCGTTACAGCAAATCCTTTGATGTCTTTTTGAGAGGTAACTGAGTTTGAGTTTTATGATTTCTTTTGTAATTTATGTTTCTTCCCACCAATTATGCTTACTAACACTCTTTGATACTGAGTTTGTCATATAGGCGAGGAGATCATATCAGGAGGCCAACGTATCCATGACCCAGAATTGTTGGAGAAACGTGCAAGAGAATGTGGCATTGATGTCAAGACACTATCCACATACATCGATTCATTCAGGTAAAATACAAACCTGACCAGTTTTTTGGATCCTAGAAATTGGTCATCATATCTAAGCAACATGCATGGCTACAATAATAAAATAATGTTTTCACATGCAGGTACGGTGCACCTCCACATGGTGGATTCGGAATGGGGCTGGAGCGAGTGGTCATGCTCTTCTGTGGACTGGACAACATCCGTAAAACATCCCTCTTCCCTCGTGACCCTCATAGGCTTGCACCTTAATTATAAGAGTTTTTATTCATTCTGTAGGATTTGTTATTCATAAATAGAAAAACCAAAGTTAGGGATTTTTGTGGATATCTCTTGAACCTCTCCATTGTAATTGGTTCAACCATTGTTCTACATCTCCTTTGGGTTTTTTCACATAAGCAAATAAAATTCAAAGCCCACTTAAATAAACTCATCAATCAAAGGTTCTTTAAGCAATATTGACGTGGCCTTATTGGTTATAAAACAAAATAATCTCGTTCTTTTTTCTTTTTTTTTTTGTCTTGTCGAGACTAGTCCTTTCTCTCTCAGCAGAACAATGGCTTCGACGGCTACGACTACTGATTTTTTCAAACCTCTCCCCTCTCCTTTCTCCAATGGTTAGTTTCTCTGTGCATCACTCTCTGACTCTCTCTCTCTCTGGGGTAATTTCCATAGGGTATGCGACTGAGTTTGTGTGAATTTAAGTGTATACTTTTTGGTTTATGCCTTGTTACTCTCTCTTGGGTTTCATCTGGGTTTGAAAAGCTTTCGAATTCAGATTTCAATTTATGAATTTTGGAGAAGAACAAGTGTGATTACCTTAGGATCTTGTCTCAGTTACATATATCTTAGATTCGTATAGTTTTTGATCATCTTCGTCTCTGAGTTTATTTTTATTTCCCGGGATTGCAAATTCAGGTAACGCGGCTCAAACAAGTAGTAGACATAGCGTGGTATGGTTAAATCGGAAGAACACTGGTTACAGGTCTCTTCGTGTTAATGGATTGTTCGGAGGTGGGAAGAAGGACAATAAAGAGGATGGCCAATCAAAGGTACATCATGTTTCTATTTTTCATGTTCATTTACTCTGTTAGATTCTGTCTTGTTTTTTTGTCTCCGCAACATTATTAAGTTTTACCTTAGAGTTTGATGAGGTTTCTTATTGCTTTATTGTATTTTTGTCTTAGGCAGGAATTCTTGGTAATATGCAAAATCTGTATGAGACTGTGAAGAAAGCTCAGATGGTCGTTCAAGTAGAAGCTGTTCGAGTGCAGAAGGAGCTAGCTGTGTATGTCCTCGCATTACCCTAACCATTTTTCATTACTAAACTTTTTAGTTTCTTCTTCTGTCTTTCTGAGTTTCATGCCTGCTTTTATCCTCTCATTTTTAATTCTCCAGTGCTGAATTTGATGGTTACTGTAAAGGCGAGCTTGTTAAGGTATTACAGACTCTGTTTTCTGTCCTAATTTACTAATAGATCAACTACACACTATGTCAGCTATTCCTCTCTTATCAAATCAAATCAATGAGTCTCTCGTTCATTATATGATGGAATGTGGATCTCTGCTGTCTGATTCCTTACATTAATGGATAATTACACAAGGATGCTAACTTTTAGTTTGTTCTTCGATCTCCTATGTGTTTAAGTGACCAAAAATTTTGAAATTGTATCAGGTGACATTATCAGGTAACCAGCAACCAATTCGCACTGATATCACTGATGCAGCAATGGAATTAGGTTCCGAAGTGAGTAACCTTCATTCACTTAAATTTTTGTTTCACTTGCTCCTACGTAGGAATGATCTCAGCTTCTCATGTTTCATGTTTTCCTTTGGCAGAAATTATCACTACTGGTCACGGAAGCATTCAAGGACGCACATGCAAAGAGTGTATTGGTAAAGACTTCACATACCATATTTTTACAATACAAATATAAGTAATCCATTCACTTTCATCTCTTGACTATATAGAACCTTTTGGATTTCACAGGCTATGAAAGAGAGAATGAGTGATCTTGCGCAGAGTTTAGGGATGCCACCGGGCCTTGATGGATTAAAGTAACAAAACTTGAATCTTTTTGTGATTTCACTCAACTTCCAGGTATGAGAAGTCCAGTTTTGGTTTTGTATATCAGGCACACAAAAAAAAAAAAGCTCTGTTCTGATAAATTAAAGAGAGATATTTGAACCTTTGTACTTCTTTGAATATCAACAATTACTCAAATGCTCTCAAATCGTTTTGTTGTTTCCAAATTTTGGAAATGAATCGAGCTTTTAACGGAAAAATAGGAAATAGAAGAAATCCGAGTTTACTCGGAATAGGTTCCTAATCTGGTTGCCAAATTGTGCCTCTGGGGACATTTTCTCTTACTCTATGTTTAGGTTACTGAAGTAACTAATAAGATTTTGGAAGCTCTTTTCCGGCCAAGAATGATCTAAAAAGAACAAGGGCACGCTTCGGTTCGAATAGTGGCACCTCGTGGCCCGCCCCTCTTACTGTTGCAAAGGTCAATCCCTGGTAAACCTCTGTCCATCCTCCCACCTATCACCACCGATAAACATCACCACCTTATATATAATACATATCCATGTGCATATATAAATGCAGTATGTGTATGTATATCAAACCTGGTTATCAGAGTACCAAGGATACCAACGAGTTTTCACCGGGAGATTGAGATGGCTCAGGGAAAACCGGGTGGCGGTCACTGGAACCACCGAATCTGTATCACCGCTGCATATGACAGTACAATCCACAAATTTGGTTAGTAGCCAAAATACCGAGTCTGAGTTTTGCTAGGTTCATTACAACTAGACCTTAGATGAATTGGCCCATTTTAAGCTAGACCCTGATTTATTAGTACATATCTGTTAGATTACATCCTGATGTGGCCCTATGGTATATATGTTGATCCACGGTTAAAACCAGGTTATAGGGGATCCGCTGATGTGACTATACCAAGCTGCATTGAACCATAGTTTACCTGAAAATCCAGATCCTCATACCAGACGCTGCAAGTTCCTTGTATATGGGCAACATTGTCTTGTCAGAATCTTTCCATTTCTTGATCAGAATATCACTGCACCAACCCAAACAAGAAACCATTTGCTTTCAGGATCAGTCTTTTGTGGCAAATCATCATTACACAGTCGTGGTTAAGTGGTGAAGCGAGCTGTTTACCTGCAAGCTGTCCATTTATAGCGAATTCCAGTGACATTAGCGTGCATAGCTCTCTGAACATCGCGACGGTTGAAATACTTCTCTGCGTAACTCTCAGTACAAGGATCGTACCCAGACACTAACCGTCTACGCAAGAGTGTGTTCTTCATCCGTACAAAGAAACCAGTATTGTTCTTCTTTTGTAATGCAGCCACGCACATTGGGGTGTAAATGCTGTACTGATCAATGTCACCAAACTCGTGGTTCATGGCATAGTTAACCGCGGTGTCGCAATCGTCGGAAACTTTCTCCACCGTGAAGTTGCAGTATTTGAGAATTGACTTGTAGGTTTTGTCGGAGATGATTGCGTGAGTCCACCAGTAGGTTACAGTTCCGATGCTGTCGTACTGATTGTCCGTAACCGCGTTTCCCACCTAGAGATAATAAAGGATGGTACTCATTTGCTAATTACGAAAGGGGACATATAGTTTTGATTAGAGCTAGGCTGACCCTATTTGTTCTTACCATGAATCCTTTGAGATTGATGATAGGTTTGGAGAAAGCTTTGTTGTAGTCATGGATCTTTTTGGCTAGCTGAGGAACATAATGCCCTGTCGACAATATATATTAACAAATATTAATCATTGAGTTGATTCTTAAAACTGCAAACTTAAACCCAATCATTTTGCTAAAGTTAACGTACCAGCGTAGCTTTCACCAGCGATGTAAAAGTCTCTGTATTTGTATTGGGGGAATTTCGATAACCATTTGATAAGAAATATCAAGTTGTCTTGAGCTGTGATTAGGAATATAATCAGAACCATGAATCAATTTTCTCAAGAGAACATAAAGTGTATATAAGCTCATGATGCGGTGAATAACTAGTTATATAAGAACCTGTTCGTTCATCGCCTGAATCATTAAGATCAGAGCTTGTGTTTGTGTAGGAATATCCAACTCCGGCCGGTGATTCCAAAAACAGAAGGTTTGCGTCTGTGTTATTTGTCCACGTTTAAGTTTAATCAAATCGATATCAGAACGTTATATTTTGTAAAACGTGTGATTATTTGGTTACCTCTGTTCCAAGCGAACTTGTTAAGGTAGAGATTAGAACCGGTTTTGTTGATACGGAACGGTCCAATCTCCTCTGAAGCTCCATAAGCAATCGACGAACATCCCGGTCCTGTTAATTACAATTTTCTTAATCAAATTTTGATCCAAACAATTAACATTGGAGTTTTTATTTGGTCCAATATGAATGTAACCCGAATTATGATGACATCTTTTGCACATGCCCCGACTTTCTCACTAGGAATGATTAAATTGAATAAAAATAGCTAAAGACCAAGATACAAAGAATATTTGATGATGTTTTTTTATATATATTTCTGGACCAGAAAAAGTGATTAATAGCAACAACAACAAAAAAAAAGTGTGAAAAATATCACGCGCGGGCGTGTGTGTGTATAACTAACTAGAATCATCATTTTTATCCATCAACTTGTGACATCCATGAATACGCATGCCTCCATTGATCTATAATAGTATACCACAATAACAATTTGGCCATTTTCTTATGTTTTTTCTTTTCCGATAAGCAACAAGGTCAACTTTCAAATACATACTCCAAAAGAATACTCAATTAATTAGAAAAAAGTAGTAAGCTTTTTGGTGATGTATTTGTATGTTTTGTTTTTGGATCCAACCCAATTATTAAAGGCAGCATAAAAGGTTATGTCACCTTTTTGTCATGCTTTGTTACAGAAGCTAATGAAGAGACAGAAGAACAAAGAACAAGTTGACACCATCAAAAGTGACCTGAGAACTCTCAGTATTTAATCATTTCACACAAGAAAATAAATCTGGATCATTTTAATAGCACCAAACAAAAAATAGAGACTAACCTTTCTCAGGCTAATCATGCTTTTTGAAAATATGATTCATAAGTATATATATCCATTATAAGTCTATTAGCCTAACCATAATAGTAATAAACAGAAGGCTGGGGCTTCGCGAGGTCCCATCACTCCCATGTATGAGTTACATTTAATGTCTGATGGCTACAATAGTATGTATGTTATTCCTAGTCGCCATGGATGTTTAGGTCCAAGACGACATATGATACTAAAAGCTTTTTGTGGCACTGGCATGGATGGATCAAGGCCAGGGGCATCACACATTGCCTTTATGGTGAGGCTAACTATATGATATATTCCAATGGGAGATAAGGGCATTTACTACAATGCGCTCAAGTACTAGTATTGGGTAGAAGTAGTAGATTGCACAGAGTACAAAATCCCAAGCTCGTGGAGGACTTATATATAGTAACTTAATGGTGTTGCATAGTAAAAGACAATTAATATAAAACTGCAAGAGTTTTTTTTTTTTTTTTTTAAAGGTGAGTGCATGTTCCATTAATGAGGAGCAGATGGGGTGGTTGATATGCTATTTTGGTTTGATATTGATTTGTTTTTATCCAAAATAACGATTTTTTACCAATACATAATTACATATGCACAAATTAGTAGTTGCTAATAGTTTATCTTATTGCATTGTTTAGGGACTAAGTTTTTGTTTGTTTCATCCCTCTCTCTCTCTCTCTTTGACCCTTTTAACTGTCTTCTTGTCCAAAAGAAATTGGACTGAACTTATCATATACTATTTAACATATGGGTCATTTGTTTGGTTTCGGCTATTTTTCTTTCAGCTTTAGAAAATGGTTAATCTACCTTGTCTTTTAGTTTAGTTTGGTTTTAGTTGTGGTATGATTGCAATTTATGTATAGATTAACTCATATAACTACTCATAGCCAGAAATAAACTAGAGACCTACACTCACAAAGAAGAAAACTGACCTCCATTGAGCCAAAGAAGAAGGGGTTTGGTGTGGGGAGAAAGAGAAGATGACTCAGTCAGCCAGTAGAAGAGAGCACGACCGTGAGACTCGTTAACATTGACATACCCTGAGTATTGCGAGAATGCGACTTTTGGCTGCCCTGGAAGTGCTTTGATTCTATCCTTCTCTTGCTCTCTTGAACTTGAAGAAGTAGATGATGAAAATGTAGTCGATACAAGAGCTACAAGAAGAAGGAAAATGATATGTGTTCTTGCCATTTCGTGTGCTCTCACACTTTCTCTAACCTTTTTTCTGCAATGGGTTTATTTTTTCTTGGTTTTTCTGTGTGTGTTAGCTCATAGAGTATGTGGAGATGTACGTTTGTATTTATGTATGTATATATATATGGGTGTGTGAATGTAGAGAGATGTATGGATTGATGGATGGGGTTTTGGAGGTTCTTATTTAATGTGTGTTTGCTGTGTTACTACATAATGTGCAGGTTGGCCAGCTGTGAGTGGACCTTTCTCATTCTCTCTCTATGGTAATGCGTATTTATTGGCATATATATGTATGTAATGTATGTTGAAGTATATTCACGAGCTTCTAATTTACACAGCCAATATAGCTAGCTAGGGACTATTCACGAGTTTGTCTACAACACCTCACATTTACTAATTTTGGATGAAAACTCAATGCCATATCATATATATATGTAGATGATTGAGCTTATACTATTTGTTTGTTGTATTTGCTTCTCTCACATAGAAATGGTGTCACCACAAATGCAATGAAAGTGAAAAGGTCACTATTTCGGCTCCGAAAACACACAAGAATTTCTGTAATGGGTTTGAATCAGTTTACAAATTAGTATAACAAAAAGTAAGTAATTATATTTTGTCAACTTATTAATCACGTAATACTCTAATCGCCTATTATATTAAACCATCTTTTATGCATAGTTTGCATTAACCACACTATTTACTCTACAAAGATTGTTCAGATTTATATTAACCACACACTATTTACTCTGCAAAGATTGTTCAGATTTATAAAGTGTTACAAAAAGATTTTGGTGTAATGTGTGCTACATTGCCAAACTTTGAAGGCAAATTTGGATCTTGAATCAGAAGGAGATGTGATTTTAGAATCGGAAGCAAATTAAAGCCATAGATGTAGCATATTCTATTGTCTTAATTATATCATCCTCTCGTACGTGCATGATAATGTTATGTTTCTTATAATATTAACATGGTAATGTGATTAGGCGTAATCGGTACGTAATCATTTCTATCCATAGTCACACATTTCTCTCAGTATTATTAACTTTTAGGTGATATTTTTGGAATCATTTGACTGTCTTGATATCTCCATAAATGCTGATTGGTGATCAACTAGGTGACATTAAGTCAAAAACTCTGTAGCACGTTTGTTCGTGAGTGACTGAATGATACATCAAACCAAAAGAAAAAACAAAACCAAATTAAATAAACTGCGTATATAAAAATTATATTGTAAGGACAAAGAAAAGATAGAAAGAAAGATGTACTTACCACAAGATAAACCAAAGAAACAAACAAACGAAAATGGGACACGATGTGGAATAATCATAATGACTTTTGTATTATGTTGTAAGAACGAAGAAGAAGACACTTCACCAGTTCACCGTTGTAAAACCTTCATAGCTTTTGTCATTTTCATAATTTTGAGAGTTTTCTTCGACTTTTGGTAAACACAAGTTGTCAAAGATCACTTGTCCACCCGACCAGTTAAACTTGATTATTAAAATAATCAAATCTTCTTAGAAACATATAAAAGTAGCAAAACGTATTTATGGTTCACCATCTACTACATTAACACTAGGAAGAGACTATTAATAACAGTACTACCATTGCAAAGACTTTCAAACAATCAAATCTTCTTAGAAACATATAAAAGTAGCAAAACGTATTTATGTTTCACCATCTACTATATTAACACTAGGAAGAGACTATTAGTAACAGTACTACCATTGCAAAGACTTTCAATTGCGTAGCGTCGTAAGAAATGATAGGTCCAAATCGGTGCCCAAAAAGCTGGTACACCATGTCGGATAGATATATATAAATATATTTTTCAGAAGCATGATAACACTTTTGGTATTTTTTTTTGCTTATGCTTGAGGATATTTGCATTCGATTGATGATATATATAACTTTAGATTGCCATTGTTTGCAAATGCTTTTTAAAAAGTGAAATTTTGATGTTAGTGAATTGAAGGTAAATCTAAAAAAGAATCAGATAAATTATTATGCAAAACGAATGTGAATATTTTTGCTTTAGTAACGGGAAAATTGTTTATATAATGTTATCAACTATTTAATATTTATGTATATATAATGTCTCTTTGTGATTTGGTCGGTTTCGAACGAATCCGTAATTTTTTTACATCGAGTTAAAAGAATATATATAATGAACGTTATAGAGGAAGATTATGTTAAAACATACTATAGCTTTATGGGGATCATAGTAGGTTTGTAGTCTTGTTTCTCTCTAAACGAGGTTCAAACTCGGAGACGATAACTTCTTTGATATGCATTTACAATTATCGATGAACATATAAGTTTGATAATGTTACAAGTCACACCGCATATGGGGATTGAGACCTCAATGTATTCCTAACAACAAGTAGACCTTTTAACCATCGAAGTCAAACACAATAACACAGAGAATTGGCGTAATGGTCGGCAGATCCGAAGGAATTGCGATCATAAATGGTTGAATTTTAATGCAACATGCACGATCTATTCGTTTGGGGATTTGATGCTTATTCATGTTAGAAAACACATTGGGTTTATACTTAATTTATAGCAACAGTGGATTTAAAGAAAGCATGTAATGTAATAGGCATGGCTTAAATAGGGTTATACATACTAGATCAAGATCATACGGGTAGATTGTGCAAGTAATTATATTGCAACTATATGGACCCAAGCAGCTTCGATGCTTAAGTTGCTACATCCTCATATATAAAGTAGTAACCCCATGCCAAGTTGATATGTATCCTCTGACTGATCCTCATGATACTGAGTAAATAAACTAATAACCATCGCCATGATTATATATTTATATTTGCATTTTGTCTCTATGCATCAACCCATTCTGACTATAGTATTTATACAAAAAAAAAAAGAAAAAAAAAATCAGAAGCTTATATTTCCCTTTTTTTTTTTTTAAGTCCAATGGTCGATATAAAATTACGGAAACATTCGTAGTTAGGTTTTGACAAAATATTAGTCGGATAAGGCCTATTGGGCTTTTAGAAGAATTGTTTTTACAGATAAGCTATACAAAGAGGAAACATTAAAACGCAGCGTTTGTTTAAGCTGCCGCGTTGGAATATCTATAGCGTGTCGTTGGTCAATGGGACATCAATAAATCATACTATTCACCGACCATGGCGCCACCACCACCAGCCACCAGCTTCCTCGAAACCACTTTCGTTTATTAATTTCTTTTTTTTTCACAACGTTTATTATTATTTCTTTTCAATTTTACATGCAATAAACTTCTATAAATTAATAAATTTTGCTGGTTTAAAATCTGACTGATGTACAATTAACAAAATTTGATTAAAAAATAAAATAATTTCTTTTTGATTTCCATATAAAATATAGTCATAATAGTATCATAAATTTTATATATAGTTGTAAATTTTTCTAAAACACTAAAGTAAAAATTAAAATAATTAAATTTTTTTGTAAACTTTTCAATTCATATTTTAAAAAACTTTTTAAAAATTAAAATAACACTATGAATTAATAATTTTTAAAATAATAAATAGTAATATATAAATAAATTTAATAAACTATAAATTATTAAAATACTATGATTCCAACATTATTAATTTACACAAATTTTATTGTATACCAAAAATTTAAATTGTTTTTTCTTTGTCATGCTATATTCAGATTTGCCTATTTTTTACACACAAATAAATAAATAAATAATATTTGAAAAGGAAACAAATCTCAAATAGAAATAGGAGAAATAAAATATCTACGGACCCTTGACCAATTATAATTTTATTTTCTTTTTAATTTGAGGAAGTATAAGATAATTTATTCCTAATCCTTATAGGAGATTCATAGAGAATCATAATTTTCACTCTTTTTTTGGTGTTTTTTTGTTTTTTTCCCCTCTCTCTCTCTCTATATATATATATATTATATAATCTATCTCGCCGGTGTAAAGTTTTAGTTTTTTTATTTCTTATTGTTCAATCGAGAAATTGTATCGAGAAACGACAGGAACCAAGAGGTCTGAATCCCTCTCCTCCTCCTTGAACTCTACGATTTATATCTTCTCCGTGTTATTGTTGTCGGCTTTTGAATTGTCGGATTGAAACTCAAGATCCGTGTTCTGTTTTGTTTCCTTTCTGCTTCAATACGATTTATGTCTTATTTGGTTGCTTTCTCTCTAGGATTTGTTATCTGCGTTTCCTGATCTGTCAAATTTGATTGCTTCGTTAGCTAATTCTGCCACGATTTCTCTCAATCTCTTATGCTCATAGGTGGATTTAGATTTTGATTGGACGAATTGTGTGTTGATTCAAGGGTTATCTTTAGGAATTGATTTTGAAAGATCTTATTTTTGAATTTCAGGGTTGCGAAATTGAAGATCGAAGATGTTAGAGCAGCTTTTGATCTTTACCCGAGGAGGATTAATCCTTTGGACATGCAAAGAGCTTGGCAATGCTTTGAAAGGTTCACCCATCGACACTTTGATCCGATCCTGTCTCCTTGAGGAACGATCTGGTGACGTTTCATTTAATCATGAGGCCTACACCCTCAAGTGGACGTTTCACAATGACCTTGGGCTTGTCTTCGTCGCTGTTTATCAGCGGATTCTCCACTTGCTTTATGTGGATGATTTGCTTTCTATGGTCAAGCAAAGCTTCTCTGAGATCTATGATCCTAAGCGGATGGCTTATGATGACTTCGATGAGACTTTTAGGCAGCTTAGGAAGGAAGCTGAAGCTCGGGCTGAGGAATTGAGGAAGACTAAGCAAGTGGGGAAGCCTGTGACCAGTGTTAAGAAGCAAGGGCAGGTCTTGAAAGCTGGGCTTGAAGGAGGGAACAAAAGGATTGGTGAAGCTGCTTCCAAGAAAGACGATGGAGATGGTAATAAAGCCAAAGTCAGTAACTTGACTAATGGTCATTCCAAGGAGAATCAGCAATTGGAAAATGATTCTCAGGAGACTGATCTTGCTAACGGGAAAGAAAACACGAGTTCTAATGTTGCTGTTGATTTAAGCAAACTTCAGAAACTAAGAAGTAAAGGAGTAAGAGGTAGAGGTGTAAGGAAAGCTGACAGTATAGGTAATAAGAGTTCCAAGCTTGCTGCTGCGGAACCAGCCAAAAAGGCGACAAAGAAAAACAGGGTTTGGGATGATGCGGCTCCCAAACAATCGAGACTGGACTTCACAGATTCAGTCGATGAAAATGGGAACAACGATCATGTCGATGTTGTGGCTGCTGACCAAGGAGAAAGTATGATGGACAAGGAAGAGGTTTTCAGCAGTGATAGTGAAAGTGATGATGATGAGGAACCAGGAAGTGATGAGAAGCCTGCTGAGGCAAAGAAAAAAGGATGGTTTTCTTCCGTTTTTCAGAGGTTAGCATTTCTCTTTTTGAATGTGTTGCTGAGTTATATATAATCCAATCTTATTAACATATGTATTGTGATTTGTGTTTAGTATTACTGGGAAGGCGAATCTTGAAAAGACAGACCTTGGACCGGCGTTGAAAGCATTGAAGGAACGTCTCATGACCAAGAATGTGGTATGTGTCTAAACAGTGCTTTTTTTGTTTGGTTGTTGGAATTCTTATGTGTCTTACTTGATATTGGGCATTTTATTTGCAGGCTGAAGAGATTGCTGAGAAGCTTTGTGAATCAGTGGAAGCTAGTCTTGAAGGAAAGAAGTTGTCATCGTTCACTAGGATCTCTTCAACTGTTCAGGTTTTGTGTTTTGTCCTTGTAGCTCTTAACTGAATCTAGGAAACATTTCACTCTGCAATTTGAAGATGGCTTAATTGTGGTGAAACATATGGTTGCAGGCAGCGATGGAGGATGCTCTGGTTCGTATATTGACTCCAAGACGTTCCATTGACATATTGAGAGATGTCAATGCTGCCAAAGAACAGAGGAGACCTTATGTGGTTGTGTTTGTTGGAGTCAATGGTGTTGGGAAATCCACCAATCTGGCCAAAGTGGCGTATTGGCTTCAGCAGCATAAGGTCAGTGTAATGATGGCTGCTTGTGACACATTCCGTGCTGGAGCTGTTGAGCAGTTAAGGACTCATGCTCGCAGGTTACAGGTAATTAATTATATTTATCTGTGTGTTTAATGCCCAAATAATTGTGTGATTAAAATGGTATTGCTAACTCTGGATTTCAATTGGTGGTGGAATTTTTGGCAACAGATACCGATATATGAAAAGGGCTATGCAAAGGATCCAGCAGCAGTTGCTAAAGAAGCCATAAAGGTAGCAACTGACAATGGATCCGATGTTGTTCTTGTTGACACAGCTGGTCGGATGCAGGATAATGAACCTTTGATGAGAGCACTCTCAAATCTCATTAACGGTAATCAGCCAGACTTGGTCTTGTTTGTTGGTGAAGCCCTTGTTGGAAACGATGCAGTAGACCAGCTCTCAAAGTTTAATCAGGTTTGGTTTCTTACCCGCATTAGACTCCTGTTAGGTGTTTCATTGAGCCTTATTGACGATGCTTTTTTTCTTAAATTTCAGAAACTTTCGGATCTCTCCACTTCTGGGAATCCAAGACTGATAGATGGAATCTTACTGACGAAGTTCGATACCATTGATGACAAGGTACAGTGAAAAAAGATTGATACATGTATTTTGTGTTTGGTTGTATCATATAAAAATAAAAGTAAACAGGGGTGTTTTGGGATTTGATGTGTAGGTTGGAGCAGCTTTATCGATGGTTTACATATCAGGATCACCGGTTATGTTCGTGGGTTGTGGCCAGTCTTACACTGACCTGAAGAAGCTTAATGTCAAAGCCATAGTGAAGACACTTCTCAAGTGATCTCCTCTTCATCATCATCATCACCACCATCATTCACTATCATTATCATCATTACCATAATGAATCAATGTCTTAATCCATCATACTGTTGTTTTTTGGTTTTTGATTTGAAAACGGTTTCTCTTTGGATATGAATGTTGTTGTCTTTCTTAAAACACTCGCAAGACTTTATTTTCGTTGGAGTCGCAAAAATTCCCATCCCATGACTTTTTTATATGAACTATGTTGCAACTTTTGTTTTGAACTCAAAAGACTAATAATCATGTCAAATCGTGCATCTTGTTTCTAATTCTCTCTGAGAAATTGAATCTAACACTAATAAATGAAAGAAGACGTTTAATTTTCTCTTGTTTGGTGTCTTTCAAAATATAACTCTCAAACAAGATTATTAAAGTTATTGCTTTTAGCAAAAGAAAAATGTAACTGGTACTCGTTGGTACGTTATGACACATAGAAACAAAACAAAAAAAAAAACACTTGCGTTTGCGTATTTAAAATGAAACGTATGTTAGTGGGTAAATCTTGCCATCTTAATTACCAACTTTTATTACGGACCAGCTGAAATAGCCATTAAAAATGTTTTGTTCTCCAGTTCCACCACAACGGCTCGTGACCCATCAAATCATATATCCCGAACATTTTTCATACCTAGGCGTGTGCATCGTTTTTGCTTGACATAAATAAATTACTCTAGTAACATAGGTGAGAGGGAAACGTACGCTTTTAAGATTATGTAAATTAGATTCGACACAATTTCAAATTTTATAAATTCGTCAATAAATCTAATTTCATAATGAAGTTTTACTTTTGTTTCTTTTAGAAAAATTAAAGAAAAGAAAACCTATAACAGAAACACTTGTAATAAATCTACTAAATTAATCTACTAAAAAAAAAAAATCTACTAAATTAATAAACTACCAAAAAAAAGTTAGAATATCTTATAACAATCTATGTATAGTTCTGTGATAAATTTATTTAGATTTAAACAATTATATTTTTTCTTAACAAAATCTATATTTGGTCTAGACAACTCATCGAAATTTATTACGAAGTCAAACAAAATATTTGTTCTCGTTTCTAAATTCATTAAAGTATCTTCTGGAACATTTTGTTTTGTAATAAAAATAAAATAAAAAGTGAGTGAAAACGGACATTCATTTATTTAGCAAATCAGAGAGAGATTACTACACACTAGCTATGATACTCGGTTCGGATATGCCAAACCTAGCTCCAAACCACACATATGAAGGCTATATAAACAGCATCCACCATCTCCTATTCTCTTCACCTATTAGTGAAAAACAAGATACAAAACGAGTGACAAACTCAAACCAAACAAAAGAAGGAGATTTTTGCAGTTTGTAGTAAGCCAAAAAAGAAAACAAAACAATGGGAATCATAGTTCCAGTTCTGACCCTTGTTTTCCTCTTGTTTGCTAAAGTGAGCCATGGTGCAACCAACCCGAGGGTGATTCTGGTCGGCGGATCCGTGGGATCGTGGAAGGTTCCTGATTCTCCCAACAACACTCTCAACCACTGGGCTGAGAACAATCGTTTCAAAGTTGGCGACTTCCTCGGTACGTACTATCCACATATTCCTCTCTAGCTCTTTTAATTCATTTATATTTCCGATAATACTTATATACTTACATGTATGCTTTGATTCTTATGTGATCCCAATGCTTTCATCACACAAAGCTTATCATACCAATTACCAAATCGTGGATTATATTACCTAATCATGCAAGATTATTGTCAAAAACTGAAACAAATGTTCATAAACAAAAGTTTTTATATTTATTTGTTTTCGTTTCATATTGTTTATTATATATTATAGGGTTTTAATTAACGTTTAACATATATATATATATATATATATATATATATATATAAATTTGTGCATGTGGACATAGTGTGGAAGTACGACATGAAGGTAGATTCAGTACTACAAGTGACGAAAGAAGATTACGATAGCTGTAACACAGCAAAGCCCTTGAAGCAATACAATGATGGAGTCACAAAGGTTGAGCTTGACAAATCTGGCCCTTACTTCTTCATCAGTGGTGCTCCTGGCAACTGCGCAAAAGGCGAAAAGATTACTCTTGTTGTTTTGTCTGAACGCAAATCCGGTGGTGGTGGCGCTGGCGCTCCGAAGGCTTCTCCTGCTAGTCCTACGGCTCAAACTCCAGTCTCAGCCCCTGCCCCAGCCCATAACGCTGCTTATGGATTGAAGGTTGGCAACGGTTGGTTCTTGATCACCGCAGTTGTGATTGGTTTGGCTATGGCATAATTAGAGGATTCGCTCGAGAGAGAATGAGGTTTTTTAATTACTGAGTTCTTCCAACTTTTAGCAAAATTTAGTTTAATTTTTCAAGATTTTTGATTCCTTAGTTTTCATCATCATAAAAAGATCTCTCTTTCTGGTTTGCGTTTAAGTGTTTGGGATATTCAGTTATTCACTATCAAAAACTTTTTTGTTCTTGCGATTCTGTATTTTCAATTCTTTAATTTCCATATATAAACATATCGTCAGTCAATAAATACGAGATTTGTTGACTCGATAATTAATACAAAGAGATTTTGACCACACAATATATATTAATGATTTAATGGGGTTAGGATACATTTTAGAAAGTACTAGTATATTCTATGTACCAAATTAAATGGCGTTGTGAAATGTGGTAATTAAAGCAAAGCTAATCTTGTCTCTCGAAAGGAAAAGAGAATACCTCTCAATCTCATGCTACGACGTTATTCAAATTACATTTTGATTTTTGAGATTAGTTTGTCTATGATTTTGTTGCTAATTAACGCCAATGCCGTTATGGTAATAAATTATCTCTACTTATTTTTATTTTTTTTAATGATTTCAAAACTGATATGAGAACATTGAGAAGGAACGCATACGTATATTAATATATATATATATATATATATATCTCTTTGACTTGAACTAACTTGTCATCTAAAAGCCGTACAATATTAAATTCTTGACACATACGTAAAAGTAGTAAATATAATACGAGAGTTTTGTTCAGAAATTAAAATTTTGGTTGATAAAGATTTTCATAAATCTCTACGGTTAAATTCATTAAAATTTAATTTATGAAACAATATTAATACAATAAAATGTCACAAAAAAAAAAAGTTAACATGCCAATGCTAAGGTTGATGATGAGTGTTTTTTGTCTGCTTTAATCCAAAATTATCAAGAATTCACACTTTATGGGCCATTGTTCTATAACTTAAAAAGGCCTCGTTAATTTTATACTAAGGCCTGCACGTTCGAAAACGGCATGCAGTGTTATATCACAAACGGTAAAAGTGCAATCCGCCGCATTTCAGAGAAATACGACAGACAGTTGATGTTTAGAAATTGAAAACAGTAGAGCAACGAAACCTCTGAGATAAGCCCGAAGAGATGATGATGACACGGATTACATGAGCAAATCTCACGCATGTTTTTGCTCGAGATTCCGCCATGGATGTCGCTTCTGCTCGGAGCATCTCTTCACACCCTCCATGTATGCTTCTTCTTCAATTTTCAGCTTATCTCTGGACACTGTAACTTCTGTTTCTTCTGTATAACTTGTTTTTCTTAATCATGTTCTCAGTTTATGGAAACCCGATTTGTTCATCACAGTCATCCTTGATTCGGGTAACGTTTTCGTCTTCTTTTTTTTGGGTTCTTTACTGTTTTTGTATTTGATTCGTATTTAGTTTCTGAGAAGATGATGTAAAGTGAAAAGTATAATTTGAAAAGGAAGCTTAATTGTTAACTTGGTGATGTTTTTGAAGTCAACTACCAAGTTTGTTCTCTTCATTTTTAAATCTGAACATTAAATTGAAATAACTCTGCTTTTGGATAAGTTGGATTTAGCTGAACAATGAACATTAAGATATCTTCAAAGTGTTCTTAGTTCTGTGAAATTGTTTTGGAGATGCAGATTTCGAGGGATAAAGTATGTTGCTTTGGTCGTATTTCGAATGGTATGGTGAGCTTTAGTACTTCCCCTCATGGTAAGGCAACCAAAATGATTATTATATATCTGCTGCACTCTCTTCAGTTTGGAAACTATAGTTTTTATTCTTGATGTGGTTCTCTTACTGATATCAATTCAATCACTCTTTGTTATATATGAACACTTGTGGATTCTATATACTACTTACTCATTTTGGTTTTGAGTCACTTATTCAACTATTTATTTTGACGTGAGATGGATCTCTTAAATCATTACTTGCTTTCCTTTCCGTGTTTCTTCTTTAGCTGTTCCGGGTGGAAAATCATTGGGCCAAGCAAGGGGTAAAGGCGTGCAATGGTGTACCCGCTCTTTAAGATGGGGTCCTTACAGGTTTCATGATAAGAAATCACATTCATCAAGTGAATTGGCAAGAACTATCACTGTGAGATCAGATCTTTTACTTTCAGGAGCTGCAACCCCTGAATCTTCTTATCCGGAACCAGGTTTTTTTTTTGGCTAAACCTTTGTGAACATGTTTTTGTCTGTTTTGCTGGATTACAACTTTGTTTCTATCTCTATACACAATTCTTCTTTTTCTTTCAACTTTGAAGTGCAGAGATTAAGTTGAGCTCAAGACTGAGAGGGATATGCTTTTGTGTTGTTGCTGGCATTTCTGCCATTTTTCTCATTGTCCTGATGATAGTTGGTCACCCGTTTGTCCTTCTATTCGATCGCTATAGGAGAAAATTCCATCACTTCATCGCTAAAATCTGGGCTTCCATAAGCGTTTATCCGTTTTACAAAATCAACATCGAGGGTTTGGAGAATCTGCCATCATCAGATACTGCTGCTGTATATGTTTCAAACCACCAAAGTTTTCTGGATATCTACACACTTCTCAGTCTTGGAAAAAGCTTTAAGTTCATCAGCAAAACAGGGATATTCGTAATTCCCATTATCGGTTGGGCCATGTCCATGATGGGTGTTGTTCCCTTGAAGCGGATGGATACAAGAAGCCAATTGGTACGTTACTCTTTGTTTCTCCCACAATTTTCAAGTGTTTGTTTTTAAGCAGATGGACTCTTTAACTCTTGTGCAATTTATAGGATTGCTTAAAACGTTGCATGGAACTCCTAAAGAAGGGAGCATCAGTATTTTTCTTCCCAGAAGGAACACGGAGTAAGGATGGTCGGTTAGGTCCTTTCAAGGTAAACGCAATCTCAAGACTCTTTATCAGATTTTGGTATGTGTGTTAGCTAGCACATCATAGTAACATAAAGAGAGGCTTGTGATATTACAGAAAGGCGCATTTACAGTGGCTGCAAAGACAGGAGTTCCAGTAGTACCAATAACGCTAATGGGAACAGGCAAAATCATGCCAACAGGTAGTGAAGGAATACTGAACCATGGGAGTGTCAGAGTGATCATCCATAAGCCAATACATGGAAGCAAAGCGGATGTTCTTTGCAACGAGGCCAGAAGCAAGATTGCAGAATCTATGGATCTCTTAAGCTGAGGAAGAATGAGAAGCTATAAATTTTACATGTGGAAAAGAAGATAAATATGTTGAGATTTTGTTTACTCAAAATTCTGATTCCCCCTTAATGATAACTAAATTAAATGAAAAATGTCATTTTTTGGTTGAAGTTTTATTCAGATTTTGGTATAATATTTAAAAATTCCAGATTTTGTTTCTAGTTTACTCCGGTTTATAATTATATTGAAGTATCTCTCGTGGGGAGGTTAGGCTTGAATATACGTATCAGTTGCTTGGCCGCATTGTAACGTCTCACAGGAAGGAAACAGGGTGATTCCAATTAAAATCCTCGAAGACAGTTTCCTTCCAGATTCCAAAATTTCCATGTGAGTTTCTCATTTGGATCTCTTCGTAGAACGCTTTGTGTGTACGTGTGTTGACTGTTGAGAGAGTTTGAAGTAATGTACTAAAATAGTTTGTGTAGAATGATCATTTGATGAGTATGTATGTGTAGAATGAAGGCTCTTATTCTCGTTGGAGGATTCGGAACCAGATTGAGGCCACTTACCTTCAGCATGCCTAAACCACTTGTTGACTTTGGGAACAAACCCATGATTTTGCATCAGGTAGGTAGTAGCTTCTTTTTTTTGTGTGTATCTGCTTCCTCGGTCCTGCCAGCTCAAGTTTTCGCAGTTTCATTCCTCATTATGATGCATTCGCAGATTGAAGCTCTAAAAGCTGCTGGAGTGAGTGAAGTTGTATTAGCTATCAATCAGCAACAGCCAGAGGTAACGTACAATATTCGCCCTTAATTGATTATCCCGTGTACGGTGTAACTATTCATACTCATTGCGTTTTGTTATTTTTTTCTCAGCTCATGTTGAATTTTGTGAAAGAGTATGAGAAGAAGCTAGAGATTAAGATTACATTTTCCCAAGAAACTGAACCGCTTGGGACTGCAGGGCCTCTCGCTCTGGCTCGGGATAAGCTCCTCGATGAGTCAGGCCAACCCTTTTTTGTACTAAACAGCGATGTTATCTGCGAATACCCGTTGCTCGAGATGATCGAATTTCACAAGACTAACTGCGCTGAAGCTTCAATTATGGTGACCAAGGTAATGAAAATAAGAGCATTTTCTGAAGCTGAATCATTAATTTGTTAATAACATTTTTGACTATTAACAGGTTGATGATCCTTCTAAGTATGGTGTGGTGGTTACAGAGGAAGCTACATCAAGAGTTGAAAGTTTTGTAGAGAAACCGAATCATTTTGTTGGGAACAAGATTAACGCTGGGATATACCTCCTGAACCCATCTGTTCTCGAGAGGATAGAGCTGAGACGAACTTCGATAGAAAAAGAGATATTCCCTAAGATAGCCTCAGAGAAGAAGCTTTACGCGATGGTGCTACCTGGTTTTTGGATGGACATTGGCCAGCCGAAAGATTACATAACCGGGCAAAGAATGTACCTTAATTCCTTAAGAGAGAAATCTTCGCAGGAACTGGTCACAGGGGACGACAACATAATCGGGAATGTTGTCGTGGATGAGAGCGCGGCTATAGGAGAAGGCTGCTTGATAGGACCAGATGTGGTGATTGGTCCTGGATGCGTGATTGATTCAGGTGTAAGATTGTTTGGTTGTACTGTAATGCGCGGTGTTCGGATCAAAGAACATGCGTGCATCTCTAATAGTATAGTGGGGTGGGATTCAACCGTTGGTAAGTGGGCTCGGGTTGTTAACGTAACAGTTCTTGGCAATGATGTTCATGTCGCCGATGCAGAGGTTTACAACAGCGGTGCTGTTATCGAAGAGCAAGGTCTGTGAAATTGGAGACGAGCTCTAGTAGATTCTTACAATATAAAACATTGATTTGATTAGTAGGAATACTCAAAAACAATATTAATATTTAGGGATCCATCCTTAAAGCAAAGTTTAATTATACAGGTTTTTGATATTTGTCGTTCATAAAAAATTAAGAGACATTCTTATAAGAGAGAGAGAAAAATGTCAGAGTTAATAATTGATAAGGGGATGTGCGCCTTTGTTTTATTATCACCAAACTGAGATTTTATTAATTAAAGATAAGACTATAGTTTTTGGTGTAATTTAGATTATAAGAGTGAGAGACGTGACGGCAGAAAGGGTGGGTGGACCCGACCCGGACGGCACGGAGACACTTTCAGTTTTCTTTCTTCTCCAAAACAATATATTTCTTTTCTTTTCAATGTCTGTATGAAACGACTTCGTCTCCTCCCACCATTTCTCACTTTCTTCTTCTTCTTCTTCTACACCCATCTCGTCTCCGGCTGATTCGACTTGTAACTTCTTTCTACCGTCTTTCTCATTCTTGTTCTTCAACGGTATGTCCTTACATTCCCTTTCAATTTTCTTTGCCTATCATTGTGTTGTGGAATGATCTTCATTTTGTACTTCTCAATTGCTGTATAATGGTTGACATTTTTTTCTCTCTTTTGAGATTCTGCCGTTTTGATGCTGGAACTGTCTCCTTTGAAGTATTTATTAGTTCTTCTTTTTTTCTTTAGTAGCCTTTTTGTGTATGTTTTTGATTTAAGGGATAAAAGGTGTTTCCTTTTCAAGTTTTGAATTCCCCACAGGTCAACGACTATGGATGGAATGTTCTTAAACCCATTAACGGAATTTGATTTTTGAGAAACAAAGATCGCATTTTTTTTGGTGCTTCAGTTCTGTCGGTTTTTATATTGATTTTTTTTTTGGAGTTTGGTTGCTTGAAATGATTTTGATCATAATTTTGTTTATTACATTTTCTTATGTGTGGAGAAACAGGTTTGGGATTCATGAGTTTGAGTCACAAGGATAAAGCATGATAAAAAAAGCAGTGAAATCACAAGTTATCAGTGGCCAACTCGAGAAGTTTGTAAGGTAAAACTCTATGTATTTGAATGATTCTCATTATTGTGTCTAGTTGATCAAAGTCTTGTTCTGGCCCGAGATAAACATCTCTACCATGTTGCTAACATTTTAGCAAAAAAAAAGTCCATTCCTTTGACTTCAGGTTTGAAAATAAAAGGATATCTTTAGTTTATTTTGTTTTTCACAGGTTGGATAGTATGGATTCTAGGTACTCCCAGACCTCTGATTCAGGTCTAAACAGATGCACACTCAATTTACAAGGACCAACACGTGGTTCTGCTCAGGGCCACAATGCATCTTCTGGTTCCTTTAAGAAAGGTTTTAGGAGAGGGTCTAAAGGTCTTTGGTCTCTAGGAAGATCAATTGGTTTGGGGGTTTCACGAGCTGTTTTTCCAGAAGATCTCAAAGTGTCTGAGAAGAAGATATTTGATCCTCAGGACAAGTTTCTTTTGCTCTGCAACAAGCTGTTTGTTACTTCCTGCATTCTCGCTGTGTCTGTGGATCCTCTCTTCTTGTATCTTCCATTCGTTAAGGATAATGAGAAATGTATCGGCATAGACCGGAGATTAGCTGTCATAGCAACGACGCTGCGGACAGTAACCGATGCGTTTTATCTTTTTCACATGGCTCTTCGGTTTAGAACTGCTTTTGTTGCCCCTTCTTCCCGTGTTTTTGGCCGAGGCGAACTTGTGATTGACCCTGCACAGATAGCTAAGCGGTATTTGCAGCAGTATTTCATCATTGATTTTCTCTCTGTGCTTCCACTTCCACAGGTAATAACACAAATGCTCTCCAGTCTTCTCTTCTTTTATCATTGTTTTTTTTGCTTTCAAACGTTGATGGCTACAATATGTTATTTATTTGAGTTTTTACAGATTGTAGTTTGGCGATTTCTTCACATTTCTAAAGGTCCAAGTGTGCTGGCAACAAAGAGGGCTCTGCGATCTATCATTTTAGTTCAATATATTCCGAGGTTCATTCGGTTGTATCCTTTGAGCTCAGAGTTAAAGAGAACAGCAGGTGTTTTTGCTGAAACTGCTTGGGCTGGTGCTGCGTATTACTTGCTACTCTACATGCTCGCAAGTCATGTCAGTACTTACTATTTTTGGTACCTTCTCCTCTGATATCATCCAAAAATCCATCCATAACTCTCTTGTTTTTCACTTATATTTTATCAGATTGTTGGGGCAATATGGTATTTATTAGCCTTAGAACGCTATAATGGATGCTGGAGCAGGGCTTGCGGTATTAGCCAGAACAACTGTACCAGAAACTTCCTGTTTTGTGGTAATGAAGATATGCCTGGTTATGCAGCTTGGAGTACCATCAAAGATTCTGTTCTTCAAATAAATTGTCCAGTTAATACAACTGATGGTGATAATCCTCCTTTTGATTTTGGAATATACTTAAGAGCCCTGTCCTCTGGCATTGTCTCATCTAAGAGCTTTGTCTCTAAGTACTTCTTCTGTTTATGGTGGGGACTTAAGAATCTCAGGTATGTAATGCTAAAAGCATTCGTCTTTTCTAAAAGTGTCATGTCATTGTAATAACAACTCTCTGTTGCATCATTAACCTCATTGATGTCAAATGCAGCACTCTTGGTCAAGGGCTTGAAACCAGTACATACCCTGGAGAGGTTATTTTCTCCATAACACTTGCCATTGCTGGACTTCTTCTCTTTGCTCTTCTCATCGGAAACATGCAGACTTATCTTCAATCCCTTACAATCCGACTTGAAGAAATGAGAGTGAAAAGACGTGATTCAGAACAGTGGATGCACCATCGAATGCTTCCACCGGAATTGCGTGAACGGGTCAGACGATATGACCAGTACAAATGGTTGGAAACACGCGGAGTTGATGAAGAAAATTTGGTTCAGAACCTCCCAAAGGACCTGAGAAGAGATATCAAACGCCATCTCTGTCTGGCTTTGGTTCGGAGGGTAAGTTGAATCTTATTTTAAAGGCCTTTTTCTAATCTTGATTTATAACTAAAATCATCTTGTTTTTTTTTTTTTAATGGAAAGGTTCCTCTGTTTGAGAATATGGATGAGAGGCTACTGGATGCAATCTGTGAGCGGTTGAAGCCATGTCTGTACACGGAGAAGTCTTATTTGGTTCGGGAAGGAGACCCAGTCAACGAGATGCTCTTCATTATCCGTGGTCGGCTTGAGAGTGTGACTACCGATGGTGGGAGAAGCGGCTTCTTCAACCGCAGTTTGCTTAAAGAAGGAGATTTCTGTGGGGAAGAGCTTTTGACATGGGCACTTGATCCCAAATCCGGTTCCAACCTACCGTCATCTACCAGAACCGCAAAGGCACTAACTGAAGTAGAAGCTTTCGCTTTGATAGCTGATGAGCTCAAATTTGTGGCTAGCCAGTTTAGGAGACTACACAGCAGGCAAGTTCAGCACACATTTAGATTTTACTCACAACAATGGAGGACTTGGGCTGCTATTTTCATACAAGCCGCATGGCGACGATACGTAAAGAAGAAGAAACTTGAGCAACTCAGGAAAGAAGAAGAAGAAGAAGAAGGAGAAGGATCGGTTACTAGCATCAGGGCTACGTTCCTGGCGTCAAAGTTTGCTGCAAATGCACTTCGTAAAGTCCACAAGAACCGTATTGAAGCAAAGGCTACTAAAGAACTTGTGAAATATCAGAAGCCTTCAGAGCCTGATTTCTCCGCTGATGATCCTTGTTGACCAAATTGACAAAACGTCCTAATGTCTATTAACGCTTATAAGTTATAACCTGTATAACTCAGATTGAATTTTATTGTTTGATTTGTGCTGCAACATTAAGATAAAGAAGAAGGTGCTAATATAAATGGTTGTTTGTGAATGTGATTGTTTAATGCGTTTCTTTCTGTTTGATGAAGAGAAAATACAAATGATATGGCAGAATAATCAAAGATATGACATAGTTTGGTAGCAAACTAAACTTGCTCAGATCAACCTTTAAGAAAGGTTTTGCAGAGCTTCTGCCATTGATTCCTATCTGGTTGTGCAGTATCCATCGTACTCTTTGCCTTATCCGCAAACTCTTGCTGAAAAAGCAAACAAACAGAAAGATGGATCACATTGCAATACTGATAAGTTTGATAAAGTTAACAACATTGAGGACATAGACACATCCCAAATGTTAATCTAGCACACAATAGAGATAATCATAGAGAAGAAGAACAAACCTCCACAAGCTTCATATTAAGGACACGGTCAACGATCTCAAACAGAATCTCTTTGTTATACTCGGGATGACCTTGGATGCAGAGCAAGTGGTCTCCAATTGAAAACATCTCGACCTGGCATATCTCAGAAGAGGCAAGAACTGTAGCAGACTCAGGGAGCTCCAACACTTCGTCCTGATGACATTTTATAATGGCTAAAGATGCTGGGACCTCATCCCCAAAGTAACTGCGTAGCTTTTCGTTGTCTTTGGCTATGCTTATGCTTCTAAGTCCCATGTCTGCGCCTTTACGAGCCCTTCCTATTTTCCCACCTTTGACTCTAGTAATTATCTGTCCACAACAACAGAAAGAGATTCATAACAAAGAATCATTTATCTAGAAACACTCTCTGAATCAACAAAACCACGAATTCAAATTGTAGCACACAACAACAGTAGTTGAAGAATAATTTCTTTATGCCAATGTTGAAGAAGATAATTTACAATTTTCAGCAATCTAAGCATTTGACTCTAATTCCACTATTTTGACCCACAAATGAAAGCTAAATCTGATTCAATATGCTAAATATAACGTAAGAAGACTACGATCAGCTTATCACGTCCAAAAATGTAAACCATAAACACACACATTCTTCTAAAACCCTAAAAATCCAACCGATCAGATCCAAAATCAGGAACAGTGAAAACACAAGAAACCCAAAAAAAAAAAAAAAAAAAATCGAAAAAAGAAACCTGGTGGCCGAAACAGATGCCGAGAATCTTCTTCTTCATCTCATCAAGCTTCTGACAAACCTCGCAAAGCTTAATAATCCAATCGGCGTCTGCGAAAGCATCGTGTGGACTACCACTGATAACGAAACCATCGTACTTGTCTAAATCCTTCTCATCGGGAAAGTCTCCATCGATGACTCGGAACAGATCCCATTGCTCACCTTCCTCGCCGAAAGTAGAAACGAAGACATTGAAGTAACCACCGTAAGTCTTCTTCACGAACTCGGAGTCGCTCGTCGAGAGAAACAGAGCAAACCTCTTCTTCTTCTGCTCCACCATCACCATCTTTCTGCTCCTTCTTCTTCAGAGATCAACGGATGATGGAGGAGACGAGAGATTTGGGGGAAACGGGAAATGTTAGAGACGAGGCGACAGAGAACACGATCATACACGCCAGGTGAGATTTTTTTGGGTTTTTTTTTTTTGGGTTAAATAAGGAAAAAACATAAAGTCAAAATAACGGTGAATAGAGAAAACATGAGGTTGTAATAGCTGTCTGTATAACATAAAGATAAACAACTCCACCTCATTATCTAATTCTAGTATCACACATTTGGTCATCAGGAATTCAGGATTATGCATTAATCAATGACATTAGTGTTTGTTAGGGTATCATTCATTTTTTTTTTGTTACAAAAATAATTTTTCTTTATTTGTAGTTTTGTACTTTTCCCACTAATTATTGATGCTTAGATTTTTTTTTTTTTTTCTCTCTTTATAAGTGCGTGTTGCCAAAAACAAACAAAAGAATCGTAATCACGGCCACTTTTTTCCTTCTAGTTTGGGATAAAGCTGACCACATAAATATTGTGGCATTGCATTACTTCATTATATTATTATCGTTGAAATATCTATCCAACAAGTTGATTTATTATTTTCCAAAACACTCCGATTTGCTTAATAATTAACCACTTTTTTTTTTCTTATACGTAATTTATTCAAAGTATAGATATATGTTACATTATGTGATCACCACATGTGATCACCATACCATATAATGGAATTAGACCATATAATGTAGAGTATTTTTAAACCAAGTGGCTTCGTCCTTTCAGGAAATTCTTGCAAAGAATGTGCAAACGCCTCGTGTCTGGTTCGATCTTTTCTATCGTACGCTTAGCTTTCTCCAAATATTCCTCCTACCAATTTTTAGTTATACATATGTTAATACAATATATATGATCCGATCCTAAAGGATTAAAACCAATTGAAGGTAACATTTTAGCTAGACGAACCTCGATATATTTGATCTTGTGGACACGATCAATGATCTCCAAGAGAATCTCCTTGTTGTACTCAGGATGGCCTTGAACGCAAAGCAAGTGATCTTCCACAGAGAATATCTCGACGTTACACTTGTCCGAGTATCCAATGACTTTGGCCGACTCGGGAGGCTCAAGTACTTCGTCCCGGTGACATTCTATGATCAACAAAGACTCGGGAACTTCTTCACCAAAGTAACCACCAGGTTCCATCATATCTTGAACGATGTTTATCTTACGAAGCCCCATGTCTGGTCCTCTTAGAGCCCTTCCCACTTTTCCACCTCTCACTCTACATATTATCTAAATCCCAAGCAAATGAAAACGTAAGATATATAAGTTTAGAGGGTTGTTTATAACTATGCCTAGATGAAACTAATTCAAGCAGCCTTTAACCAAAAAAAAAAAACTAATTCAAGCAGCCACCATAATCGTTTTTCTTTATCCAAATATCTTTTGTTATACATATCATTTAATTCTCTCAGAAAAATCATTTTTTCTTTCTGGATATAAGCTATAATAAAATAAAAAATATATTTTATTATATAGTTTGACTCTTCCCAGTTTTTTTTTTGTTTTGTAGTTAATCTTTTCCAGTTTCACAGTAGATAGAGGATGTTATATAACATTTTCACTTTTTAAAATATGATTCCCCACTAGAACTTTGACAAAAAAATTAACTAATAATAAAATATAAAATAAAACCGTGCACTAGAATTTCAACATTTTAAATTAACTACTTTGGATAATTAAAAACTAGATTCATCTAGTCTGGCACTAGTCTACAACATATACTATAGAATTAAGTAGCAAGTTAGGCAAACCAGCAGTATTCATGTACATTCTTCATATTTTGAGCAGGAGAGTTTAAAGATATGTGATACTTAGGCAGTGTTTTAAAGAATAGAAGAAATGACAATATTCGAGATGATAATGATAATAATATCAAACCTGGTGGCCAAAGCAAATGCCAAGAATTTTCTTCTTCATCGCATCAATTTTTTTGCAAACAGAGCAAAGCTCGATGATCCAATCCTCTTGTGCGAAAGCGTCATGTAAACTCCCGCTAAGGACGAATCCGTCGTACTTGTCAAGATCGTCGTCGCGGGGAAACTCGCCATCGATCACACGGAAAAGATCCCATTGCTCTCCTTCGTCTCCGAAAGCCGACACGAATACGTTGAAGTAGCCTCCGTACATCTCCTTCACGAACTTGGAATCTGGCGTGGCCTGAAACAGAGCGTATCGTCTTACCTGCTTCACCATTTTGAAGAGAGAAAGGAAGAGTGAGAGAGAGAGAGAGAAAGAGAGAGTGATAAAGATGTTATTGATGATCGATGAGAGGATTGAGACATGTGTAGTTACGTTGGGGCATTTTTATAGGAGACTAAAGAGTAAGGAGGTATACACTTTCGGTTTGGTCCACAAGAACCGGTTTTTGGTTTGGTCTATTGACCAAAATCAGTTCTGAATTTTTGGATTCGAAATGTTGTAAGCGTATGCTTCCAATGATGGAAGTGAGATGCATTTTTTTTTTTTTATATTGAGCCATATACATAAAGAGGGAAACTGGTATAACAATACTTAACCGGTAAACCCTAATTTGAGCCATATACAATTTAGTATTGTTATACCAGTAGTATGTGATTGATTTGTTCGTTTTCATCTCAATTCCTCACGTGTTTCTCGCGTATTTTGGCATTGATTCTATATATGTGATAATGTGAATCATAAATCATAACCCTATCATTGATGATAGCGTCACATCCTCACACATATCACGACTAGATTGGGAAGGCATATATTATATATAGTAGGTGTTGAGTGTTGCATGGTAGATTTATTATACTAAAAGAATGTATATATACTTTTTTATGTGAATGAAAAGCTTAAATCTCACCTAATATAAGAAATATATATCTCATGCATTGCTTTAGTTTCTTTAATTTTTCTTTCTCTCTTCTTCTATTCGTGCGTGGATCGTTGTTTGAGCTTTCGGCAATTGAAAGAACAAGACTACGAAAAATCACGTGTAAAAGAAATAATGGATCACCGACTATAATATAAAAACCAAAATGAAGGGGAAGAGCGGGTCGGGGCACTGGGGCATAGTAAATAATGACTTGTGGTCCTCAGAACAGTGTTTTGGTCCTTAAAGATTTTTGGATTCACACAACCACACTCAGCTTTATCTTACACAAAATGGTTTGATTCTATATATATTCTTCACGTGCATAATAATAATAATAAATTGGTATTGAATAGCCTTGGATATAATTAATTATAAAAATATTAAAAAATATTAAAAAAAAAACAATATTGAATAGAGATTGTTCGTCTCCATATATCAATAATTATTCATTTCAAACAGTGTTTGAATATAAACACACTATTTGAATTATAAAGACACTGTTTGAGATGAATTATTGATATCTGGATCGGAGAGGAGAAGATAGATTGATAAAACACGAGATTCATGGCCATGCAGATATCTCGCTGGGCGGAGACAAGTCCGGAGGGGTTCGAGAGCATGCATCTCGTTATATCTCTGTCGGATCTCCTTAGTCGTCATATGGGCCTCATGGCAAATAACACACATATACCTCAGTTCATTATACAGTCGAGAAGAAATTTCGTTCTAAAATCCTGTTTTGGTACTGGTGTATTGTATAAGATTACACTCTTCAGAATTATTACCGAAGAGATTACAACTCTACGAGAGCATAAATGAAGAATCAAATGAATTCTTATAACAAAATGCAATATTTAAGATATAACAAAACTTGGATAGAATCTTTTTTTTTTTTTAATTATGCTCTCTATAACATAAAAGTGTTTAAAGGCAATTAATCAAACCACGTTACTACAACAAAACTGTCCCACCAAATTAAGAAGAACAATGCAGAAGGATAAAACAGTGCTCGTATGGTAAGATTTGTGTGGTCTATACATAAGACAATAACACAATCACAAAACTGTACCAGATAACAACAGATAACGATGTTACTATACTACTGAGCTAGCACTAGTGCAGTAGTGCTAGTGGCGTAATGTCGTGAGCATGGGACTATGACATTTTTTAAAAAGAGTATGGGTATTTTCAACTGTAGGTTTAATCATACCTATGGATGATTTCGCAACAAATCAAATTATCAATAGAAGAATTTTTTATTTTCTGTAAATAGAAGACTTCTGAAAATAAAAGCTTTTTTAAAATCGATTGACTCAAAATAGAGGTTTCTTTAACCATATATCTTAATTCCATTTAACAAATAAGCGTATTATTTATGGTTTTAAATAACTTAGTTTCTTTATTAATTTATTATTATGGGTAGTATAACACACAAATATGTTATGCTGGAGTTTAATAGGATTATACATTGACATGAATAAAGCAACAAGTAATATTAAATCAATACATGTCGTCCCAGTAGTATATGACAAGAGAGCCAAATAGATCATAATCTGGGAGTGATATTAGTTAGTTAGTCGGATACTCTGCCTTTGAGGAAGTTCTTGCATATCTTCTCCCAAAGCTTCCTGTCTGCTCCCCTCTTCTCCATCGTTGCCTTTGCCGCATCCGCAAAATCTTGCTGCATATTTAGTTTACCACAATTTCTTAGAATATACAGTATTTTAATTCGATTCGGTGACTATTGTAAGCCAGAGAGAAATAAAACAAACCTTGACGTAGCCTAGACCAAGAACACGATCGACAATCTCGAAGAGAATCTCTTTGTTATACTCAGGATGTCCTTGAATGCAGAACAAATGATCCTCGATAGAGAACATCTCCACCTCGTAGTTGTCGGAGTAGCCAAGCACTTTAGCAGTTTCAGGCAGCACCAAGACTTCGTCCTGGTGGCATTTGATGATCGCCATTGTCTCAGGAACCTCGTCTCCGAAGTAACTTAATGGTGTAATCGCATCCTTGACGATTGTTATGTCTCCAAGTTTTAGTTCTGGTCCCTTCCTTGCGCGTCCTACTGTTCCTCCCCTTACTCTGGCTATGATCTAAACGGAGAATCGTAATTAGGAACGATATTATTTAATCAACATCATCCACAATGCCAACACTAACACCACCCGCAACTTAAAACCACATTGTCTTGTCAGTTGGAAGATTTTTTTAATCTTAATCAATCGAATACATTAATACCAAATGTGATACATTAATCTTTTAATATTTTGAGCCTTAACCTAATTGCTGTTGTTATACTTGTTGGGTACTCCACTAGTTCAGCAAAAAATAATCAAGAAGTGTGATTTATTACTTTGTTCATTACTTCGTTTCATATTTTCACGGAAATGGCCCATTAAATCATTCATATATTGAAATTTGGTTACCTAAACGAGCATTCACTAGATAGTATTATGCAAAAATGGGTTCAATTTAGATTTAGAAACTTAGAACTAACAAAAATCATAAAATAAAAACAGGGGATGTTTATATAATTATAGTATACCTAGTAAATTCACTAATAAAAAATGATTCACTAGAGAAACCATCAATTATATTATACCTAGTCAAACGTATACCTAGTCATGAAATAAAAACAGGGGAGGTTTATATATATATAATTTTATTTTTTTTGTCATCAGGGGAGGTTTATATGATACCTAGTCAAACTTAGATGACAAAATAAAAATCAAGAAAATAGAGAAAAGAACCTGGTGGCCAAAGCAGATGCCAAGAATTTTCTTCTTCATCTCGTCGATCTTCTTGACAATATCGCAGAGCTTAAGGATCCAATCACAGTTCTCAAAAGCGTCGTGAGAGCTTCCGCTGATAACAAAGCCATCGTACTTGTCGAGATCTTTCTCATCGGGAAACTCACCGCTGACGACCCTAAAGGAGTCCCACTGCTCTCCTTCGTCTCCGAACGTTGACACGAACACGTTGTGGTATCCCCCGTACGCTTTCTTGACGAACTCTGAGTCCAAAGTCGCAAGAAACAGAGCGTATCTTTTCTGCTCCACCATTTTTTTTTGCCGGCGAAATGAATTATTAATTTTATCACACAAGAGAGTTTTGATTAGGTGAGAGAAAGGAGAGATAGCAGTGGAGGAGAAACACGTACGTGTATGGTTTGTATTTATATAAAAGATTTGTATTTTGGTCGACCTGACCTACCTACTGGTTTTTCGTTTTTATTTCCCCACGTTTTATGTAATAGTTTTGTAATTTTATTGTACCGTAACAATCATCTTCTTCCTTTTTTTATATATATTCAGAAATAAAATTAGATAGGCAATTAAAATTTTAGTAGTGGGCAACCGTTGTTGACCATTTCGCCGATTGACATAGTTCGAGCATGTGGCATTTCTATAGCATTATTACGTACATGGGCCGATATCGACAACCAATAAACACAAAACTATGGAATTGTTACTTCAAGTTATATATTACACTGGATCGATCACATCTGCCAAAAGCAATTAAAATGACGCGCATTTAGTTAGTTAACACGTATCTCTACTTAACAACTTTAAACTTGTTTTAAATGCTCTAAACTTTTCTTTAATAATAGTATAAAATCCAGAGATGTTAATTTTGCTGTGGCCAGCTGAGAATTCTAACACACCATGTGACTATTATAATACTACAATTTTGAATTTTTTGAATTTATTCATTTTATAGTATTAGTTTATTGCAGCTTCTTCTAATTATACATGATATCACATCTACATCTTCTAAGATCGTATCTCACTGGGGGGAAAGAAAACATACTTGTGTATATATGTAAGAGACTAATTAGTAGACGTGTTAATCTTTAAAAAGATAGAAATCTAATTAGTTAAATTTCTAAAACTAAAGAAGAAAAGTTACCAAAATTTCCCTGAAGTCTACAGTCTAAAAGTCTAACTAAGCATTAAGACAAACATATCATGCATGCTTTTATTAGTCATGACTTTTCTTGACTTACATGCGGAGACTTGCAACTTTTGGGACCTAATACAGATATACCAGATTTTTTCTTGAAATTTTACCCTTTTTTTTTTGTTGCACTGTTTTGACTGAAAATTAAGTATCAAAGCTAAGGAAAAATTAATGTATCAATTACACTTTTGGTTTCTTTTTTTCCAGTATCATCTATTGACCAAAACCATTATCTTAGTGTCACATATGACTATAGTGTATATCAGTATATTTCTCCGCCGTTCCAAGAAGGGTTCTCATTTGGTCAAAGTCCAAGTATAGCGTTGTATAAAGAATCACTGAGGTCAAACAAACTACAAAGATGAAATTCGGATATAGTCCCCCATTAAACTTGTCCGGTTACGTACAAATATATCAAACTGTTGTAAAATATAACATTACGTGATTTAGTCGTCTACGTACACTTATCCACAGTGTCTTTTAGGTAAAAGCGAAGAACATTTGCTAACTGGCCAATATTGTAGACTTGTGGGCTTCGAACGGTTGACAAACATCGGGCTTAAAAGTCGTCAATCAGGGATAAGGTAAACAAAGTGGCCCTACTAATGGCCCAATAAAAAATAATCTGCCAAACCCTAAAAACACAACATTTGTTTAGTTGGTTCGTGTCTGAAGATTGCAGGGATATAACCCTAAAAATGGCAAAATCTGTAACTAAAGTACGTAATCCGAGACCGATTCTTCAGTCAATACTATCCATGGAGGCCATTCATGGTATATTTTTTCGTATACTTCAATTCTGGATTTTGCTGTATTAATCCTGAATGCTTGCTTTGCATGTGTCCCATATATAAGCCCTCTTGACAACATCGGTCTCACTGAGCAGCATTTCTTTGTATCTTCTCTCGATTTCTCCGACCAAAAAATGGCGTCCTCCGGTCACTTTTGACGATGATTGTTCCATATCTTGTCTATCTCCGAGTTTGGGAAATCCCAACTCGATTCTTCTTTCTTTCAACTTGATATATAGTGTTTCACTCTTTTTGATTGGTTTCTCCTTTCCAAATCAATGGACAGGTTCAGTCTCTTGTTGGTTCAACTTCTTCACTCACACCATGTAGGCTTCGAATTGTTTTCGGACTTATGAAACAAAACCTACAAAAATATTTGGTTTTAAAGAAACGAAAAAGCCAATTTAAAGAGATGAAGAAGCTGACGTTTCCTCAGACATAGTTATGTTTCATTCGCAAGTAACTCCTTTTTTTTTCTTTTTTCTTTTTTGCCTTTGATATGTCATTTCATCACAAGTCATTTGCTAGCTTTCAAGTTTCAACATATCTCTCTACTCTTTTAGCCTCTACTTACCATCGCCGTACACGTGTCACACTTATATGCGATGTTTCTCTTCTGCAGCCATGAATCAACCACACCTTCTTCTACTACCAATTATTTTCAATATCGGTTCGGTTTAACTAGATTAGCGTGTCTTCTTTTGTGATGTATTATCAATTTATCATGCGTGTCTGTCTATTAAAAATAGTGATTAGTGAATATGAAAATATGTAATGGCGTTTATTGGTGGTCGTCTCGATGATATCGAACCTCGATTAGGGAGCACATGTTTTTGGTTAAGCTTTATAATTAATTGTTAGCCTGCCTACCTACAATAATAGTAGTATTTTGACAAAAGAAACTTTACTGAAGTATTATTATGTTACTGTATGATATTCATACACAAGTGTTAAACTAAGATATACGCATATGTATCTTTTTATTTGTCGTCAAACAGAAAGATACACATATCATGTTTTAATGTTTGTGATTAAACTAACATATCAAAAGAAATTAGCTATCAGTTAACTAATCGTATGTAATAACTACCACCGGTTCAGTAAAACTAATTCGGAATGAATGCAAACCGGATTTAAACCAACATCTATTATCAAAGCACTTACTATTTACTAATACAAGTTTGAGTATTTTTATGAACACCGACAGAGTGGTGTTTAGTATGTAATACACTTACACGCGTGATATATATATACTACCGAATCATTAGGGTAAACGTTAAATTGATCGTTTGTTTAATGTTACCCAATTCATAACTAAGTATAATGTTATTTGTAACAAAAATAAACACATTGATGAAATAACCTGATAAATAAGTATATTACTAATAACGTACTTTTCGAGAATTATTCAAAACCAAAGGTAAATAAAAAATCAAATGTGAAATGTACCTCTTTTTGGGAATGCATCACTTGAGACTTGTTGACACATGTTGATTGGTTGCAGCAAAACTGCCGAATTTTTTTAAAAATGGCTCTTAAATACTAAAAAGTTTGAAAGTAAATTACCAAAAAAGAAAAGAAGAAGTTTATTTACTAAATTAGAAATATTATGACAGTCGTATTTAGTGGCCAAACAGAGAGCTTGCTTTAGAGGGAGAGAGAGAGAGAAGGTAAGTTATACACAAAAGGAGGCTTCTCTCAGACGAAACGAATAAAGAAAAGCTGAGAAGAATCCATAAAAGGTGACAAAAGCAAGAAGGAGAAGCAAAGCATGTTTCCTTATCTTGTCTTCTGATTCACTCACTATTCTTCTTCTTCCTCATCATCATGATCATTAGTATTCCACCAAAACCCACTCGTCTCCTCTCTTTTCTCACATTGTTAGTGTTCTTCTTTACATCTGATCTAATTTTCTTCCTCTTTGTTTGGTAGAAGAAAAGAATGGAGGGTACTTATCAGTATTCTGCAACAAAGGTGATGAGGGTCTCAAGAAGGGCATTTTCGTTAGAGAAGAAGAATCATTAGTTCCATAACTCTTTTGTGTCGTTGATGATCAGATTCATTTCTTTATGTTTTTTTAAAAGTTTTAATCCTCTTATTAAACCGATAAAAAAATTGTGTGACCAGGTCGGGAAGTAGTAGTAGTGATATTGGCGGAATGGCTCAATCTCCTTGTCACATTTATCACTTTCTCTGTTTCTCTTTTAACATTTTAGAATTGTATGATCTTATACTTAATTCTTAACTACATTACTTGTTTTGCCTTTTTATGATTCTTTCATTAACTACAAATTTCACCCATTTCTTTAAAATTTTAACCAAAAACATGTTATGATTTTCTCGATTTGTCACTTTCTAAGAAATTATGATTGTGTATATAGATTTGTGATGCTGCCTGCAGTTGATAATGATACTGCATGTCTGTGTTTTGTTGACGACACAACAGAGGAAAAAGAACAGAGAGAGAGAGAGAGAGATATGTCTTTGGTTCTAGATTTCTATTTCTCTCGGTAAATGTGCCTTTCATATAATCGGATAGCTTTTCTTTTCTTTTCTTTTCCTTTTCATGATAGATGAAGGAATTTTTTTACCGTTGTGTAAATTATTCACGTACATTAGTCAATGGTTGCTAATTAAAATCCTACTGCATGCAAGAAGAAGAAAAAATGAATGATCCTACTGCTAGTTCAAAATCAACGTTAAGCCTAATTTGCCTAAACATTTTGCTATATGTGTGAATTGTGATAATAGTTTTGATTATCAATTTACTAATATTACTAATTTAGGTTTAGTGGTACAATCAATATTCTTGGGAAATGAGGGGTCTAGTTGTGGGGTTTTCTAGTGTCCTCCTCGATGCGGCAAAACAAAATGTCACATCACATGGGTCTTCGTGTATCAACCATTTACTTGTCAAACAGATGTAATTTACACATTGAAATTTCCACATAAACAAATAGCTCTCTATCTCAGAGGCAGATGATAAATTTCATTATGCATGTGATGCCCTTGACTACTTCGTTAGATCGATCTCATACAATAACAAAGGAACATGTACAATATAGCATGAACAACAAACCTAGCTGTTGATAGATAGTTATAATGGTTAGATGACAAAAAAAAAAAAAAGATAGTTATAATGGTTCTTTGTCAACAAAATTGCATTGGGTTTGGACAAACTTACTTGGAAATATCACACATTCACACCTGAAGCATATGAAATAGACAGGGAACAAGAAAGAGCTTTGACAAACAATAATGGTGCAAGGAGAAGTCTTTTTAAATATGGGCTCAAAGTTTTTGGCCTTTTGGGCCTATAATCCATATGAGTCTCTATTCTTATTTCGTGGCCTTTTTGGCCTTTTTGATATTATATGTTTAATCTTTGAAAAGAACTGTAGAGAAAATGTAAAAAGAGGATTATAGAACGTGGAAGAATCAGGTGGACACCATATTGGGAAATCGCAAACGAATAAAACGCACTCCGACGAAGATTTGCTCTTTATGTTTTTCTTCTTATTTTTTAACTTCCAATTTTTTTTTTTTACTTACTCCATTTAATTTGTGTTTTTAATATGATAATGACTTCAAATTCCACTAATTAAATAGATAATGATTGAGGATGACTCAGGCTCCATTTGCTAGATTGCACAACTAGCTATACTGTTCTGCTACATATTGATCTACTACTACTAGTCCACAAACACAAAGCATCCCCCTTGTAACAGAGATAAAAAAAAAAAAAAAGTAAAACAATATTATAAAGACTTCAATGGAATATAGAAAGCATCTCATAATTTAATTGGTGCAATTTATGCATATTAGAATATGGTCCCGGCCGGGGATTTTTTATAAAGCTAAAATAAAAATGATGAAACAAACATTACTACTAATGCGGTGCAGAGCAAATTATTGGGAAGATGATTCTACTACTTTGATACTTTTCCTTCAATCTTTATGAAAATTCTAATTTACCTTATGCTTTAACACATTAATGTAAGAATATAATTTTGAAACAGTGGTGTTAAAAAAACGCATTATAAATGTTGGATTTGTCCCATCATCCAATCTTCTCCACTTTTAGTGAAAGTCACGAAATTTTCATCAAGTCTTTTAGAAATTCGGTTTTTGATTGTTATAGGCAGCGAGCGAGTTAGCGACATGATAAAATCTAATTGTGATGTTAAATGAATAATTTGTGATTTCTTTCTAAGAACTTTGAAAGTTGATAGGGAATAATATGTATGTATTGAAACAAGTACATAAGATGCAGCATGCATGCATGATGTAATGGGGTGTCCATTGATAATGTGTGACAGGAATAAAATAAACAAGGTAATTGGTTGCAAAGCATCTTGCTGCTTACCTCATCTTGCTCTTCCCAATTCGGCATTTTTGGCCACCTCTCTTTATAATTACTTCGTTAGGGTATGTTGAAAACAAAGGAAAAGATAGTAAGTAAGTAGTAACGTTCCTAAACCAAATTTTTAATTATTTTGGTCTTTCTTATGAACAACGGGTTTGAGTGCATCGTTACGCACGATGCAAATGGGCAACATGCATGATTGAATATTTATTAGTATTATTACATCTTAACAAAAAAAACTTTAAATTATCTTCTAGTAGCATTTTTACCAAAAACTATATCAGAAAAAAACATACATTCGAAACGTGGGGGTCATGAATGTTATTGCAGTAAAGTAAAAGACGTGATTGAAAAGAGAAAAAGTAATAAAATAAGAAAAGAAAGAAAAAAAGACAAAGAATGTAATTATTAGATCGTTCGATTAAATTACGAATACGAAAGTAGTAGAGGAGGAAAGAGTTGAGCAAAAAAGAAATAGAAGGACAAAAGAGGAAAGAAAACAAAAGTATAGGGGCTTATCATAAATAATGTAACATCAGTCACACAGCCTCATCAGGCAAGTGTGGATTCTCCTATTTCACGCTTTTTCTTACGTGTTGTTGCCCGTATCGGTATCACTCACTATCTCATGTTGGTGTTGCGTTTTGACGTTTTCATACAATAATTTCTATATAATGCGAATCATTAAATTTCAAATCTTTGGTAGGGAGACACCAAATGCCCAAATTAAAAATCTTGTTTCATATAAGATGGAAAAAGACAAGAAAAAAATATGGAAAGAGGATGAAGCGTATTTTAGTGTGCACCAGTCCTCTAGCCTGTCACTGGTAGTCCTAGTACATTACATCAATTTCATTAAGATGAAGAAAAAAAAAGACAAGAGACAAGAGAGAAAGAGAGAGAGAGTCGAGTAGACCAGTATCCACTATCCCGGGCCGGGTCTGACAGTCCGTATCAGCTTCCCCTGATTCTCTCTCTCAACTCTTTCTCTCTCTCCCTCATTTAAACGTTTTCATCTCAACCTTTTCTAAGCAACAACAAACTCATCATCTCCTGTGAGAGAGACTGTTTTTAGAGAAGAAGAAGAAGAAGAAAGAAGGGAAGTAAAGAAAGACTTGTTTGATAGACCCGAGATTTCTTCTTCTTTTTTGTAGTTATTTGCTTTTGCTTTCTCTTCTTTTTCTAGTGTGCTTGTGTTCTGTGGTCACTACCCCGAAAATAAAGTAATGCTGTCTCCCTTCTCTTCAAAAATTAATATTGTTTACTCCTCGTTAGCTAAAAGCTTTCCATGGTAGTAACAAAGAAGAAGACGACGATGATGACGATTCAGCTTCATCTCTTCTACTTCTTCTTCTTGTTTCTCTGTTTCTTCTCTACTCTTACTCTCTCTTCTGAACCCAGAAACCCTGAAGGTAATATAAAAAAAAACGTTACAACAACTAAAACTGCTTCTTTTATCCTTCCGTTACTTTAAAAATTGCATCTTTTTTTTTAACTCTTATAACAAAAGTCTGATTATTCCTGCTACTCAGTTGAGGCGTTGATAAGCATAAAGAACGGTTTGCATGATCCTCATGGAGCTTTGAACAACTGGGATGAATTTTCAGTTGATCCTTGTAGTTGGGCTATGATCACTTGCTCCTCCGACAACCTCGTCATTGGACTGTGAGCTCCCTCTCTCTCTCTTTTTTTGTTTTTTATCCTTCGATTTTGTTTTCTGCTTTCTACAGTTCATTAATGGCGACAATTTCTCTCTCTCTCTCCCTCTGTCTGTCTCACCAATCGTAGAGGAGCGCCGAGCCAGTCTCTCTCGGGAAGTTTATCTGCGTCTATCGGAAATCTCACTAATCTCCGACAAGTGTAAGAAGACTACGACATCCTCGGATCTTCCTCCCTCTTGTTTCCTAATATTATAAGGTTTTTGTCTTTTCCTAATTTGTTTCTTCTTATAAAATAGGTTATTGCAGAATAACAATATCTCCGGCAAAATCCCACCGGAGCTCGGTTTCTTACCCAAATTACAAACCTTGGATCTTTCCAACAACGATTTCTCCGGCGACATCCCTGTTTCCGTCGAGCAGCTTAGCAGCCTCCAATATCTGTGAGCTTCTTCTTCTTCAATCTTGTTCACTATGTAGTGATGTTTTTTTTTCGTTTTTCATATCAGTTCATTAATCATCTTACCTCGTACGAATTGAATTTCAAATAGGAGACTCAACAACAACTCTCTGTCTGGGCCCTTCCCTGCTTCTTTGTCTCAAATTCCTCACCTCTCCTTCTTGTGAGTATACAAATTTTGTCTTTATATCTTGTGAAGAATTGTTTTGTTGTTTTTTGTCTGAATTTTGAACATTTTTGAAATTTCAGGGACTTGTCTTACAACAATCTCAGTGGTCCTGTTCCTAAATTCCCAGCCAGGACTTTCAAGTATAAACCTTTAAGTTTCAAAATTTAAACTGTTTTCACATATTCTTTTATTTGAGTCAGTACTAAGCCTTTCTGTTGAATGTAGTGTTGCTGGTAATCCTTTGATTTGTAGAAGTAGCCCACCTGAGATTTGTTCTGGATCAATCAGTACAAGTCCTCTTTCTGTTTCGTTGAGCTCATCATCAGGTAAAACTCACTTTCTTGCATTGTCTTTTTCTTGAATTTTCCCATTGTAATGGTGTTTTAGTTAATCAATTTGGTTACTTGATTGTGTGTAGGACGCAGGTCTAATCGACTGGCCATAGCGCTTAGTGTAAGCCTTGGCTCTGTTGTTATACTAATACTTGCTCTCGGATCCTTTTGTTGGTATCGAAAGAAACAAAGAAGGCTACTGATCCTTAACTTAAATGGTCAGTCAATTGGAGCTTGTTGTCTATACAACTTTGATTCAGGAAGATGTTAAGTCTTTAGTTTTTGCCTTTTCCAGATAAGCCAGAGGAAGGGCTTCAAGGACTTGGGAATCTAAGAAGTTTCACATTTAGAGAACTCCATGCTTGTACAGATGGTTTCAGTTCCAAGAATATTCTCGGTGCTGGAGGATTCGGCAATGTGTACAGAGGAAAGCTTGGAGACGGGACAATGGTGGCAGTGAAACGGTTGAAGGATATCAATGGAACCTCAGGGGATTCACAGTTTCGTATGGAGCTAGAGATGATTAGCTTAGCTGTTCATAAGAATCTGCTTCGGCTAATTGGCTATTGTGCAACTTCTGGTGAAAGGCTTCTTGTATACCCCTACATGCCTAATGGAAGCGTCGCCTTTAAGCTTAAATGTTAGTATTACTCCTGAACTGTTGGTCCAAATCTTCATCTTCAATGATTTTAACCAATCTTGTTAACTGTTGAAGCTAAACCGGCATTGGACTGGAACATGAGGAAGAGGATAGCCATTGGTGCAGCGAGAGGATTGTTGTATCTACATGAGCAGTGTGATCCCAAGATCATTCACAGAGATGTAAAGGCAGCTAATATTCTGTTAGACGAGTGCTTTGAAGCTGTTGTTGGTGACTTTGGACTTGCGAAGCTCCTTAACCATGCGGATTCTCATGTCACAACCGCGGTTCGTGGCACGGTTGGCCACATTGCACCCGAATATCTATCCACCGGTCAGTCTTCTGAGAAAACTGATGTGTTTGGGTTCGGTATACTCTTGCTTGAGCTCATAACCGGATTGAGAGCTCTTGAGTTTGGTAAAACCGTTAGCCAGAAAGGAGCTATGCTTGAATGGGTAAGCAATGAGACTCGGAATCACATTTTGTTGAGTACTTTATAAGATCAACCAAATTAACATTTTCTCCACGTGCTGTAACTTTGGTTTAGGTGAGGAAATTGCACGAAGAGATGAAAGTAGAGGAACTGGTGGACCGAGAACTTGGGACTAACTACGATAAGATTGAGGTTGGAGAGATGTTGCAAGTGGCTTTGCTCTGCACACAGTATCTGCCGGCTCATCGTCCAAAGATGTCTGAAGTGGTTCTGATGCTTGAAGGCGATGGTTTAGCCGAGAGATGGGCAGCTTCGCATAACCATTCACATTTCTACCATGCCAATATCTCTTTCAAGACAATATCTTCACTGTCTACTACTTCTGTCTCAAGGCTTGACGCACATTGCAATGATCCAACTTACCAAATGTTTGGATCTTCGGCTTTCGAGGATGACGATGATCATCAGCCTTTAGATTCGTTCGCGATGGAACTATCCGGTCCAAGATAACACAGTGAAAGAAAGAAAGAAAGAAAGAAGAAAGACAGATATCATTTTTCGACATACAATGGATCAAACCATTTGAAAAAGCTCTACACTTTTATAATATAGACATGTACATGGTGGTGAATTGATGAAAAAATTTCTCTACAGTTTGAGATTCTGTGGTGGGTTTTTTTATGTTGATGTATATATTAACTTTGGTAAGGTATTTTAATGTGAGTTTTTTGTTTGATTTTTGGGTTGATGATGAAAAGCAGAGTTACTTTGCTTCAACAACATTTTGATGGCAAAGGAAGAAACTATGAGACTGATTTGTTTGACTCTTCTTTTGACCAGAATCTGATTTGCTCTCTCTCTCTTCTCTCACACTCAAAATCGCATCAACAGTTCTGAGAATTTTATCATAAGCTGCTTTGTGGTCCTCTTAAGCTTAATGTGTTGTGACTTTTGTGTTTTGTCCAACTTTGACTCTCATGTGTCGTTTTCAATTTTCTTATCACAAACCAACAAAATCTTATCTCACTCAACAACGAAACGACACCGTTTTGGGACACAAATAGAATAAGAAGAAACGACAACGGTTTGGGAAGAAGTGCCGAAAACAGAACATATATATAAAGTAGAAAAACATAAAAAACAAGAGCTGCATAGACGAAAGAGACTTCTTTTACAATTTTGGAGACATGGCGAATCAGTCCTCTCCTTCTCCCATCTATTGTGTTTCTTTCAATCAAGATAATAGGTGTGAATTCGATTCTCTTAGTAGATTTCCCAGGAAATTTTGTTCCTTTTAATTCTTCTTTTCTCAGATAACGTAACTCAAAAGCTGCCCTTTTGTTGTTGTTGTTGTTTGTTGGCTGTTCGATTATCGCAGTGGTTTTGCGATAAGTTGGAAAGATTCCTTCAAAATATTCGATTCCGCTACGGGCAGACTTTGCTATGAACGAGGCAAGTTTCTAACATTATCCACTTAGATTCTCTGTTCGTTTTGGTTCTGCAGTTTCTGGGTTCTGATCTGATTATTTGTTGTCCATGTCATTAAATATGAATCTGTGTGTGTTTATAATTTATGGGTTTGAAAGGAAACTAGGGTTAGATGAATCGAAATCTTAAGTATATGATCTGATATTGAAGACAACTTCCTGTAATGCAGGCGTTATACACTCAGTAATGCTGTAAATTTTTAGATTGGATAGTGTTTGAATATTGAAACCTGGTAAAAAAAGCTAATGCAATTGACTTTAAGATGATCCTAGACTTGTTTCAAGCTCCAATATTTTTATGAAACTATGTATTGAAGTTGTTTGCCTTTTTATTTGTTTGTTGTTAGCTGCTGGGGCTTTTGTTATTGTTGAGATGTTGTATAGCTCAGATCTGCTTGCCATTGTTGGAGCTGGTGAACAGGTTTGTTCTTTTTGAAACAATTTTTCGATAAATCGGATTTGATCTTGTTTGATTAAGGAAAATTTCATGTATAGGCTTCTCTATCCCCACGGCGTCTTTGTTTGTTCAAGACCACAACGGGTTCACCTCTTAGGGAATTGAACTTTTTAACTTCTATACTCGCTGTCCGTATGAACAAGAAAAGGTTTGTTACCAAACTTATGACTTCTGGTAGTTTTTTTTTTTTGTTTTGTCTTTGGAGATTGAATTCATGGTTTTGTGATTGATTCGTATCAGACTTGTTGTTGTGCTGCTAGAGAAAACATTCGTTTACGACATAAATACTCTTGTCATGCTTGATACTATCGACACCGTGCCTAATCCAAAAGGTAGCTCATAAAGTTTCCTTCATCAAATTGTAACCTTAGGAGTTCATTGTAAACATGAAAACAGTGTCTATCTTTGATCAGGTCTATCTGCCTTCTCACCATGTCTTGAAGCCTGCTACTTAGCTGTTCCAGCTAGTGTGACGAAAGGATCTGTTCTGGTTTATAACGTCATGGATTTGCAGTCTCACAGTGAGGTTTACTAGATGCTTCACCTAATTTTGGAATACAAATTTTTGACTTTAGAGTTACATACTGAACCCAATTATATCTAACTAGATGTTATTATTTCTCTGTTTTTAAATCGAGGACAGATAGATGCACATCGTTCTCCATTGGCTGCGATTGCACTCTCTTCGAATGGAATGTACATTGCTACAGCATCTGAGCAAGGAACTCTGATCCGAGTCCATCTTGTTTCGGAAGCAACTAAGGTAGGTAGCTGCTCTTATAATACATCACCATTTCATTTTTCTACGTATTCTTAATTGTTTTTTTTTTTTGCAGTCATTTAGTTTCAGGAGAGGAACATACCCATCTACTATATATTCACTGTCTTTTGGACCATCTACAGAGCTTCCGGATATATTAATTGCAACGAGTTCTTCAGGCTCGATTCATGCCTTCTCTTTAAGGTTGGCCTTAAACCAAAGGTGGGGATTAAGAATCAGAATCTTACTTCCCTTACACATTTGTGAGATTTCTAACAGTTTCAGAATTTTCTCAGAAGCAAAAGGTCTACCAGCTTTCTTGGTTCGGTTCTTCCGGACAGCGTGAGTGATGCACTAGATCCAGCTCATCATCATGTGCTTCAAAACGCAGTTTCTTCTGGAATTAGAAGGTGAAAGGCTTTTCATTTGAAGGGCTGCTAACTAATGATATATCAGGCTATAGAACCCGGAAGGCTTATTGTATGTTGCTTGTTTGTATTACAGTTATGCAGTGATTAGGAAGATAGACAAACTTGAAGGAACATCATCTCCATCACAGTTTAAATCTCTTAGGTAAGATTTTAGGATAACCCCATCTTGAGTCCACGGTTAGACAGACAAGTTTTCGAACAGAACTATATCACAAAAGCTTGACAATCTTTTGTGTTTCTCGTCCTTTTCAGAGCAACGGTATCGGTGATTACCTATAATGGGTATTTTCAGGAGTACACGCTAAGTATCAATTACAAGAATGAATCTTTGTGGACACTGGACCGTGAATTCAATCTCTTCTCCATAACCACCAGGTGAACTTAACCCAATACCAAACATATGAAAGTATATGGCAGCTTTTTTGTATATAATAATTTGTACTTTGGGTTCATTAAGAATCGTTTATAGTCTTTATGTTCGTTTGTTCTTAAGGTTCTTCCGTGTATGTATTTTAATCTTGATTGTGTTAAAGAAATGAAATTCAGAATAGTCTCTCTTGAGCTTCCCAACTTTTTCCCTCTATAGTTACTGTCAACGGTCTTAACTATAAAGCTTAGACGAATAGGCAAAAGCTATGAATTTGAATTTTTAAGTGGTCTAATTTGTCGGTCTTATGGCTAACAAAAAACACCATAATACAGCAAAAATCCAGAGAACAAAAGTCTATATCTTCAGAGAATTCACTGTATCCTACTCAAAACTATTAGTCTACTTCATCTTAACACATCCATTTAAGTCAAAATAGAGTAAAGACAGCTACATCCGTACAACAGTTACATGCAAAGTCAGGAGTAATTACCCATTGATCTGCAATTTGTATGTTTTGAAGAGACTCATCGTGATTTTGTCTTGACGACTTGCCCTCTAGAAACCTTTCTCTCCATCTTCTCCCTCTCTTTGCGAGTCTTCTCATCCTCTACACCTCCCTAGGTTCAGTCACAGAGACAAAACACAGTTCATTTTAATGCTCATGTCTTATTTACCCTTGTTCAAATCACTTTGAGAGTATTCAAAGCCAAGTGATTGATTACCTCTGCAAACACATATTGCCAAGAAAAACAAAATCAATCCTCGAATTCATCGAAACAAAAAATCATCTGATGTTGACCTAAAATTGAAACTTTAAAGTCTTAAAAGATCAAATTCAGCTGTTTTGTAGTTCCAGTGTGATCCAAGTAACGTATATAACGAAATCAAAGGATTAAGAATGAGAGGAATGAGGGAAAAGATGAAGTAGCACGTTGCAAACGATCATTATAATACGGAGCCTAGCCATGTGTCTATTATTCTCATCCTTACGCTTCTTTGCTCCTTGATTCGCCATTTACAAAAAAAAAGAAGAGAGAAATATCAATAGAGACGAGGAAGTTTAGTTTTTCAATTTCTGTATTTCATTTTGCTCTGACTCTAACCTTTTCTTCACAAACGGTGTTTTGAGACAAAACATTTAGTAGGACTACGTTTGTTTAAGCCAATCAGGTTCGGACGCATGTACATTCTTTGTCGTCTTTCTCAATTACTTGTTTCACGCAGGATATGTTTTGTTGGCTGCGTCTGCGTGTTGTGATTACAACGCTTTTCTTTGGATTTAGACAAAGATTCTGAATATGGGCTTTAAACTCTTTTATTAGTTGTTCTGGCCCATTATTATATGAAAAATCCACATCTTTTTAATTTTGTCGTCATTGTAGCAAAAAAAAACAAAAACGTATGTATAAAAGAAAAGGGTAGCAATATGCCGAAACGGTGTTGGTCAGAAAAAGACATGTATGTTTGTTTTACAATATGTAAGGACTGACGTGGACACGTGGGAGCATGGACAATGCAACCAAGTCAGTCACCATTAAGGTCCATTTTTTTTAATTGTTTCCAACTACTCTACTCATTGAGATCAAATCATTTAAGTTTCTGTAAATCCCGAATCCAAAAGTGTTTAAGCAATATGTTGACGAAACTAAACTCTTTTGGATAGAATGTTGAAAATAGTGGATCAAATAAGGACCAAGATGATGCCTCAGCCCTTCAAATTGACAGACATTTGCTGAGTCGTCCACCACAATGCGGTAAGCTAACGCAACATCGAGAAGCTTCCGTTTTGAATATTCTACTTTTTCTTTTTCTTTTGCGACAGAATATTCTTCTATTTTTTTATAATGATTTATTATTATAAAACTTCTAATTTGGATTGTAGCTATCAAGTAGGGTAGTTTAGGGTTGTGTTTAGCCTTTAGGATTAAGAATTTTAGAAGATATTGGTTTTTTTTTCCTTAAGTAAAATTTTGAGAGAAAAACAAAATATAAAAATATAAAAATATCCAGACATTGCTTTTTTAAAAGAATAAAAATAGTCAACTGTCTTAAAAAAGGAGGAAATCCCAAAGTAAATTGATCCTCTCATGACCTGGGAAAACAACTATGCAAATCAATATTAACAATTGTAATTAGAGAGTTTCAAACACATTCTGTTTTGGTTTTAAAAAGATCCAAAATTGTATCAAAACACACGTGTCCTAGTCAATAAAAGAAGAACTCAGTTAATCACGTCTCTCTCTCTCTCTCTTTCAAGAAGGAGCTTAACAACAGTTTAAAGTTTAAACCTTTCTTCTTTATCTTCCTTATTTTTGGGTTTATCTCTCTCTTATCCTGATATTATCATCCATTACATAAACATCAAACCTTTTTATAACTTTTCAATAATTCTTTTCACCATTCACGTTTCCCCTCTTGTGCCCAATTCTTATCTGAATCAGATTTCTCATATATTAATTCAAAGGTTTCGTTTTTTTTTTGTGACTTGGGTTTTGTTTTACTCTGTATCCGAATCGCAAAGTTTTCCTCTTTTCCTGGGGGAACAAATCCTTACACAATTCTGCTTTCTGAGGGGAATTTGAAGCTGTTCTAAGTTATAAGGTGAGTCCTCATCAATATTGTAACTGTAATTGAGCGTTACGTCACATGTAGAGAGGCTTATTATATATAAAAGGGACATACATATACTACAAGTCTACACCTGCAATAATGCAATTCATATATGAAGTTTTAGCCTTTAAATACTTTTATCCTCTGTTTTGAAATTGTAGCCATTCTAGCTGATTCTTCTTCTTCTACTACTTCTTCAGCAGACTGGATTTGGATTGATCGTAGATGAGACCATTCATTAGATCATCATCTCTCTGTAGGATTAGATGGGCTCTTAGGAACAATCAAGAACGCAGTGTCTCATCTTTCAACTCCAAAAGCCGCAGACTTTTGATCGGTGTCAGTCAAAATCAAGCTCTGGTGAATACAACAAACACTGATCATTCAAGTTTGTGTTCGAGGTTGAGTATCTTGAGAGGTTTATCAGCTGAAGCAGTTGAAGCAGCTGATGCTGCTACTACTAGGCTCACCGTCTCAGGTTTTTTTGTTTCTCTTTTCTGTCTAATTCGATTCATCACAGAGTTGGTGTTTTTTATGGTTTACTGATTTTGTTGAATGATGGCAGATGTGAATAGAACAGGTCCGCTTGTTGAGTATGAGAGAAGAATCAGTGATGGTGAACTCATGACTGGTGATATCTGCCAAGTATGATAAAAATAACAATCACTCTTGTTTCCTCTCATTGAAGCTTTGGCCAATAAGATTAAATGAGATTCATGTTACTTGAGGCTTAAGGTTGTGTTTGAAATACTGCAGATTAGTGCATTGAGAGAGCTTCAGAGACTTCATGATGAGCTTGTGGAATCAGTAGATACATGTCGTTTGGATCGGTACAATACTTCTGATAAATTCTCAAGGTGATTCTTCTGTTTGCTTACTTTTGTGCCTTTTTCTTCTCTATTTCGGATTGAGAACTTAAGTTTCAAACAAATCTGTGTTTTTGTGTGATACAGAAGCCGTTGGTTTTGGTCTCGGCTCATGCCACAGTCTTCATACTCACCTGTCAATGGATTATATCTTTATGGAGGTGTAGGCACAGGAAAAACTATGTTGATGGACTTATTCTTTGATCAATTGTAAGTTTGTATGATCAAATCTTTTATCTTTTTTCTATCGAGCATTGCGGTTTCATGATAGTTCTCTTGTTTCTTTAGGCCTTGTACTTGGAAGAAGCAGAGGATACATTTCCATGATTTCATGTTGAGTGTTCATAGCCGCTTGCAAGTATGGATCATTGAGTTCCCATTGTTTCTCTATTGAGTTTAGTAGGAAAGCTTTGGCCTTTTGAGATACCTCGTTTGATTTCGGGTCATGATGTTTGCAGAAGCACAAGGGTTTATCAGATCCACTTGAAGTTGTTGCCCAAGAGATAGCTCATGATGCAATCTTGCTATGTCTAGATGAGTTCATGGTATACACTTGTTACACATATTATCTTCTTGAAAGTGATCGTCTTTGGATCAACCCATCCTAAGTTTTGGAATTTTTTTGGCTACTGTTTCTGTTAGTACAGGTAACTGATGTTGCAGATGCTCTGATACTTAACCGACTCTTTGGACATCTCTTCAGCAATGGCGTTGTAAGTGTGATTTTTACCTGCAACCATCTCTACTTTTATGGGTTAAACTGACTTTAGTCTATGTTTGTGTGATAAAATATAGATTCTTGTTGCTACATCGAACCGTAATCCTGATAAACTCTATGAAGGAGGACTCCAGAGAGATCTCTTCCTACCTTTCATTTCCTCATTGAAGGTAATCTAGTTCACTTCCATTAATCCATTTTCAGTCTCTTTTTTTTTGTTTCCAAATCAAAGACTGCATCAATATTCTATTTTGTAGGAACGGTGTGTGGTTCATGAGATTGGCTCATCTGTTGATTACCGGAAACTAACTTCGGTACTGCTCTTAAATCCCCTTAAACACTCCCTATACTGTCTTCAGTGTAAAGCAGAGTTCAATAACTAGCATATTTCTTCACTTGTGCAGGCTGAGCAAGGATTCTATTTCATTGGTAAAGATCTTTCGACCCTTTTGAAACAGAAGTTCCAAGAACTGATTGGAGACAATGTTATTGCACGTCCACAGGAAGTAGAAGTGGTGATGGGAAGAAAATTACAGGTGCAGTTAATGCCAATCTTTGTGTAATTTCCAACACTTATGTTGTCTGTATATAAGGTCTTCATCAGACCAATGCTGCTTCATGAACAGGTTCCCTTAGGTGCCAATGGATGTGCATACTTTCCTTTTGAAGAGTTATGTGATCGACCTCTTGGAGCCGCGGATTACTTCGGATTGTTCAGTAAGTTACTCAGGCTTTGACTCTCTCTTTCATATGAGAATCTCGTCTCAAAACGGTTCTTCTTCTTCTCCCTGATGTTGCAGAGAAGTTTCATACTCTTGCATTGGAAGGAATTCCTGTGTTTGGGCTTCATAACCGGACTGCTGCATATAGATTTGTCACGCTAGTCGATGTATGCAAATACCTGGTTCCATCTCTTCAATTTTTAGTTATCCAAGATGACACAACCAAACTATTCATCAAATCTGACAATGGTTTAGATTCGCAGGTGATGTATGAGAACAGAGCCAGGTTGTCGTGTACAGCAGAAGCAAGTCCTCAAGAACTCTTGGAGAAGATTGTAACAATCTCAGAGGCAAAATCTATGGCTCCACGAACATCATCGAGATCAAGAAAGAACGATGTTACTGAGCTCTGCGTGGATAACGAATTAGGTTTTGCAAAAGACAGAACCATCAGTAGGTAAGATAAAAACAGACTTTGTGATTAACAACAACTAATCTACTAGTTTCATTGGATTTTTGCTCATCAAACGGTTTTGTTTATTGTGTAGATTAACAGAAATGAACAGCAAAGAGTACTTGGAGCAACATGCCATATCACAGAATCTGTAATACTCATACAAAACCCTTCATGGTTTACATGAAATTCAATTGAATCCTATAAGAACTTCTTGTATTTTCTGTGTCACACCAACATATTGATAAGAACCATGAAAAAAATTGAAATTTATCTTATTGTTGTAACATTAAATTTTGAATTTACAGCTATATTAAATCCAAATCTTTTCAGTACCAATGCATCAAGAACAATAACACATTGTAATACTAACCAGATTGTTGCTAAACATTAAGTGGTAGAAGCAAAACATCAAGACCACTACGATATTAATGACTAGTTTTGGAAAGAAAGAGAGTAGGAGCCAGTGTTGGGATCTTTAACAGCCTTGAAGTTGTCCACACTCATCCCAAATCGACCCAAGATCGAATTTCCCATCTCCTTCAGCTTAGCTACAAACACAAATATATTCGGATCAATGATCAGCTAGAAAACGATGGATATTTGACCACAAGGAATCACTTAAGATGCTAGAAGATCTTCAATAATATGATGAAATACTTCCGAAACTTACTTATAGCCTCTTCTTTCATTTTTTCTCGCTTCTCAGCAGCAAGTGGTTCAAGCCGTCGTATCCCTTTCCTAGCATGGTCATTTGAAGGATCAAGTTCTAAGATCTTCTTCAGGTCTGCATATGAGAAGACAGAGAGACTCAGTGTGAGATCTTCCAATAAACCTGATCTGCGACCAGAAAGTATCTATCCTGTAACAAGTACCAGAAACTAACCTAGGACTCCTCGCTAATTTTTCTAATAAATTGGTTCAAAGAGTAAACCTCAAGGGGAAAGACGGCTATTGCTTGCATATAAGGTCAAAACTAATGAACTCACCCGTGACAGCATCTTCAAAGTGTTCAAGCTTCTCATTTGCTTCTGCCCTTCGAACCAAGGCCTTAGTGTAGGTAGGGTTTAGCTCTAATGCTTTTGTGCACTCCTTGATCGTTTCTTCATATTTACCCTGAAAAACATTTCAGAGAAAGCTTGAGTACCATACATAACTCTACTCATCTTCAAAAGAACAAGAAGTAATCAAATAAACATTGTGACCGCTCAAAGGACATACCAATTTGAGGAAACATACACCTCTGTTTAAATGGCATATGGATCGAAGCTCTATAGACTCAGGAAACTCCTGAACAAGCTCTAAAGCAAAAGCATACTTTGACAATGCCTCTTCATAAATGCCATTAACGAACAATTTATTTCCTTCCACTTTAGCTTCATTTGCTTCTGCCATAGCTTTCTCCTTCAACCCAAACCAAACAAAAAGACAGATTCTCAATATCTGTCAACACTCTTCAAAGAATTTATCTACTAATTTCATCCAAAGGTTCAAACTTTCACAGGAAACTGAAGCTTCGTCACTAGGTACACTGGTACAGTTATAATGAGAAATAGCTAATGAATTCATAAACCCAGAATTAGTCAAAGCCCTAAAAAATAAATGTAACTCATTTCAATGAAGATTCACCTGGTTTGATCCGTCGTCGGTTATGGCTTCTCGTTCACTCATTAGCTCAACCTGTTCTTCCTTCTTCTCAGAGTGTCGTGGGTCTTCCTGACTAGTGACGGCGTCGTTTTCGGTACCATCTTCCTCTCCTTCTTCGTCGCTGATGTCACGTTCGCTGGCAGTCTCGAATCCGTCGGAATCATCTCCGTCGACTTGTTTGGTCTCCGTGGGTTGCGGTGAGGATGACGACGATGGCTTTGGTTCGTTTTTGATGAGAATCTCATCCTCACTCTCACTTGATTTGATCAGAACCATCTTCACTCTAGGGTTTCTTCGAGAGTTCGCACTAAGATTTCAACGCGAGTTATCTTCGATCGTCGATCTAGAGCTTTCTTAAGAAATCTAAATCGAAGCAGAAGAAGAAAAGGTTCAGAAGAAAGATGTTGTGGCTAAACGGCGCCGTCTTTTGTTTACTTGGTATATCAGGCCTCGTATTAGCCCATCTACCATCTTAAATGGGCCAAACCAAGCTAGAAGTACACAATCAGTGTTATTTTAAAAAAGAAAAAGAAAGACAATGTACATAATTTTCTACAAATTGAAGAAATTTTCATGCTAATCTAAGATGAACAAATCGCATAACCATTAGTACAAATACTCGAACACAACAGTTTACTTTGTTCTCGTTTTTGCCAATAACCTATAATTTGGTGTTTTTAGTATTCCATTTCACATTTGTTTTCAGGTAAAAAAATATGTATCAATTTAAGAGATTTGCAATTCTATATATATACATCACATGCACCACTTGATGATTCCGTAACAAAGTAATGATTTTCTCACAAGATATTTGCATATGAAAATAAATCATGATTCAACGATTTTATCGTCAACTAGGAGTATCTTATCGAAATTTTAAGAGTATTTTTATCATTTATTTGTATATTTAGAACCTCTGGCATGCTATAGTTTTTTAGTTTTTGTGGTGATCTAAACAAAAATTAATAATTATCATGGTTACTTGGTTAGCATAACTCATTTGCTAACAATACATAATTTTGAGTAAAAGAGTATATATATATTGCACATATAATATCACAAACTTTCACGGAAAGCATTCTCTAGTATTATTGCACAATTATAGGAAACATCGCTTTAAAAGGTTCGTATACGTACGTGACAACTCTCCAAGCACTTTAAAAAATATATATATGTTTAACAAAAATATAGAAAGCATTCATATTGTGCCCCCAACAAAATTAAAAAGAACTGCTCATATATATATATTAACTATAAAACGAGACGAAATGTAAATTTTCATTCTTCTGATAGTTCACGAGCAACAAATGCTACTATGAGAAGATCAATATACAAATTACAACCTTTCTTTTTTTGTATAATGTCTTCATTTTCAATTTAAATCATAAAATATTTCTTTAACATGCAGAGCCAGCTTCTACCAGCTTGCTTAATTTATTGTTCCTTAATCTTTCTTCGTAAACTTCACTTCCGTGCATCTCATTCTCATACCTAAACGACATATATACATTTATAGTATTAGGCTAATTAAAATTGCATATATAATAAACCAATATTAAATCAACAACTCAAATAAAGCGAAACAATAATAAATTATACCTCGGTGGCATAGGTATCAAAGGAGACAAACTCTCCACAAGCTTGAGAGCTTCTTCTTCTGTGTTGACGATTTGGTTGAAGCAGAAATATCGACCGCAAGCCGAAACATCCTCGAATGCTTTAATATGAACATCCGCTAAAAACTTAACGTCTACGTACGCCAACACACCATTCTCATACATTTGTGCAGCTCCTGTTAACCACAAAAATATAATACCATTTCATCAAATTCAAATCTCGAGTGCATGTATGTTGTTACATTTATGGAATTTCATCGTACCTTTGAGGTAGGACATGGTAGGCCTAGCGTTGTGTTGTGCGACGAATGGTCCGACGATGAGACCAGGGTTGATAGAGACCATGTTGAGCCTACGGTCCATGGCTAATGCCCAAGCTGCTTTCTCTGACAACATCTTTGCCAATGCATGCCACAACTACATCCACGTATAAATTGTACGCACGTGAGTTTGAGAGCTTGTACGTATGAAAAGTGAATAGTAACAAAAATAAAGAGAGGTGTAATAAATTCCTAAAAGTAGCAGCAACAAGAAAAAAAAAAGGTAAAGGAATAGTCTTCGAATTGAAGTCGATGACATACAGCTAAGCTATACACGTTAATGTTGTCCCCGAATCATTTGTTGCATAAGTTAGCTAAGTTCATTTATGATGATCATTAATTTTTTTATTTTATTTTGGTAAACATGGCACCGTCTAATCCAATTGATATAATCATAACAAGCTACTAATAAATCATCTGAATCTAAGATATATATATGCCCTTTAAATTTCCCAAAGGCAAACTATAATCGAATCAAGAGGTTTGTACAATGTATTTACATATGAGTCATAGAAAATGAATATATTCAATTAATCTGACCCCTTAACGAATTTTCTATGTCGCCCAACTAAATGATTCGAGATAGTGTGATAATACATTTGATGAAGACTTATCCTTTGACTATTTAAAAAAAATATACCACAAAATAATTCCTTATATTTTAAATAGTATTTCAAAACTCTTTATTTTTGTATAGTACTGGCTTCCTTCTAGTATATAATATGAGCTATCTACAATAAATAAGATGTCAGAAAATAATAAGTTATTCCAATCCAGCCTATGAACTTTAAATTAATGGGTCCAAATTTATTCACGAAGATTTCACTTAAAACAAATAACGATTAATACTTAATCACCCAAAATTCATAAGATAATAATGAAAAAATACTAAATGATAGATAGATTAAGGAAAGAAAAAAGGAAACCTTTTTGTTGCGACAGAAGTCTTGATCACTCCAACACTTCTCATCAACATCCTTTTGAGTTCCAATGTTGTCTCTCCAAATCGAAGCAGTTAACGAAGAAGAGAACACAATCTTCTCTATGCTCTCTGTTCTTCCACATGCTTCCACCACATTGATCGCTCCTCTCACCTCCAAATCCACCTCCTTCTCCTATATGATTTGATGAATAATGATTGATTAATTAACACTAAATCTCAATCTTAAAAATCTAAAACTGAGAATCTAAAAACAAGACAGAAACGATGATTTTAATGGAGTCACTTTACATCGTATCCTTCAGGGCTATCTAAGCAGCAGAAGACAACGTTACATGTCTTGAGAGAGACAAGTATGCTTTGATAATCCAACACATCAACATCGTACACCACTAATCTCTCTTCTGTTGTTTCCATCTCTCTGACTATCTCCTCAATTTCACTATCCCCTGGATCACCCAAAACAAAAAAGATCGAATCAAGAACCAACAAAGACCTCTTGGTATTCCTCAAAATCATCGGCAAGAAACGAATACCATTTTGCCTCGAAATCATTCGAAAACAAAGTATAAAGAGTAAAGAGAGATCAGAGATACCGTTTCTACGAATAGCTGCGTGAACAGAGTATCCTCTGCTAAGCAATTTCTTGAGAATCCAGAAACCAACGTACGTGGAAGCATCAAGAACGCAGCAACAAGAAGAAGAAGAAGAAGTGGACTTGTCGTGATCCATTTTGTGTGTTTTGCTTTCTGATTAGTGATTAAAGGAGTTAAAACGAAAGCGTGTGTATAAAAGTATGTGAAGGAAGAAGAAGGTTACAAGTAGGAAGAGAGGAGAGGCAAAGTATTAATAGGAGAAAGTTGGGTGATCTATTTTTCTGTTGCACGTTCCCAGCTACTCATCTTTTATTATACCTCTCATCTCATCGTATTTATTGTTTTACACCTAAGTATTTAATTTGTATTATTTCTTAATTAATTTCTTATTTATTCACCTCTCTTAACCAATCTTAATTTAATAGCTTGGTTATCCAATATCCCACAAGTCGATCCCTTATTGGTTTTTGTTTACGTGTTGTCGATTTTTGGAACGTGTGTCTTCTTTCAGAAACACTCCAAAATTAGTATAACCAGCTAATATCAAATTCCAAATTTTCTTATTTTGTTTCTTACTACTAGTGAATAGTACAAATATCTCTACATACATTTTTTCTGATTTAAATGTTTTCTCTGACATCTGTCAATTCTAGAAATAATTATAAACTATATAATGATTGTATTAACAAAAATAACAATTATAAGATGATTTTATTCGAACAATTATGATTATAATAAAATATGAAAGTATAGGATTCGTAGATTATTAAATATAATGTTCATATACAAACTTGAATTCTAAGGAATGGGTTTAGATTCTATGAAATCAAAATTAATTTACAATAATCAACAAATTTTAAATATATATATTTATTTATTTATTTCTTTTAGACAAAGACAAATTTTAATTATATATGGTACATAAAAGGCATATGAAGACTAAGAAAAATAATTAAAATAGTGGAGAAATGAATTAATAAAAATGCTTTTTGTATTTGCTAGAAAATAACTAATTAATTATATCAACAAAAATCTATGCTACACAGTACACACTACATTACCCAAACTGTACACAAAAACTTACAAAGATATTTTTGGTAACAAATCCAAGCTAATTTAGAAATTCCTTTAGCTTGTACAAATAATACCAGAAACTAAAAAAAAAAATCAAAATGTGATATGCGTCGTCATATTGTATACCACGATCTAGATATGTCAACAAAATCTCATCGAACAATAATTAAAAAAATTAAGTGATGGTAAATTGTGAATTTCAGTTCAAAAATAATTAAACCAGTACAATATTAATAAAACTGCTGAAAACTCTCCTGATGTTGTTAGATATGAGCATATTATTATAATAAGAAAATCCGAATATAAAAATGAAAGTTGGAATTAGAAAGATGTTGTTAGGTTTGAGAATGCCAGAATGGAACAAACTTGAGTCACATAAGCAAAACTCACACACAAAGGTAGCTTCTAAGTAGATAACTATAAATTTAAAGATTGTTAAAAGAAAATAACAACAACAAAGACGAGAATGAATAAATAATAAAGAAGCAAAACAGCGAAAGGGCCCTGGACGTAAAGTAGTTAGCAGTTAGTAGGTAGAGATTGTGGTGGGATGAGAATTTACGTGGGCAAGTTTCACCACAAGCCTGTCACACACAACAACCAAGCTAGTCTACCCAACGTTCTCTAAACTCTTATATTTGTGCTTTATAATCATCTTTTAGTAGGTAATTTACTCCAAAAATGTGTTCCACATACACAAACTGCGTAAATTAACGAAAAGTTTTGATCGTAGCTAGGAAGATCTAAAGATAACGTAAAATACTATGGAGACAATTTTATTGATTGGTACGTGTTTTAATGTGAATGAACTTATTAGTTACAAAATTAGGTTACATACATGATCTATGTTAGGTCTAGATAACATCTACGGTCACTCCAATAGTGAGTGATGATTGAGTAATGCGGGCGGCTTTATATAATTATAAATGTGCATTTAATTCAGCAAGTTTGCAAACAAGTTGTTTTTATTTTCTCTGTATGGGTTTAGTTTAGCCATTCGGTTGCGAAGTTGGGATTGAGCTGTGTTTGATTATTCTGGTTCTTAAATGTTTATGACATACAATACAAAATGATTCAACCATTTTGATTTGATATTTCTTTTATTGATGATGATGAGAGAAGAAAACGATTCAATACTTATTTGGCCCCTGCTGAATTTATTTCTTTTCTAGGTCAACCTCTGTTTTATTTTTTTTTATCAATAAGACTAAAACTAAAGAAAAAAAAAAAAAAAAAACTTTTGTGTGGCTGACGATGGACGAAACATGGAACCTAGGGGACCAAACCTGCGTGTCAACGTGGAACTGGAAAAGTGAAAAGGGATGAGAAGACACGTGTCATATGTTTCAGATGTTTTCGTATTTTTGCCCCACAGCACAGATGATGAACACTGCGTGTCGCTCTGAACAAAGAAAATACTTTGCGTGAAAAAACTCAAAACTGGTTAACGCTCGGCTCATCATATACATTATTACCAATCAATTTCAATGCTCAATGAAATAATGAATGAACTAAAGTAACTATGAGCCACGTGTTTATTAACAAGGATCATATATATAATTTAATAAAGTGTTTGGACTTTGGATTCCTTCTTTTGAGTTCAGTAAAGTTTACTTGCGTCGCTCACCTAATTCGATTAAATAATAACCCCTCTCATATAAGAATACAAATATAAAATAGCTAGATTGATTTTTGAGGATAATTATGACAATACTAGTCAATGGTTAACTAATTATATATATATAGTTGCATATCATAATATGAAAGTGACTTCGAAGTGAGGGGTTTACTTTGAAGACTAAGAGATTATAAGACATACGACGACATCTTTCTGGTTATGTGCGTAGCTGGAGGGTTTCATAGATATCGCTTTGAATGGGATGCTAAATAGTTAAGTGAACGTACTTGTTGAGTTTTAGATAATATTTTAGAAGAAGATTGAGAAAGTCGTACAAGTCCTGATAAGTGACCAAGAGACTCGCCAATAAGGTAAGAAAGTTGTTTAAGCAACAAAATCCTTTGATCGAGTAAATATCTCTTGCAAAATATATTATTGTGTACCAAACTGGTTTAAGGCTTTGGTTAACAATATACCAAACTATGTCTATTGCCGTGTTTTTGTTTCAACATTACAAAATCCTCGTTTTTGTTTCAACATTATTCAGCCCAAATTTCTTTGGGTCAAGTCCATTAATGACTCTCTTTTTATGATTCGAGTCTTTCACGGTACAGAGAATTTTAAGTAATTAATTGACTACAAAGTTTAATTGCGATTTTACATGGCATAAAGGTGGATTTCACAAGTTTCGTATATTTCTAAACCGTAGAGACATTGAAAATCCCAAAAGGTTGTGTAATGTATGTATTTGGGAGGTCAGAGCAAAAGAAGATGAAAAACCGATTTGTCGTATAAGAAGAGATAACAGACCTGTATTGGTGTTTTGATTAGGTAAAATAAACTCGAAGTAGTTATATAAAAGAAAAAGCTTAATTAGTATAATATAGTATATATCTATATATATATATATATATATCATGTATATTTTATGTAAGTTTTAAGATATAGGATGTTTAAGATATTTTCTTTTGTTTCATTATATCAAAAATATAATTTTTAATGCAAATTCAGTATTCAATATTCAATACAATAATATTGATATTCTATAGTATTTTCTGCGACTGATTGAATCTCTTAAAATTACAATGTTAATAATATTATGAAAAATGACTTTTAATATACGTGCTTTTTCTTACTAATATGCTGAAAATAAATAGTCATATATCTGTAAAATATATCTTACAAAAAACAGTAGTTCAAGTTATATCTTATAAATGAAATGTTATATAAAGCCTATTTTAGAAAAAAAAAAAAAAACTACCAAAATAACTCTAAAAAAAATAAAATTAGATGCATGAAACCGAGCTACGAAAAAGAGAGAGATAGTGGATCAGACACAGAAGGACTGTTCATTGCAACGTTGTACATTTTTGCATCCACATATCTATTTTCGTGCGGAAAATCAATCATTACACGTTTACCATTTTCTTCTTGATCTCTATCTTCGTCTTGTATGTAAAACAATACTAGAGTGTGAGGACGGCAAAATGAAGTTTCTAGTTGAAACAGTAAGAACACAAAAAGTATTATCCTCGTTGTCAAACAAACAAAAAAGTTTATCCTTGTAATTAGACTTTGACATTGTAGTTGCGATAGGTCCATGTTTATAAAATAATAATATCCTATTTTAAGTTGGTCAAACGTATTGCAAGCTTATATGTCTCTTATATACTAGAACCTTCAGTTTTTGAATATTTTTTAATGTTAATAGTTAATCTATATTTATATGTCACTACGCGAATGTTTTAATACATATCCATAAGTATGCATAATCAATACTACCATTATGAGATGGACTCAACTTTTGACTTGTAGGATTTTCACTACCATATTAATTAATATGCCCTGGAACGCCTATAAATACACTCAACATATTGTATCATATTCATCAAGAACACTGCAAAAGCACTCTAAATTAGGGGGGAAATAAACATTACCATACAAACAAAAAATAACTATGTCTCTGAGTAACTCATCATCACTTATTCTAATAACTTTGATATTGGCCACATCTGTCCTAGTCTCCGAGAGCCGGGTCGCAAGAAAAGACTTGGGTTTGGACCTTGGCGGGATAGGTGCTGGTCTTGGTATTGGTATAGGCATCGGTGGAGGAGGATCCGGATCCGGTGCTGGTGCCGGATCTGGCTCTGGAGGAGGTGGGTCAAGCTCGTCTTCCTCATCTAGCTCGAGCAGTTCTTCGAGCTCCGGTGGTGGTGGTGGTGATGCGGGATCCGAAGCAGGATCATACGCCGGATCACGTGCCGGGTCTGGTTCGGGAGGACGTTCCGGGTCAGGCCGTGGAAAAGGAAATGGAGGAGGAGGGGGTCACGGTGGAGGAGGAGGAGGAGGAGGGGGTACAGGTGGAGGAGGTGGATCCGGTAACGGAGGAGGGTACGGTGAAGGCGGTGGATATGGTGGAGGATACGGGGGTGGCGAAGACTGAACGAAGAATATCGCATGCATGCAATATTACATCTGTTCAATATTGTGTTTTATACGTAATTATATTATGTTATTGGTATGAAAAAAATAAAGTGCTAGAAAAGTAAATTTTCTAAAAGTGGGTGGGTAAAGGAGATGGAAAAGGATTCTTATTATGTGCTTGGTTAAATTATGTACTCTTCCTTCTTGGCGTTGTAGATGTTTTACTTTTGTACTATAAGTTGTAATTTCCCAATTTGATAGTTGAAAAAAATAAATGTCACGTATTTGGATTTCCCAGTTTGTTTGTAAATTAAACATGTGAAAGAGCAAACACGATTTCGGATTCGTCGTTCAGCTGAACATACAACAAAGACATCAACCAAACAAAAGCCTTTTCCCCTTTAAAAAAAAAAATATAAAAAAAAAGACATCAACCAAACAAAGTTGATATCATTAACAGTTTAACACAATTCAGCTCCGTTTTTATTCTTTTTTCTTGAGCACCAATTTGCATTTTTTTTTTTAAATGTCATGTATCACGTTCAATTCATATATATATACAAAGAAACCAATCAGTAATATACATAATTTAGATATGTATTATCTGCGTACGAAGTGATAACTTAAGACAACTTTTTTTAAGTTGGGTTTAAAGTTTAAACTCAAGCATAAGATTTAGTAGTCGTTTACAGTTAATGGATTTAACTAAGCAAACGTGTTTGTATTGGCTTATATTATATGTTATATATCAATATCCATATATATTGAAAAATGAAATTTTAAGACTAGGACTCAATTTTAGATCCAAAGAATTAATCAGTGTGATCGTTATCATAATTAAAATTATAACATATACAAACTTACAATTAGTTGAAAGTTAAACCAATGATTCGAATAACCGTACGTGTGTATTTTACACAACATTTCTAAAATTTTAAAAACTAAACATGGATTTGAAAAGAAAAAAGAAGAAAAAAGACAAGAATATAATTATGTTTAAACTTATCAATAAGTATTGGTGTCAGTAAAATTGTGCAAGTACGTGACAGCTTCTCTTAAGGAAAAAAAAACGAATTCAATGACTTTTATATTCTACACGAGGATTGAACATTATGGGTCATTCTCATTCGTAGCAATAAAAACATAACCAAATGTGAACGTATAGTTTCGATCTTTCTCGAACAATGATTTAAGCACGTGTCATAGGTTGTATAAATAATTCATAGTGGAACCATAGATTAGTGACCATACATTATATGAGTGATTGGTTTCAGCGTGCATAATCCACTACCACGCTCCCACTCAATTTAGTGGACCGTCGACTCTGGTGGGTTTGGTAGCAGCATAAAGATAATGCACACATCACCTGCATCCACATTTTAAAAATATGCACTTGCGAGTTCTATTGCCTTGAAATTTTCGAGTAGAATTAAACTAAAGTGAGTTAATAATGCTCTTATTATGCATGCAGCATGCATTTTGGATAAAATCATTATACGACCTCTGATAGCTGATTTGCGGGTTTGGTGTAAAACTGTGATATATAATGACGTAGTGAAACCTCCATTATTGTCACTAAAAAGATTTTCTTACTTCTTCATCTGTTGTTCTAAACTTTTAATAAACCTTGCGAATCAAGATATTTAAAAAAAAAAGAAGATATATTATTTTACATAATTTGTAATTCATCACACCTCGGAATTCAACTTAATTCATATATATTTGCATATTCGTGATCAAAACGTATACTTAAGTAATAGATAGAAGTTAAACATGTTTAACTAGTATTCGTGGTTCTTTAATTAATGTAAGTATGAGTAAACTATAGCAAAACGGATTTGTATATGATATTGTTAGGTTAATTTATATTTGGTGATATACACGTAAAGGCTTACACACTATCCCAAAGCTTCTATAAATACACGAACATGTCATTCTCTTGTGCATCTAATTAATCAATTTACACTATAAACTCAAACATATCGGTTGGCAAGTCTTTACAGACGAAGATTTCCAAAATGGCTAGGACTCAAGGTCTATTTCTTCTTGGTTTATTAGTTATCTCAAGTTTGGTTATGTTAACCGAGAGCCGAGTCGCAAGAAAAGATTTGGGGCTTGACCTAGGTGGTATTGGAATCGGTTTAGGCGTTGGATTGGGGATTGGTCTTGGCGGCGGATCGGGATCCGGTGCTGGTGCAGGTTCTGGATCAGGTTCGGGTTCAAGATCATCATCTAGCTCTAGCTCGTCATCAAGTTCGAGTTCTAATGGTTCAGGTGGCTCAGCTGGTTCATCTGCTGGTTCATTTGCTGGATCCAGAGCTGGATCAGGATCTGGTAACTAAACTATAAAATGCAATAAATTTCCTACTTAAAGTGTGACACTATAAGGTATTAATGTTTTATGTTGTTGGTTTGTCGTAAGTAATATCGCATGTCCTAAGGAAAGGGATGAATAAATTGTCGCCATAAGTGATGTTTGTTTGAGTGTGTCCTAGCTTTTAATTAGCTAGTCATGTATTTCACCCAAAACAAAATTCTTCCTTAGCCGGCCGTAGAATCTCGTTAGATTTGGATCAGAGCATGTGCAAATCCATCGTACATTGGTAATTATAATTTAAGAATAATCTTCAAATAAGAAAACAACTTTCTAAAGATTTTATAAAAATAAAACTAGTGAGCCATATATATACGTGACCATGCAGATTATAGTAACTGGATGAATATACGAACAGATTTTGATATCAAATACGAACTGAGATAATCATATATTGCTGAACACTCAAATTAAAGGTGTTTTCAAATAGAATCCATTGTTGGCTCGTTTACGAAAGAGAGTATCATGTTTTTGTTGAAAAGTTTGGACTTCTTCTTTACAATCAAAAAGGAGGATTTTGTTTTATTTAATTTTTGTGAATTTGCTATCTACATTGAATAAAACTTTATATTTAATCGAGTTAGTGCACCCAATGATGATCGTATATGTATTACACCAAACTGGTAAACATCTGTTACTCGAAGGCTTTACACCAAACAGGCAATCTCAGTGTAATTTGGCCTCACTAGGTACATCATCTTGTTCCGCAAAACCTAACCCAATGATTGAAGTGTTAAAAACTATCCTAATGTTTGGTATTATTAAACTCAAAATATTCATATAATAAATGAAGCAATGCATATAGGACTTAAGCACTACTGGTAGCTTGAAGACAAAGATACAAACAATGCTATTGTATTTACATGTACTAATTATATAGACGTGATGGACCCTAATTGTTCACTCCCATTTAAATATAGAAAAATATAATTTGTAAGTCAAGCAAGATCTCTCGCAAATCATTTCTTTCCCAAAAATACAATTTGAGTCTGGAAACAAAGAATCTTTCTGAATAAACAAGGGAAAAAATGTTAAAAAGGAAAAACAAAAATGAAATAATAGCTAGAGTCATCATTTCATTTACAGAGTAAAACTCGATTTTATCAACTTAATTCACGCGTTTGTAACATAATCTCTTACCCGAAACATACATACTACAATATCTTTTTTTCCTACCAATATACTATGAGATAGGAATCTGTCTTAGACCAACATTATAGGGCAGATCTTAGTAGATCTTAAGGTTTATTTGGGTTTTAATTAAATCATAAATACACAAAACTGAGGAAGAATCGATCTTGTATAAGATCGAAAAGGAGGTATAAGAAGCGCAAACGTGTCAGCGTCTGATTGGTTATACTAATAAATATATAAGCTAAAAAAAATCATTTATCATAATTTTTCTTCTTTTTTCTTTCTCTCTCTCTCGTTCGCAAAAGAAGAAGCAGAAGCGATTTGGGCGATTCATGTAATTCGGTATGAATCCGCCGGAATCAATCATCTTCGGCCGTCGTCCCGTCATCCTGAAGAACTCCAGCGATCCTTCGCCATCCTTCTTCTTCCTTTACTCCGTTACGTCTCCTTTTTCACATAGTTCGCTCTTTGTTGATCTTTCGATTTCATGCTTAGTTAGGGTTTGTACTAGTCTTAGGGTTTTGAGTTACTTTACTTGTCCGATTCACACACAAAGAAAAGCTTGACTTTTTTGCGGTTATTGTGTTTCGTTGATCTTGTATAACTTGGCTGTTCTGTTTGATTCAGTACTTGAATGCTACTAAATTTAGACGATTTGGTTTATAGAGTGTGTTGGAGAGGGTTGCAGTGATTTGGATTTTGATGAGGTTTGTTTTGTAGTGTTGTGGCCTCTGTTGGCTTTTGAGAAGAAGCATCTCATTAATTGCATTGTTCTATCCATCTTCACTCTCTCCATTTCCTTCTCTGTGGGGATTTGCTGCTCTCTTTCCAAAGTTATGGATAGATACAGAGATATCATGCATACTTGGTCTGCTTCTAGTGTTGGAGTGCTGATAAAATACATATTGTCTCAGATCCACTTGCCGCTTGTTGCCTTGGATTGTTCTCTGTTTGAAATAATAAACCAACATTGGATAATGGTATTGCATCTAGATCTTTGTTTCTGATGTAGCCTTGGTGTGTTCTGACTTCTGAGTACTGTTCTCAAGATCATAATAGTTGAAATATGGTGAATCATGGAAAAGAGTAACATGGCATGAGATGATTCTTGCTTTTATCAAGAAACTTGTAAAGTTGGCTCTGTTTCTATAACTAGAGTTGCACACTTGCACCATTTACTACAAAAGAACAATGTGATCTGATTAATGGTTAGAATCTAATTCTATACTCTCTTGTGAAAAGCAGGGAGGATTGTTATGGAGGCTGCAATTCTCACAGCTGCGATGGTCTTTGGGCTAACGATCTACACCTTCTGGGCAGTAAAGAGAGGTCATGATTTCTTCTTTCTCGGACCATTCCTCTTTGGTGCACTCCTCATTAACCGATGAAACAGATGCAGCTATTCCACCCTCTAGGGAAGCTATCATAGATGATATTCAGCGGATTAGCTTCAATCGTGTTCTGCGGATACATCATCTATGATACGAACCAGCTGATCAAGAAACTCAACTACAACGAGTATATCCATGCTGCCATTCGTCTCTACATGGACGTCATCAATCTCCTCTGCATCATGAGCAACGGCCAGTGACATGTGATTCATCTTGTCTAGTGGTGTCCTTAATAGCCTACTAATTCTAGACGTAGATTTATTGAATATTAAGAAGACAATATAGATGTATCGTGACTTGTGAGTGTTTATTGCTTAACAATACCAAACATTTTTCACAAGCAGATTAGTATAGCATGTGATAAAAGATCCTCAATGATATAGAATATATTTGTTTTCTAAGTCTGGTTAATAGATATATTTCAACAGTAATATATATCTATTACTTCCAACTTTATATTTTTTATACAAAATAACACAAACAACAACAACAAAAATTAATAATATTAAGTTTAAAATCAAGTTTAAAAATATTGTACTTTATCTTATAATTTATATCTTATGTATGTTTTCAAATTCTAAATTTGCAATAATTATAAGATTTTCATAAATTACAAATTACAAATTTATTTAATTTTTTAAAAAATTATTATTTTCTAAGATACCCAACTTAAGATCCTACCTATAATCACATCACAAAACTAAAAACAAAATTAAAACTCTTAAACTCTACTTTTTAAAATTTAATACTAAATTTATGCTAAGATACCCTAATTAAAATGCTACCTATAATGATGCTCTTATATTCAAATAATGATATACCGTAATAAAATATTAGGAATAATATTTTCTTTAAAAAAAGAGGAATACTATCAAGAAAACAAAAAATAAGGAAAAGCACCGTCCAAAGTTACTTACTGTGTATCACCGGTATTATACGCCTATACGGTCTGACGAAAGACGAAAGCCTTCCCGATAGTTCCGGTTTCCGGTGAGCGGTGACCCATCCCTTGTCTTATCTATGGTGAAACCGCGACTTGGGGAAGCGGTAATTGTTTTATAGATGATGATGGATTCGTAGAAACGGCACGCAGTTTTCTTTTATAAAACATGTCAGTCATTCTCTCATCGCTTTCCCAAAACAGCCAATGGTGAATGCTGTGGTCCGCACGTCCTCCTCCTCCTCCACATTATCCTGTTTCAATATTACTTTTATTATTATTTTATTTTATCATCCCAAGCAAACTAAAACACTCTTAGCTTAATTACTAGTAAAAAACGATTACACATTTATACTATTAAATATACTTAACACGTCTTTCTACTGAACTTGACCAAGTGCGGACCAGTCGACAAAATCATACAAAGATATCACTACTATAATTTAGTAATTTACTTCACTAATCAAAGTAATAACAAATCAGCATATCTTTTTATCTTCTTATTGCTATCTGAATTTATTCGAACCCCACACTGCTCTAAATGTATACATCATACATCATACTCACAAGAATTACAACTTATTCATAGAAAATTGTAAATGCCACCGATTATATTTTTTCTTTTTGCTTTTTTTTTTTCTATGCTATGTGAATGTAGTTTGAAGATAAATATACACACTTTTTATTTTGTTATCCACGGACCAAGCCTTGCGATACGGACTCTGTTTTATAAGAGCCATCCTTTATAAAAAAAAAAAAGGAACACACCACAGCCGCGATGACATCACCTAGGCAATCAGCATGTGGTCTTTATGAAGAAGTTTAGACAAAATTAGTTGTAAGTCGGTCGCACGTTCTTGTTTACAAATTTTGTAATCAAACTTTAATCAGAGATAACCATGTGTGTTAAATTGTTGAATGAGTTAAATGCTAGTATTATTCGACGCTTTCACATTTATGTATCATTTTTAATCTTTTTCAAATTGTGTATAGAGAATACAAAATTTTACCAATCGTAACAAAAAGAATACATATAAAGAAAATATAAATGCTAACTAAATACAGTAGTAGTATGGTCAAGTGAATCAGATCACAAGGTCGTTTGTCTTTATTTCTTTTCTCTCCATTCATACATTCAATTTTGGTGCTTGATAGTTGTTTTTGTTAAATACCTCCGTGAATTGCGGTAAATTGGTGAAATAAAGATTACGGTGCATTTAGCATTTATCCACTTTTTTAATAATAATTAATTAGTAGTATGACCATTTTTTTTTTCCTTTCTGTAAACAAAATAATTAGGATTTTTTTTTTTAATATTGTAAAGAAAAAAGAAATGGTTTTGTTAGGAAAGAAAAAAGAAATGACAATCTGGCAATCAAAATAACGCGTCTCCTTGTCCCCTAACCCCAACCTGTATATATACTTCTCCGTCTCTTCCTCTTCTCCTTAGCAGATGCTTTTTGTTTAACCAACAAAAAAAAAAAAAAAAAAATTAAAAATCTGCATCTGCCTTCTTCTTTCTTCTTCTTCTATATCTGTTTTACCCCTAATTGTTTCGATACATTTTTGTTAGGAAGAGAAAAAAAAAAAAAAAAAATTTGTTAAAGAAGAAGAAGGGTAAAGGTTTCATTTGTTGATTATGCCTTCAATAGAAGATGAGCTGTTTCCGTCAACGCCGGGTAAATTCAAAATTGACCGGTCTAACCGTCAGCTCCACCGTTGTTTCGCTTCGACGAGCACCATGTTCCTCTGGGCTCTCTTCCTCATCGCTCTCACCGCTTCTTACTTGAGTTTCCAGAGCTTCGTCGATTCCGGCAGCCGCTACCTTACCGCTTCCTGGGGAGGCATCCAGTGGGAGAAACAGGTTCGCACCTCCGCTCAGATCCATCGCTCCGGCGGTATCTCCGTCCTCGTTACCGGCGCTACCGGTTTCGTCGGCAGCCACGTTTCTCTCGCGCTCAGGAAACGAGGCGACGGCGTCGTTGGACTTGATAATTTCAACAATTACTACGATCCTTCGCTGAAACGCGCCCGCAGATCTCTCTTGTCGTCCAGAGGGATCTTCGTCGTCGAAGGAGATCTCAACGACGCCAAGCTCTTGGCCAAGCTCTTCGATGTCGTTGCTTTCACTCACGTTATGCATCTCGCTGCTCAGGCCGGAGTTAGGTACGCTTTGGAGAATCCTCAATCCTATGTTCACAGCAACATCGCCGGACTTGTCAATCTCCTCGAGATTTGCAAAGCGGCGAACCCTCAGCCGGCGATTGTCTGGGCCTCGTCGAGCTCCGTCTACGGCCTCAACGAGAAAGTTCCGTTCTCCGAGTCAGACCGTACAGATCAACCGGCGAGTCTCTACGCCGCAACTAAAAAAGCCGGCGAAGAAATCACCCACACTTACAACCACATTTACGGTCTTGCCATTACCGGTTTGAGATTCTTCACGGTTTACGGACCCTGGGGTAGACCGGACATGGCTTACTTCTCGTTCACCAGAAACATACTACAAGGTAAACCGATCACAATATACCGGGGGAAAAACCGGGTCGATCTAGCCCGGGATTTCACATACATCGACGATATAGTTAGAGGCTGCTTAGGATCTCTGGATTCGTCGGGTAAGAGCACCGGGTCGGGTGGGAAAAAACGTGGAACAGCGCCGTACCGGATCTTCAACCTGGGAAACACGTCACCGGTGACGGTGCCGATCCTGGTGGATATATTGGAGAAGCATCTGAAGGTGAAGGCGAAGAGGAACTTCGTGGAGATGCCAGGAAACGGCGACGTACCGTTCACACATGCGAATATAAGCTCAGCCCGAAACGAATTCGGGTATAAACCGACAACCGATTTGGAAACCGGGTTGAAGAAGTTCGTTAGATGGTATCTTTCTTATTACGGATACAATACTAAAGCCAAGCTTGTACATTAACCGTGACATTATTATTATTATTATTAATTTTTAATGAATTTTTTGTTTCTTCTTCATACTTTAATCTTCTACATTAGCATTATTATGTGATTCGTTCTTTAGGATAACTTTCTGATGAAATTTTTCAAAAAATATTCGTTTCTCTTGAGACAAGAAAAGAAAAAAGAACAACACCGTATCATTCATTATTAGTGTTAATCGTGATTGTTAATACAAGTAGTAATTTGCTGTAACAAATGAGTAGGAATATATATATATATATATATATATATATATATATGTATACTATCTCTCGACAGCTGGGGAGAGTGTGACAGCAGAGGAAAGTTTAATATATATGGAAGTGGTGACTGGTGAGTGGGGACTGCGACGACGAGACTTGATAGATATTATAAAAAGGTGTACGGTGACCGTTGGATCCGCTGAGGAATTTAATTGAAGGAGTCGTAATCTAACGGTCCAGCTGTGATGTACTCAATGCCACGTTATCTTCTCCACCGACAGTACAGAGTACTTACTAATCTTAATGCTCTCCACTAATTATTATCATTTTGTGTTTAAGCAAAGAGAGGAAAGGCTGTAGAAGTTTCCTTTTCCATAATATATTAGAAGTATCATTTTTCTCAATACGTGAAATTTGTATTTTTTTTTAATTTTTTTTTCTTAAAGATTACGGATGATAGAAGAATATGCATAACTCTAGAAACTAGTCATCATATTTATATGACATTCTTTTACATGTCTACTATCCAAAACCAAAGATTAAAATTTTCCTTAAAGTAAATCTTTCGTGTGTGTATGTGTTTTTTGTTCTTTGCCCACCCGCCAATCACATTTTTGTCCATCAAATGGTGGTTCAATGTGTTGAAAACAAGTACATATAACATAATTTAAGAATGATACAAACTTTTTTTGTAATATTTGGTTGTTAGAAAAGCCAAAACAGATACATAAAGTTGTCAAATGTTAATTTAAAAAAAAAAAAACTTATCACGGGATGTAATATTTGTGTTACCTTTTCTGAACCGAGGAAAGTAAGCCCGTTCGGTTTGGTTTAGAAAAGCCAAAATAGCTTGGGTCTATTCTTGGGTCTAAAATCTAGATGAGATGTGTAGATAGTTAATAGAAAACCAGTACTGTAGTTGTATTGAAGATTGTTTTTGGGGTTTTTGCATTGCTATATTTTAGTTGCTATTTATATATATATTCTTGTATTGTTAAGTTTTGGTTCTTTGAATTTTGAGTTTATGGATATAGAAGAAGCAGAGAGGATGTTTTGGTAATACATTTGTCATAGTAGGGACTACGGTCACGTTGTTTACGTTCGTTTTTTTAATGGGTCTCTCTATGATATTTTTCTGTAACATATATCCAACTTGTATACGTATTATATTCTATGTTTCTCAGTATATGAAGATCAAGATTGTACCAAAAGCTCAAGCATCTCTTGACGTGTCTATAGTTGGGAATGGGATTATAGTGTAACACGTCGCATATATATTTTTCTATAATCACAATGTTTCGAATCACTTGCAAAAAGGAAATACGTGTGGAGAACACGCGACAACGATCAGCTCATTTCACACGTTAAGTTTATGTATGGTATGTGACACAATGTCGATGATACCCACTCAAACGAATTTGCGGAGATTGTGATCATCGAAAAAATCAAAAGGAAAGAGATCCGTAAGAACAAATAACTTAAGATTTTTGTATCAATTAAAAATCTGTAAATCCTTAAAACTAAATTACTCCGATCGTTCAAGCGCGTGAGAGTTACTGAGATATTCCTTAAAAGGTATATTACTCAAAACTCAAAACGTTTTGAAACTGATACATCCTCTGACGAAGAAGAGACAATTAGTAGTACTCGTCGTGTAATCATATAAGGTAATAACGAGACTTCTTTGCACACATCTCTTCATCTTCCACTACGCGTTTCACTTTCATTGCTTTATAAATCCGAGGTCGCCCTTCTTAATCTAATCACACACAGATCCCTTAATTTCTATAGGTTTCTCCAAATCTTTCGACTCTTCTTCAATCATCACCATGGTACGTTTTACCAACACCCTCGTAGGAATACTCAACTTCTTCGTCTTCCTCTTCTCGATCCCGATACTCGCATCCGGGATCATGCTCAGCGTTGAAGGCTCGACGCAATGCGAGCGGTTCCTCGACAAACCCATGATTGCACTCGGCGCATTCCTCATGATAGTCTCAATCGCTGGAGTCGTGGGATCTTGCTGCAGAGTGACGTGGCTCCTCTGGTTCTATCTCTTTGTGATGTTCTTCTTGATCATCATTGTGCTCTGTTTCACCGTCTTTGCCTTTGTTGTCACTAGTAAAGGATCCGGCGAAACTATCCCCGGAAAGGCTTATAAAGAGTACAGGCTTGAGGCTTACTCTGATTGGTTGCAGAAGCGTGTGAACAACGCTAAACATTGGAACACCATCAGCAGCTGTCTCTACGAGACCAAATTGTGTGCTAACTTCCCTGTTCGTGAGCCTGATTCTGCTTTCTTCAAAGAACATCTCACTTCTCTTGAGGTAACCAGTTTTGAAACTCCTTTAGTCCAAATTATTTAGAGGTTGAGAAACCAAAAGCTAGATTTCAAGGGCTGGCTCAAAGGTTGTCTTTTTTAGGGTTTTGGTCTGATCCTTTTCGTATACATCACCATTTTCTACACAATTGACGATCCCGTGACAATATCATTTTTCTTACTAAATTACAAATTATGAGTCTAAAAGATTTGATGGCTAGTGTTTTCAAGCCTGACCTTTTTCGTTTGGATGATGAGTTTATTGTTTGTTTTGTTTACAGTCTGGTTGCTGCAAGCCTTCTAATGACTGTAACTTCTTCTACATAAGCCCAACGACTTGGAACAAAACGTCAGGAACACATCAAAACTCAGACTGTCAACTTTGGGACAACCAGAAGGAGAAGCTATGCTACAATTGCCAAGCCTGCAAGGCCGGTTTTCTAGACAGCCTCAACAGCTCATGGAAAAGGACTGCCACTGTCAACATTGTCTCTCTTATAATCCTCATTGTAGTCTACGGTTTGGGATGTTGCGCCTTCCGAAACAACAAGCGAGAAGAGAGTTATGCCCGTTCCTGTGGCTTTAACCATCCTTGATTTCTCCCTGTCTGTTTTTCTCTTCTAATTTGCGCTAGGCGTATGTTACTCTTGTTTTAAGCTTGACTTTGATTTTTTCATTAATAAATCATATTACGTACGTTTATTAGAGCAAAACAGCTTTCAAAATTTAAGAAACAGAAGAATGGAAGAATCTTGAATTAGTTTAGTTGTTGATGTGTTTGAATTTCTTCTATTGAGTTGTGTTTGGACAGAAGAGGATTCTTCAGGTCTCTGTTACAGATTGTTTTGTTTGAAGAATCTTCGATATGAATCTTCACTTCTGATTTCTGATCATTTTCTCTGATCTGTTCTTGATTCATCATGACATCTTTTGCTTTGCCCCAGAGAACTGTGTATAGTCCCATTATCACCCCTAATCCTCCGATTAGGCTATTCCAAAAGATCAAGAAGATAAAACAGATTATGTTTATGGATTGTAGTTATCTTAAGTTTTCCTTATAGAGTATTAAGTCTCTTACCTTCCAGTGTATATCTCTTCTTGAAAGAACAGAGCAGCCAAGATTGTGACAATGACTGTACAAAGAGGGTTAAAAAGTGCAGAGAACACAGGACCTCTCTTTGATATAGCCCAAGCTTGGACAGTAAATGAAAGTGCCGACGCCCCAATTCCCTTTCAAAGGCATGTCATGATTAGATATCTTTGGATTTAATAAACAAATAACAGAGAAATGTTGTATGTGCGTACTGCATAGAGACATGTGGCAAACTCGGAGTAGGAATGAAGAATCCAGGCGTTTGAATCCTTCTCCAGGAAGAAAGTGACGACCGCACATTGTATTGTTCCGAATAAACACATCCATGCTGATAAAGAGAGGTTATCCGGGTAGTAGGTAGAGATCGGTACCTAGGGTTTTGTTGAAACAAAAGTTGACTTTCCTTCTAAGACAAGAAACTTTACCAAAAACCACAAGTGTGATGATCTTTGATTTGTTTAATAAAGTGTACCTGAAGAATAAGCCAAAAGGACCAGCAAAGAGTGCTAGAGAACAAGAACAAACAACCAATCAACCACATGTTCTGGTCTTTAAGAATATTTCCCAATACCGATTTAGCAAGTGGTAAAGCTGATTCTGAGTTGAGAATCTTTGGTCCACGAAGCAGAGTCATGGAAACGGCTCCTACTACACAGAGAATTGTCCCTGCAATCTTGGCTAAGCTTCTTATATCCCGGAGATTCAGTTTCTCGTATCTAAAGATCATAAATAATTAGTACCACACATCAATCTTGTTTTCACAATTTCCATATGTAAGTGTAGACTATATGCATATATACCCGGCGAGAAATGAGATGAGGAAGGTGATTGCAGGAATGATGTTACCAACGGCACTTCCCATGGACGATGAAGTTAAATAAAGACCTTCAAGGTACAGATTTTGATTTACTGTAATGCTGCAAACAAATAATAAGAATAAGTCCAAATTCATCTAACTGGAGTTCCTAATAAGTAATAAAATTAAAATTTGTACATATACACTTACCCTATAAGCGAGACCAAAAATATTAAAGAAAAGCTCCTTAGATCCAAAGATGATATAGCTATCTCTGATTTTCTCCTATCACATATGTCAAAAGTTAGAAATCAACAATGTATATGTGAATCAATACTCAAAATACAAATTCACATTGTCATTTTATTAGGAGATATAGATAAAGGTGATTTTGAAGAAAGTAAAACTTAAAAATTCACATTTCCATTTAGAAGAGAGGGATGAATAATTCAATTAAAATTACCTTGAAAAGTAAAGAAATGGGAAGATGAAAATGGTTGCAAAGGCTTGCCTATAGAGGATAAAAACGCGAGGGCTTAATCCATTAACCAAAGTAGCTCTTCCAAAAAGAGTCACTCCTGCATAACACAGTTGGATCATCGTCATTGCCATTTCTGGCTTGTACTCCTCCATCTTCCCCATCTCTTCTCTCTCTCTGTCTCTGATCTCCTCGTGAATCTTACTTTTGCTCTCAGTGTTCTCTATATATTTTCATGTTATGTGTATCGCTGTTTATATTGCTAGGAAGATGTTGTCAATTAATTGTGCAAACTATATATTAAACATCATCATCCAATAGTTAATCATATATGCTTAGCGAATAATGTTATATTCGGTTGGCCAATACGTACTTCTTTGTCATATTGTGGTTTTGAATATTCATTTGGTTAAATTTTGGTCGAAGTTGGATGTACTCGACTCGACGTCGTCTCATCTTATTGTTTTGGGAGAGAACAAGTCCTTTACGAAATCAATGAATCTCTACATTTCACTTTGTTTTAATACCACTAGCATCCGTGATTTGTTAATCAAAACCATTGGCTACTTGAAACTGTCTACATCATTCAAGTAAACTACAGTTACTTTTTTGCTAATGTAAATTTTAATAACATGGCACATTTGTTAATGATTATATCTGTAGGCACCATTTAAAACCTTATAGTTTTCCTGTATAGTGGATTCTAGTACAAGAGATCTGATCATCTTAACATGAAAGCTCTTCCCCACACTTGGTCTTAGTGCAGACGAGTGAGTCCATGAGTGATGACTAGGTTCTTGTTTTTTTAATCGTATTTTTGTTTGATCAATCGAATTATTAATACTTGTACCAAAGTGCAGGCACTTATATAATATTATCGATCTAATGAGAATATCTGTTTCTATACACAGATCTAGAAGATGAACTAAAAATAACATTGAAATGCAATCGTAAGGATACCCCAACTGGCCCTCAATTAATATTCTTCTTAAACTTCGTTTTGTTAAATTTGGTGAAATCTATTAACAGTGACATTAATTAATATCATTTTATACTTAAAAAACAATGGCATGATTTAAGGAACACAGTGCCTCTTTGTCGAGGGTTCCTGCAAATGATAAATATTTAGATGCTAAAAGACCTTCTTCTGCTCTTGATCCTTTGTATCATACTTTACCTACAGACATGTCCTTCCTCTTAAGTAACTAACTATGAATAGCTCCACTACAAAGAAGGATGTAGATATAATCATATAATGCATGTTTTTTTGGGCCTAAATATGTATTTTGTTGGGATTCTTAAAGCATGAAGGAATTTGAAGCATAAAGGCAGTTCAAAATAAAGTCTCGTCTTTATGGTATCAAATGTCTTATAGCCTATACCAACCTTAACGAGAGGAACTTCCCATGTGGGAAACACCCACTAGCTCCTCCAATAGCAGCAACTAGCACAATTTTTAATCACAATTCGTTGTAAATTTTGTTTTCATAATATGAAGTCGAATCTTCTTTTAACATGTTTTACAATGCTTACTTTTATGGTTGTTTCGTTAGCCTGTTAACATTGTAAACATTCATATGTTTCAAATCATAATGTCGTATAGATATATTATGTACCCAAACGCAGTACATAGATACAGTACAATGACGTTTCTATTCTTAAGGCTTCTTAATAAAGTCGCCAGTCTTCACTCTTAAGACTTTGATTAAGTAAGCTTTTCAAACTTCTCTCGTAAACAACTACTTTGAACTTATTAAGAGTAATTAGAGAGGGAGAATTTTTCACTTTTGTCCTTGGAAGAGTACGGAAGAAGCCACTATCTAATCTCTCCCTTGATTTAAGGGGACAAACATATCATTATAAAGGAGATTATGTTTGTTGATTTTAGATAATACCCAAAAGTATTATACAATTAAAATAAAACAGTTACTTTAATTGACTTTTTCGGGCTGTATCGGTCGTAGACTCGTAGAGATATAGTAGATACCATGAATGAAAGATGAAAAGCTAATCACCACCTCACTATTCCGTCGGTTCTACCTTTTTAATAACTTCAAATTATTTCACATGCCCTACCTATATAGACTATAGTATACATTTATCTAATTAAGACAATGCGTTATATGAACATGATAAGAATGGAGGTCAATATAAAGTTTGAATGTAAAAAAATAGTAATTAATTATGGTAACATTAAACGATAGCTAACTATTTTCGTTTCAGATCCTATATCGTTTGTTAATATATAATTAAACATGGAATTTTAACAAACACATATGCATGGGAACTTGATTTCGTCCAAGAACTAAAACTCTAGCATTGAACAAATTATGAATTCAACGTTGATCTTTTGATTTTGTCGGATTCTTCCATATCTATTTCACCATGATGAGTGATGAAACGATTAGCCACGCCACCAATGATCTCAAACATTATTTATATACTTTAGTTACATCTGTCTACAGTACCCAACGATAAATAATTATCCGGCAATGTCAAGTACGAGATATCTCTGTGTAAATCAGTACCATTGGTGTTTTTAGATTCATTACACTACTTAACTTGATTGTACACCGATCGATCCTCAGATACTGGAGAAATTTATCAACTACTATTTTGACAACTCGACCTTGTCAGTAAATCTAAATTTTCATGTGTTATAATGAACTTGAAGCATGATCACAGCCGTCCCTCCGAGAGACAAGAAGCAAGGACCACCGTTGAAACCACTCTATTTGGTAAAAATAAAAAAGAACCAAAGAGGTCCCTCGTTCCTGTTGGACAAGGGTCCCTCCACGTGTGCACATGCTTGCTTCGGTGGACGCGTGCGTGTATTAGAAGAGCGTTCCCCCTCGTAACGACGTCGTTCAGAATACGAATACGGATGTTTTAATGAAGGCACAAAACAAAAACATTATAGAGAGAGAGAGATGGTGACGAGGACATGAGAGATGGTGGGCGTGTAGAGTTCGGAGAATGATTGTTTGAGATTCCCGTAATTTACGGAGATCCATTGGTCTCTCTTCACACACCAGACGATCCATGTTCGATGTATTTTGTTGGTGGAATAACAAATCTTTTTAATATCAAAAACTATTTCTCTTCTTTACCTATAAGACTATATATTTATAGGACATCAATTTCTACATATATGATATATTCATGTACATCATTATCATCCATATGTTATATTTATGCACATCTATCAATATCATTGTTTCGTTTTCTGGATTTAAATGTTCATTATTTTTGTTTCTTTTTGTCGTCAATTATTATTGTTTCTTTTCTTTTCTCGAAACCAGCCTTTCCCAAAGTTTGCGGATCGCCACGTTTTGACCACTACAACAATTGATGTTATCTGTTGTACCTGTTTGTTAAAAGTTATGGTAACAGTCATTGTGGTCACTATGCCTTTCATTTTTGATACGTAGTTGTGAATGTATCACTGTTAGTATGACCCCAAAAAAAACAAAAAAAAAAAGATAAAAATAATTCACAGTATAAACCACGGGTGAGCAGTTAAAGGAATAATAAAATTCTCAAATTTTATTTTTATGTATGTAATGTAGATATCATTGATCAATAATTGGTGGGGAAGATATATAATATTGATCGGTATAATTAAAAACTAAAATCATTAAATTCTACTATTATCATTTGCATATAGAGAATTCACAACCATGACGTCCAACGCACTTACAACCGTCAGAACTCAGAACCAGCTATAGAATCTACTGAAGTTAGTTAACAAAAGTTATAAATAAACATACATTAATGCGTTAGTTACTAGTTTTGTAACATTATATATTTTTGCACGTTTTATTTGATAATCTTTTGGTTATGAATTGATGGAAGGACCTAAATAACCATTTATAAATAGACTATTCAATCAGTCAATCAACAACATTGGAGAACCATTATAACTTTAATACTTAACGTTCTTTAACATTTAAATTCTCAACATTTGAAATAAACTACTTTTTTTGCTTTTGTGTTGTAATTAAGTAACGACACCAATTCAAAGATAATCTAGATTATTTTCGCGTGCTTATATAGAGACTTTTATTTGCCTGGAGCTCATATATGTCGTGACAGCGCTGACTGATAAGGTTGTCAGACAGAGATTATATGTTAGATGAACATACATTGACATATATATACACGATACGAGATACTTACATTGGTCACATGAGTGTGAAAAAAGAAAAGAACAAAACCCCAAATGTAAGTTTACGCAGTTGACAAAAGAAACATACCCGTAAAAACGTTACATATACACATGATGATCCACATATATAGATGCAAAAACTTAAAAACATCAAAAACGTAATATCATCATCATATATCATCACAAATTTTCGGCGGAAACAAATAATAATGGACAAAAGTTTCCTAAATTATAGGGGTAATAACAAAAGGGTACGTGGGCCAGAGAAAGCATGTGCATGCATGTGCTTGTTCTATCTTCCTATTGCCCCCACCATTTTCCCTCTCCTTTTGAAACAATTATAATGGACCCTTTCCCCTTCTCCCTTACCTCTCTGTCTCTCTCTCTCTCTCTCTTTCTATCTCATTCGTCGAATTCACGAACTCGTGAGGTGACCGCAGATTTGTTCTTACCAATCTTTGACGACACTTGAAGAAAAAACAATTTCTTTTAAAAGGTATGTGTTCATGTCTCTTTTGGTTATGGTAAGGAACCCTAAACGGAATATATATAGCCGGTTTTGATTATGATATGATGTTTGTATGTATATTACATTTACATGTGTCTCTAATTTGATGCACAAAGCCATCATGAGACTTGATTTATTTTTATTAGTGTAGAATTATATATTCACAGTTTTGAGTTTTTTTTTTCTTCTACTTTATTAGGAATTCATAGGATGCAGCCAACGAGCTCGATGAATGAAGAATTCTTAAAAAAATGGCAAATGGGACTCCAAATTGTTCGTCCTTCGATAGACAACACGAGCGTCTCCGAGAGAAAGAAAGCAATAAAGCTCTCTGCAGATATTGCAATGGCGTCTCTAAGAAAAGGAACGACTTGTTGGAGCCGAGCCCTAATCCAGAAAACCGCCACCGAGGACAATTTCCTCGTACGTCAGATGCTCTCTGGCATCAAAGAGGAAGCATTAATCAACAAGAGGTTGCCTAAGAAGGTTGTGTGCCATAGGAAGATCGTGAGACGAAGCAAGAAGATCTTGAGGAGGAAAACAAAATCAGCATGTGAAGAGGCCGCAGCAAAAGCTAAGAAGCTCGTCAAGAGACGGACTCAAGGGTTAAGAAACGTTGTCCCCGGTGGAGACTTAATGAGCAATGACGTATTGTTGCTACAAGAAACGTTAGACTACATTATGTCTCTTCAAACGCAAGTGAATGTTATGAGAAGTATTGTTGATGCTGCCGAGGCCGGAACTGAGCAGTAAATTGTTTTTATTTTTTTAACAGAGATTATTTGTGAAAACATGATGATCATCTTGGTCGGACCATTGTTGGTTAAGTTGGGACCGTATATGAGTCCGATATTGCAATTTTCATACGAGGATGGAGAGATCTTATAGTAAAGCCATTTTTGTACATAAAGGAATTTATACGACGCTTATAGAATGTTTCTGGCTACTTAATGGTGGTTTTGATTGAAGCATTTGCTAGCTATTTTGTTTCCGATGGTTATAATTGTCGTTCTGTTGCATTTAATTTTGGCTACTGTTGTAGAGGTTTAATATGTCTGCTTCGATTGCTTTTCTTGGCAAGTTTTGTTGTCCGAAAGAAAAAAAGACAACTGTCTGTTAATATTATAATAGGTATACGATATGTTGGGGATGATACATCATATTCATATACAATACATATATAGAATACGTAAAAATATCTGGTTCAGTTTTATTAGTTAATATATAACTCAGTACACATAAAGTGGAATAACTTAAATATGTTTTGATGTAACACATTAAATCAGAGTCCAACTCTGCAATAAGAAATGTTATTTAGCTCATATGCGTTGTCCAAACTAGAAATATATTCGACTCTTTTTCTATTTTGTTAAGACTTTTTTAGAAAGGATAGTATAACTATAAACCGAACAAACAACAAGTTTCCACATATGTAAAAAGAAATGAAAAAAGTCTTCTTTTTATATATTTACTGATATGGACTATTAGGCCCAGCCCAGTTAGTCATTAGTTGGACCCTTAAATGGGCTGTTAATAGTTGTGGGCTATTGTTAATCAGTCCGATGTAAACTAAAAAGAGGCGGATGAAAGAGGGAGACAACACGGCGTTGCGTTTTTCCCATTACGCCGATCGTCACTGCTTGTCGTTTTATTGTGCTTAAAACGACATGTGGTCTTATCTTTCTTTTTTTTTTGCTATGAGACATGTTGCTTATCTTTTGAAGTGTCTTGAGGAATTGTGAGTTCTCTGACTTATGTGACTTTCTTTTCGGTAGTAATCGTTCTGGAGTAAGGAAATGATCAAGTATTAGATAGATAATTAACGACTGACTTTTAATTTTACTTTTTATAGGTTAGTCAAACATTATCACAAAGTTGTCTCAAACATAAACCGAATGTTAAGTATGTTATAAGAGAAATCAAATTATAATTTTCATAGGCTTATGCTAATGCAATTCTAGCATATGGTCCAAACACGGGACAAGAACCAAGAATAACTTTCACAAAAACATGTATATCCACTAAATTAGAAAGATATGCAATTCGAGCATAAGGTTTTTGCTTACTTTTTACTAGTATATCTTATCTTTAAGACTTTTACATTTTATATACTTACTCTTCTTCTTCTTCGTCAAAATTGGGACGAATTAATTTGCACATAAGCCAATGTTTTAACGTTAAAAAAAATCATATTTATGTTGTCACGCAATAAAGACTAAGTGACTAGTGGGCATATATATAACCCCAACTGCTTCCATGCCCCTTATTAATTCACCAATTAATGCAAAAAAAGCTTTAGCCATTCGACATTAAAACATCAATACGTATAGACACACACATACAAAACATACATATATACAGTATAACACATCGCACAAGAATCAAAGATGTGTCTCTCTTTTTGTCTTATGAGCAATTGCCTCAATTCAATGCAACTGTCTTACCACCACACCCACTTCTTATCTAATGTTTCACAAGAAAGAAAATAAACTAAAGAGAAAAAATCATTCCTTCAAGATTCTTAGAATATTGGTTGGTTTCTCAAATGTAAACCATATGAATAATTGTTACATTGTTGAACTGTAAATCCATATTAATCATATATAAAATTATATAGTTAACAGTTTCTACTGAACAAAACTAGTATGGATGGCCAACTTTAGTCTGAATGTTTTTAACCTAACTACATCAAAGTCAGAATGTAATACGAAGAAATCTGACTACAAGAAGATAATTATCACAAATTTGAATGGTAAAAACCGTTTTAAATAGTCACGTAAGATATATTACGATTTCTTCAATTAGCTTTCACATGAAGGAATCATACAAATTGGTTTGTATCTTTGGCAAAAATCTATTTGCTATCTTTAAATTACTCATTCTTTACATCTAAATTTAGTCGTTTTCTGGTTGGATAGATAGCTTACATCGACTATTAATTGTAGAGGTAAGGACTGAAAAAGATTTGCCAAAAAGCATATGATACACCAAAATGTTTTCAATCTGTTGTCTAAAAATATATATTTCAACACCACGTTTCTACAATGATTCATCTGTTTTGCACTTATGAAAACTAACACAAAGAAACAATTGATAAGTAAACTAAATTTGTAAAAAGTAAAAAGATATAGAAACTAGACATTAGATGTGGAAGAAGAATGAACAACCTTGTTTTGTCTCCCTGCTAGCCAAAGCATAGTTCTCCTAGCAAAAGATGGTGTTTTTGTCTCCAAAGATTCCGAGTTTTCGCCCTTTTGATTATCTTCTTCGCAACCGCTATCGATCTTCGTATCGGGAGGATTTCGCTGATTCGATAACCCGAATGAGAATGCTCTTCCGGAAGACGAAGAAACCAATGAGCTATCTTCTTTTCCTTGAACTTTACTATGCTTCTCCTTCTTCCCTCTTAACCAAATCTTTGAAACCGAGAAGCTCTCTCTTTCTACTACATTCTTCTCGGTCCCTTCTTCCGCAATTCTCATCGATCCGCTCCCATTGAATTTCAATCTCCCTGTTGGATCAAACCCGCATTCAGACATAGCGGTCCTGTGACCGGGCAAGCGACTGTTCTTGCTTGATGGTTTCTTGGTAGAAACATGAACCTTAAGAGCCGTTTCTTCATCCATTATATACTCATATGATCCCATTGAAAAACACCTCCTTTCATCTAAAGTGCTACTATTACCAATATTGTTGTTGCTGTTACTGCCTTCACCGATATCTATATTCCTAAATTTCCCAAGCTTAACTGCAAAAGGAACAACCTTTCCAACCGAACCACCCAATTCACCATCCGGGTACTGATCTCCACGACCCGAGTCAACCCGGGTTGATCCAAGACCATTGTTTCCGACAAAACCAAGATGAGAATTGGAATGTGAATGAGCATTAGGCACATCATTATCATCATTCGCAGCCACACAAGCTGCACCGTCTCTGTCTCCTCCAATCTCTCTAGAGCTATGATCACTCGCAGACTCAAGAACGAGGAGGAAAGAAGAACGAGGATCTTGGTGAGAAGAGAGATCAGAGAGGAGACTAGATCTGCACAAGGGACAAGTTGAGTGAGAGAGAAGCCAAGTATCGATACAATCCATGTGAAAGGCGTGGCTGCATTTAGGCAAAAGCCTGAGCTTGTCCTCTGTTTCGAACTCACAGAGGCAAACCGCACAATCAAAAGGGTAGTTCTTGAGGCCGATTATGGACTTGTAATGAAAAACAGGTAACGTGTCGATGAAGGATTGGTCAACTCCAGAATCATGGAGGTGAAAAAGCTGTTGAAGCTGGCCTTGAAGAGCAGTGACGTTATCGAAGTAATCTTCTCTGTCTCTACTCGTTGGTGTGAGGAGGAACCTGACTAAGAGATGAAGGAGACCAGAGATGAAGAAGATGATTGAGAGGATTATGATTATCAAGAGAATGCTCGGACTGATTTTGCTGTTCAGATCGAAGTTTGCGCTGGATCGGAGAGATAACGTTGGTTCTTGCGGCGGTGGTCGTGGAAGTGATGAAGGAGAGAGGAAGTCCTGAGTCGTTTTGATTTCCGAGAAAACCCACTTCATATTTTCCCGAGAAAGTTTCAAGGGGTTGAGAGAGAGAAGGGAAAATTAACAGGAAGACTCAAGCTTTGTTGTTGTTGGTTTCAGACATGGAAGTCTCAAGAGAGAGAGAGAGAGATAGAGAACTTTGCTCTGTTTTTTTTTTGTTTCAAGAAGATTTGGTTTGGAAGAAGAAAGAGATAGAGAGAGTGATGAATATGAGAATTACAGGTTGGACCATTGATGATGACAGAAGAGAAATTTTCATTTAAGATATCAACAGTTACACCAAGAAAGGGTGTGCTTCTTGAATCTTGCAGGTCTTTACGAAATTATTATATATATGTTAAAAATAAATGGAATTGGATCTGATTAGAAACCTCAAGACATGCAAAGTCAATCAAAGATTTTAATTTTAAACGACGAAACAAATCAGAGAATGAGTAAATTTAATTAATTAATCGTTATTTTCCGTGAATAAAAATATTGTGATCTCACCAAATCCCATGCTCCCCTCATTTAAATCAACAAGACAAAGAACACCACCACCTCTACCTCACAATCCACAAGATTTTTTTTTTTTTGGTGAGATCACAATCCACAAGATTAGAAAAATACTACTACTTATTAACTTCATGGATAATATCAAATAATATCGTATTTATTGTGTATACTAAATTCGTATTTTCATAAAATAATACTTCATCATTTGTCTGCAGACACAAAATAATCAGATTAAAAAAAAAAAGATTAAGAAAATATCTCATGAAAAGAACATGACTCCTAATTTTGAGCTAGACAACCAAATCCCAAACTAATAATTAATTTCCATTCCAAGATGTTCTTATTGATTTGTTATGCATTCAATTTCTTTGTCTTTCTTTTCGTTGTATAAATATTTTATACATTTTCCCCCTGTTTTCCTGTTATGGTCTTATTTAATTAATTGTAGGGTTCACAAATAATAATAGACGAGAAGAAAATAGTATTTTTTTTTTTTTTTTTTGCAAATAGAAAATAAATGTAACTTATAGCTGAATGACGACGAGCCATCAACTTCTTTAAACCAATAAAATTATAAAAACGTCGGTAGCTGTTAGTATCCAAAATGTAACTACACATAAAAATGTGTATTGAGGTCGTGGATGTAACAATTTTGACACATGAGTGTATTTACAAACACATTTGGAAACTGAAAGATGTGGAAACTGATACATAGGATAGGACAAGAGGAGGACACGAATGCGAGAAACAGCAGAAGCAAGCAGAGAGCTACTCTCTGTGTTTCTCGAGATTTTGTGGGTACCACTCTTTTTAAGTCAAACCAGAAGACACCACCTTTTTATTGTTATTTTATTTTATTTAGAACTTATAGGTTTACACACAAAAAAACCTA